TTTTGCCACTACTTGTCATAGTAATCGCTGATGTTTTAACTTCACATATTATCCAATGGCATTATTACCGTAATTTTGTCTGCCGGATCTGTAAGAAAAAAGTACATAGCTTACGTATCAGTTTTTACCTTAAAGTAGAAATATTTTTCTATATATTTATTGTATTACGTCTTTTCGCGGACCAACCTCGAACTAGCCCTAGTCAATCACATATCTTAAAATCAATTCAGTATTTGTCATCTATATATGAAACCACTGATTTTTTCTGCTTCGAGAATTTTTGGCGAGAATATTTATAAATAATTGATCAAAATTAATATATTTTTGTTTTTTTTTAAATTAAAATTTTTAAAATTTAAAATATTTCAAAAATAATTAAAAATATTTTTCTACAAGCGTGTTAAAATGTTTTTCCCCACACTCCGATATATAATAATATTACTTTAAGGTACTAGCGCTTTAAAATTTACTTTAGTCATTAAAGGAAACAAAAAAATATATATTTGAGGAAAGTCTCTTATTTACTTGTACAATTATTATGTATTAATTCAATATTAATTATATTCATATTCTAACTTAATTATATTATTAATATAAACAATAAACAATTGTTAATTCAATAATTAGCCGAAAAGCCTCAAAATGCTAATTAATTGTATTAATGTTACAAATAGAAGAAGATTGCATAGGTTAGTTAAGAAAATGCATAGGTTGCCTTCTTTCATATAGGGTAAATAACCCTTTGTTTTTTTACCCTAGCGAGCCGCCACTGCTTTCCGATACAGATATAGGTATTTAAGCAATAGAAAATATCTTAGAAGGAAAATATAATAGAAATTAAAAGGTTTACTTAGGTACCTTTGTAACTTTATTTCCTTCATTTCTGAACTAATAAATTCCTTATTTTTATTAAAATAATTCATTATCATGAAAATGTCCACTTCTGGGAGATTGCCCGAATCAGCTTTATTGAACCCTTCTCCTACCGAATGCATCTTGTGAAAATAAACCAACGAAATAGTCTAAATCATAAAATAATAAATACAAGAAGAAGTGTCAAGTCAATGTTAAATTATGGAAACAGCGTGGCTGCCTGGGTAACTAATTTTCAGATATGGCGGCTGGGACATTTGACATGATTTGACATGACATAGACACTTCATTGACATGACAATTTCAATTTTATGAAATTTATTTCCGTTTCCCGGTTTTAATGGCGGGCTGTTCAGGAGGTTTAAATGAGGGTTAATATACTTTTACTTTTTTCTAGTAGTAAATAATACAACAAAATTACTCAAAAAATATTTATTTGGAATTTAGAACAATGTAAATATGCAAATCAACACAATTAAAGAGCTATAAACCCATAAACTACTGTATCAATATCAAAATATTTAAAGTAACAATGCACTGACTTACAGAAACTTGAAGATAAATAAATGTTTTCACAGCTTCACGGGCGTAAAACTAACTGGAAGCAAGAAAAAGACAACAGGAACCCACGCAAAACCTGGAATCAAAAAAAAATATGTAAAAAAAAACATAAATATAGGTACATAAGACTGTTGTGAATTAAATCAAACAGGACTTGAATGAAAATAAAATGAATAAAAAATATGATACATATACATCTAATACCTCATTTGTATTTTAAAAATAATCTACATACATAGCATTATTGCTATGAAAATACATAATAGTACCTATGTGACATGTAATTACGCATTTCTGTTCATCTTGTAGATAATTAATGTAAGCTAATAATAGTTCAATAATCATAATTTACCTTGTGCAACTTGCTTTCAATTGCTCAAAATCACCGATCAGTCTTTAAAGTAGAGATACGGAAAAATCCTTGGTAAAGAATATCCCACAGTTAATATATTACCTATTTTTACATATAATATGGCTCATACCTACTACACGCAGAAACGTCGATTTCATCATTTTCTTCATGTAATTAATACCATATATACTTTATTAAAGTGTTAACAAGGAACTTTTATATCAAAAAACATCTTTGTACTTATAAATTTCAGCCGAAATATCATAAAACAAACTTCCAATCAAATCTAAAACGGCAAAAAAAAAAATGGCGCCCGACCTTGCCAGAGGCCTCGGGAGTTGACACATGGCTGACACACAGACAAAAGAAGAGGACGCCGACGTGCATAAAAATGTTCCGCAACTGAAATTGGCAGAAATCATATAGAAATATTCAGATTTTTGTCTAGGACAGTCTAGAAGGCCATGCTTTCTGCCTGGGTAAGACCGCGCCAGAACTGTTTCCAATTTTCCGGTTTACTGTCACCCCCCTGGTCTAAATAACGATAAAATGACAAATCACATTAATTCAAATGAGTGTTTCCATTACGAACTGATTGACGGCCGAAGTCGGGTGTAGTGGAACTACGTCACGAGGGGGCGTGGCCTCGTCAAGCCGTTACAAACTTTAAGCTCTCATATCTCGAAAACGGTAAAAGATTTCGTTTTGAAATTTTAATAGTGCACTTATTATAATAAGTAGTATCCAAAAATGTTTAAAAAACATACAAATAGGATATGATGGAACAAGCCTATTCCTCTTGTGGTTACTTTTCCATAGATATCCTCATCTCTGTCCTCATGTGAATTCAGAAGCAATAAAAATGAAAATTATTTACCATAAACATCGCAAACTAAAAACCTAATAAACAATTTTATACCGAATATAGAAATAAATTTAGTATTTTTACCTATTATCGTCCAAATCCATGTTAATAGATAATTATTTTTAAATATATTTTTGGAACTGCTGGTTTTAGTAATTATTAAATTAAACGAACTAAAAAGTCTTAAAAATAAACAATGCTTAACCATAACCTCAAAAATGCAGATCTCCTGTCAACTTTCTTTATTTTTTATTTATTCATTATTTTCCTAGTGACGTCACAGGTGGTATGCGCGAACTGAACGAAATTGGAGATCATCCCTTGTATTCTTTGTAGAGGTGGGTTGTGAAATCGCAGTCCGCTACTTTGTCACAGCTCCACCAACGTCGCAGTATGTGACTGCTCCAGTTCCAAGAAAATCGCAGTGACATTTCGGAGCAGTTTACAAGTTTAGGACATCTGCGCTCGTGAGTAGCAATAGGAGCAATAGCAGGCAATAGTGTAAATTCTGAAAATGCTCCTAGCCCCGTCGCCCGGTCAGACTGTTCCAGTCACAGTCGTCGCAGGTCGCAGTCGACTGGAGCATAGTATATTGAGTATATTCTGTGTACTGGAGCTGTTGGGAGTTTGGGAACGGGAAACGTAGCAGCGTTCGCTTTTTCTTTCATGAATCTAAATAAGATATTTATGTATTATATATTAATCACAAACAGATGTTTTTGACAAAGGTAATTTTTAACTTGTTAGTATGTTTATTTGTTAGTTAATTTTGTATCTGTGTTTTGTTGTATATCCTAAATCTTTTATTTGATCTTATACATTCATATAAGTTTTATTATTTATATCTATTTTTAAGGTCTGATGATGGCTAAATAGCCGAAACCGGTCACTAATAAAGATTTTTTTGACAGTTTCGACTTTGAATTGAATATAACATTAAGTTTTTACCATGGGCCACCACTCTGTGAAAATGAACAGACTCTTTAAGATATTTATAGCAAAGTGCTTGGTACTTAGAAACACTCAAATTCTTCTGAATAGACTAAAAAAATATAGCAACATCTATCAAACTAAGACATCAGTATAGTACCGTACAGCCGCGATTTTAAGAGCTCTAGGGGCCCGTAGTTCGGAAAAGTTCGAATCTTGTTCGCAAGGGCCCGGGAGGCTTGGGGCCCGTCGGTGACTTACCCCGATTGCACAGACGTTAAAATCGCCACTACTGATCGAAATAAAAAACGGCGTCCAGTTGGCTTGGAAATGACAATCGATAACATTCCCCATAAATTTTACATATAAAATGCCAGCAATCTTCATTTCATAGCTATCGCTGACGCCGTTTTTTTCGATCATATGATATAAATAAATAAAAACTAGACGATGATGTTGCCTATCATAATCACACCTATAGTCCTGTACTTTTTTAGTAAATGCAACGAACGGTGCCGAACACCGAGTGCGATTTTTCGGAGCAATTAACCTATAAAACTACATTTTTAATTTATAGGTTAATTGCTCCGAAAAATCGCTGCTACTTGTCACAGTGCTTTTATTGGAGCAGTCGCAGAGCGTAGCAGCTCCACAAAAATCGCAGACTGGCCCACCTCTAATTCTTTGTACCATGATTGTTACCGTCTCTGTTACCGTTTTTACAATATACGTTTTTAAAATAGGCCTCTGAAATATAGGCTCTGGAATTATGTAATAATAAGGCTTTTTATGAATAAATTGTTAGAACTATTTGACCTCAGAATGTTATTAATAAATATTATTGTAGAAAATGATGGAAATATAGAAAATACAATTCTTAGAGAAATATTAATTGTTATGGTATTGAAAAACTTTTTCCCGAATTGTCGATATTTGTAATTTAAAATTTTGCAAAATATAAATATCATGATATATGTTTTGTAAAATTCATTTAATTCTAGACCGTGCCGTTCTGAGGGTGTAAGGAATTTATGTTAATTAATATTTGTTTATTTATTTAATACCGTATGATGGCTATGAAATGAAAAGCGCTGTCATTCTATATGTTAATTTCTTAAGGGAAATGTCATCGATGTTCATTTCATAGCCATCGCTGACGCCGTTTTTATTCGATCATATGGTATAATATGTTTGATTTGATTATATTGAAACTTTCCAGATTGTTTGAAAACCATTAAACGCCAGTCTGTGATTAGAAAACTCAATGACTTGACAAAATGGTGAATTATTTTTTTTATCATTTATAAATCATGCTTGCTGCAACTCACAATACCCTTGATCTTTTTCTTTGATGGTAATGGCGGCAACCACAAAAACGCATATTTGACATTTAACAAAATTCAAAATAGATGTGTCAAAAATTACAAAATACAAACACCAACAGTTTATTAGAAGCGTTTTTTGTGAATATTTTAAATATTTTCTTTTACTTTCGTCGTAGAAGACCATCGTAATGCATGAAAAATGTGTTACAGCTAACCAAATAAAGAAATTAGGTTGGTAAATATCGTATATAGCGGATTTATTTTCTAGATAATTTCATTTTAGGTCATAAAATTCAAGAAATACGAGACCGAGCACTCATTTCGATTATATCCAAACTAGAAAATGGATATACATTTGATAATGACTTGGCTAGGTCAAGGGAACTTCTCACAAACTTGCTTAATTGGTTTCTTTTTGAACCATGCAGTAATGAGGAGCATGTTTTAAATTTAATTGAATCCATTTTTCAAGTAAGTTATTGTATAGAATTTGTTTTTCCTATATGTAAACCTTTCAAAATCATTTTTAGTCTGACGCAGGCCAATTATTAATTACTCACTGCGGAAAGAGGTCTATTCAAGAAGACCTAAAAAAGATTCAAACGTATATCAATCCTCAATATATACCTAAGTTAAAAGAAATTCAAGATCTCTTAAAGAATAATGAAAAACAGTCTAAACCAATTGTACCACCACTTAATACTGACATACCTCTTAGTTATCGTAGTGAACCAGAAAGTTTCACTTCAATAGTTGGAACGACGGCAACAACTATAGAAGGTTTGATTCAAAAGGGTTCTTCAGTAGCTCAACAGATTGGGTAATTATGTGTATCTCTACTAAAAGCTTCTTGATTTACAATAATATTTTAAGATTTCCACCAGAGTTTTCAACTTATCGAATTGAAAATGGATCCAACAATACTCCAGTATCAGAACATACAAAAATTTATATGGATTTAACATGGCACTCACTAATTGAAACAGATAATAATGTGTTACAATCTGTAGGAAACTCTTTAAAAAATATACACGAAATAACTAAGATATATCAGTCCTGTGAATTTTTTATTAATGTTTTATTACATGATTTTCCTGCAGAAATATTTATTCAGAGGCCTGAAATTATACTTGTAATTATGTTCATATACAGAATACGTAGAATTAAGGTAGTGAACAAAATTTTATTTTAGATTTTCTATGAACTTCTTCAGCTATGTAGATCTACTCGAATAACAAATATTACTCTTCTTTGCCTATATAATGTAACTACTTCTCTACAAAGAAGAATCTACTATTACAATGACGTTTCTATTAAAAATTTAAAGACTGAAGTAAGGAATAGTGTAATTTATTAAAGAAATTAATATAAAATGGATATTATTATAGATTTTCCCGAATTTGACTCTTTCGACTAATGGCAATTCGTCAAATAGGAGTTCAGTTAAAAGTGATAAATCAACTGATAGTAGTGAAATATTTGAAGGACCTGAATACACAGCAGCTTTACAAAATAAGCAGTATTCTATTCCATATTTTTGTTTCCAAACATTAAACACTACACTGAAATGTTTAATATTGAAAAAGGAAAACTACAAGGAACCAAGATTAAATTTAAATCAAGTCAGTATTATTTTGGGAGAAAATTCTTTGTGAGTGAATATTTATTAAATTCTAGACAGGTGTCAATACGGCTCTAGCATTATTGAATAAGCTTGTAGACCTACTATGTCAAGCAGTGTATTGTGATAAATTATGGACTGACCAACCAAACCCAGAGGCCTTAGCAATTATCAAAGAGTTAAACAACACACTCTCAATTTATGGTGATGTGTTAGAATTTTTCAGGTGAGATATTTTGTTTGCCTGGTATGTGACCAGTCATAATCACTATAGAGAATGTCAAATAGTTACATGATGATTCAAGCTTCCTAGACTAATATAGGAAATTAGTTGACAGAATTCAAAAAGAATGTGTTGTTAAGGTATAGTCTGTCCACTGAGGGCAGAGAAGACTTTAACAGATGACATCCAAAAAATGACAGAAAATACGCTTCACCTGCGATTTAAAATGATAGACACAATTATCACTGTCAATGGACAGACTATTTATTTTTTGGTTTATAATTGCCATTAAAGTTTTTAAATGATTTTGAATATTGTGACAATATATTTTTTTTTGTCTTCATACATTTGTATAGCTATACCCTGCTGGTCATCCAATTTATGTGGTCTGGATTTTAATGACGCGTATTTATCAATTTTAACATTTTTGACGTCACCCCTCGTTTTCGCGCTAAGCGAATTTCCATGAATTTCAATCATTAATTTAAATACTTTCCAGATGGAAATTGTACAAACTGATTTTACATATATATGTTTTAGGTAAAAATGGGTGCGTTCAGGGACGGTCAGCGGCTGAGTAAGCGATTTCCCTAAACGGTCTCTTTTTACACACAAAATCAGTCAGCCGCTGAGCAAACTACTCAGCGGTCGGTCAGCCGCTGTTGTTTTCTGAACGCGCACAATGTATTAGAAATCATAAATATTTAAATTATACCCGACACGTGCAAGGACCTCATTGCTGAAAATTGCAATGCACTAAAAGTAAATGGATGAGTTTTTTAAAATTTGAAAAATTGGTCAAGTGCGAGTCGGACTCGCGCACGAAGGGTTCAGTACCATTCATTATCTCTACAACATTAGACACTATATTATTATAAACTTTTTTTCCTATTTAGCTGAAATTTTGAATGCTATAATAATAAGTAATTTAAAAAAATGAAGAAACACATTACTAAAAATTGTATTAAGGTACGTTCAGGCTGAGAGCGTCGAGCGTCCTGTCGCGTTTGCGTCGCGTCCGCGTGTCGAAATGGAATCAATTCACTTAACTTAAATTAGACCTTTCAGGTAGACAGCGTCGCGTTTGGCGTTGCGCTAGCGTCCGTTGAGCGTCGGGGTTCGAGTTCAGTGGGGCGGACGCGACGCAAACGCGACGCGACGCTCGACGCTCTCAGCCTGAATGTACCTTTATTCAATAATAAATATGTAAAAATTAAAAAAAAACGATTAAAAAAAGTCGCCTTGACTAGGATTCGAACCTGCCTTACTACGGCTCCAACGTCATAGCAGCGTAAAGTCCTAACGCTTTAAACCACGCGGCCACCGATAACTTGAAAGATTCTATGTAAAATTCTTACTTTAAAAGATATTGTTTAGTGAAAGCACTTTTTTATTTATAAACAATTATTTAATTCTGTTTTACTATTTGTTCTTATAGCGACAACATAGATACATTATCTGTCAAAATTTCAACTGTCTAGCTATAACGGTTCATAAGATAGACCTTTCTGACAGACGGACAGCGAAGTCTTAGTAATAGGGTTCCCGTTTTTATCCTTTGGGTACGGAACCCTAATTAAAAAAAGAAAACAAGCCTATGGATTTTTTCTTATTTAAACATTTTTTAAAAGATCCAAGCTTCATAATAAAAAAGTGTCAATATCTAAAGTAGTTCTTGGGTTATCGCGTGTTAAAAAGTTGAGTTATTAAATTAACGCGATTATTGACGTTTTCTCGTTATAAAAAAATGGACACCCTAACTATATCCTCATAATTCCATTTCAGATGCTCAGAAACATATCTAATGATTTTATCTAGTTATCTTTTCGAAAATAAAAGTCTTTTAAAAATAAGTGGTTTGCGATCGTGATTTTACTTTACTTCATAGAGAAAGGCGTACCGGGGAAATGTGGTAACGCCAATGGCCTCTAAATAAAGTAGACCCGGCATTTCATTCATAAAAAGGAAAAAATCAGAATCAGACATTCGTTTCTTGTTTTATGCGAGTGGGAACAAGACGGGCTGATCGCAGTCATGAAGGATTCCCGAGTGAATGGCAACGCTGTTCAGAGATCTTGAGAATGTGTGCCAGTGGCGTAGTTACTTTGTAATATATAATTTAATATTATATCCGCGTAAATACCGCGAAAAATAAACGGCGTCCAGTTGGCTTGGAAATGACGATCGATGACATTTCCCATATAATTTTACATATAAAATGACAGGGATCTTCATTTCATAGCCATCGTTGACACCGTTTTTATTCGATCATACGATATGATTTTTGGATATGATATATTGTTGTGCTCGATGGCTCTTCAAATTTTGAAAATGACTACGACTACGAAATTACTATAATAATTAAATATTATGAGCAAAATATTCAATAAAACCAAACGTGACGCAACTAACTTAATGTAATTCATTACTTATAACGGTACATTCCAAAACTGTGTGATTTACTAATACATATTTCCAAAGATTTTTCTCTATTTTACCTTTCGGTACCGCACTGATGTAACATAGCCTTACTCACCTTCGAAATGAAACTTCTAGGTTTAAACCGTCTCTATTTTTACAACTTAAGCAAGTTCGCACCATTGTCTTATTGTTTCTCAATAAAATCACTAAAAGCAATACCACAAAACACTAAAATATCTGGAAATCACCTCGTAAAACATTTCGAAAAACCACAACACATTGGCAACGCTGTAGAGCAATTTATGAACGAATTCGTACTGGATGTTTTGTTGGCTGCCTAAATTTAGGAGTGAAGAGAGTAAAATGCGTACGTTTTCGGCATCAGCTGGCGTTGCGACGTTGTCGATTGTTTTATGTTAAATTTCTTAAAAACTAAAAATTATAATTACAGAAGATTTAAACCTTTACTTATTACCTTTACTACAAAGTTTACTACCCTTAATTATTATCGGTTTAAAGTATTCTACAACGTAATCTGTATTTGGAATTATGGAATTCCTGGTTTATAATGTGGGTTAGCTATCCCCGTACGTATACGTAGGTAAGATTTCCTTTTAAATGCGGCCGAAGTAGAAATTTGGTATACATGCAATTTTCTAAGGCAATGATGGATTTCGCCAAAATGTAAGTCGCCGGTCTAATTTATTTCGATGTCATCGGGTAACGCTGCAACAGCACACCGTCGCATTTCTCTCACTCCGAGTTAAGGTGAAATCTTTAAAAATAAAAGACAATAAATCTTTAAATTAAAAGACAAAACTTAGGATTAACGTTAACTTAGGAATAAGTTTGTAGCTTAAATTAATTTCTATTGAGAATAATCAGTAAAAGAACAAATATTTGCATTAAAAAACATTTATTTAATAATGATTAGGCTTAAATATACATTAAAATGTACTGTTAAAAAAACGGTGTCCAGTTGGCTGGGAAATGGCGATCAATGACATTTCCCATATAAATTTGATTCATTAACACACGTGTAAATACCAACCCAAAATTACGACTTGCCAGCACGGTATACAGTTAGTGGCAACACAGGTGGCAATAACTAATAGAGGGTGGTAATGATGGTTTGTTACTCGGTTTGTTATTAGATAAATTTTTCTATGTAACATTAAAGTTTTGTTTTGTTCTAGAGTCGAATCAATATCTTTAGAAGCCAATTTTAGTTACAAAGTCATATACCTATATTTGCTATGCATATGTGCAAAGTGGTTAAAGACATTTGTACCTCTATCAAAAAGTAAAATAACTTTGCCCAAAAATTTTAAAACATCTATTACAAACAGTCTCTTAGACGTGAGCTTAGGGAGATTGTTTCCTAAAGTTCACAAGTGTCTGCTTGAATTTGTAGAGGTAACATATAACATAATTTTCAGAAATATTCGCCTAATACTTATTTAGAGTTTCAGCACGACAGAAAACCAAGGAGATTTGGAAAAATACAAAAAAGTAACTGTAATATGCAATGGATTGGCTGCTACAGTTAAATTCTTAAATAATGCAGATAACTTGCCACTATCCGAATGTATCAGCTTAGCTGAAGAAGCATTACCAAGTATACAGTTTCATAAAAGCGAGAAGTATTTAAAAAGGTTTATTGATTTTTGTTCTGAAAAACTGTATGCATATAGCAATAACTATGAACTAGTGAAGTTAGCACAAGGTAATTAATATTTTATTTTTTATTATATAAATGTCATAATAGTATATTTTAGATGTAATAGCAAAATTATTAGCTCACTGTGACTTCATTGTTCAGAAACTAGTGTACAAATTATGTTGTCAGAAGATTATTGATAATATTGGAACTAAAATAAATCTTATATCAACAGTAGAAGTTGGCGCACAAGCTTATTTTCTTTTTAGTTCAAAGATACTAACTGAAATGGCTGTTTTTGGATTGAACAATGACAATGTAAAGTTGAAATATTTTTATTAATACTAAAACATAGTCGCGCTTGCGTGACCAATGTCTTAACTGCAGTATTGCCAAATTGTGGTTACACCCACATTTTAATTATTCAAATCGTATTGATAATGGGCTCTTTCACAAAAAATAAAATACCTAATTCAAGGACAAAATCTGAAATAGAAGACTATTTTCAGTATATTTATCCAAAAAAAAATAGTTCCATGACATTGAATATTTTTTTATAGGCCCTCAAAATTGCTTTAATTTGGAATAATTTTAAAGTGCCAATTGATGATGTATGAAAAATACGCCCAATCACATTGCAGAACCGTGCTTGTGCGACAGCCAATAACTGGCAACATTGCGATTTGATTTGACGTGCATGATGAATAATAATTTTGAGGTTAAATTTTTTGTATACTCCGTTTGTGAAAGCTTGTAATAAAATTTTAAGTTTTAAATTGTTATTTTTTGATAATTTGTTCCATCATGGTCGTACCAGAACCTGGATTCGAAAAGGCGTCATCTGATAACCTTCCTAAGGTTGACGCCGAAATTGTTAAATTTTAAATGGGTCAGCATGGTGGCCCGGCGGTGTTGCCGCTTTTCAACATGCCAGGTGTGACGTATTAAAAATAAAGGGCGGGTTTTTATTCTGGGCCTTTTTGTTTTTATTTATTATCTTAAGAATGACTTCAAGTTTTTCGAAAGTGAGATAGCAGAAAATTCTAGAATAAATTGCTTTATTCAATTATGCGAATTCCAAAATATAGTGAAAGAGCCCATTGCTCAAAATGTTATACCATGCTTTGTTTTCATAAGATAAAGGACAAAATTTAAAATATTGCATTTTGGAACTTTTCTAATGATCTTATGTATTGCAGTGTAGATTATAGATATTGATGACTTTTAGTTTATAAATTTGTTAACTGTCAGTTTTTCTTATATACTGTTATTTATTTTGCTAGATAAGTGAATATGCAAAGGATATATTGCTCTACATTCTTAAATGCAAGATCATTGTGTCTGAAAATGTTTGGTATAAATGTTTGGAAGCACTAATTCCATCTTTACCGCTAATTCTGTGTTATGCAGAAACTCAATCCACGTTTGGCCAAGTCATACTTAATTTAGTAGATCCAGATACAGCCAAAAACATGTCGTTCCCTAATATTGTTATGCTTAGAAGTAATGTTCAACTACTATATGCTAAGGACGCTTATCTAAGGTATATAATATAGATTTATAGATAAAATGAATGGGATGATGAAAATTGTATTTGAAAATTGTCGAATGTTTACTTTGAGACAATGTAAAGTGTAGAAAACTGTACAGCGACAAAATATTTTTATTTATTTGTCTGTTTTACACAAAGACATTATAAAAATAGACCGAACATCTCATTCATAAATACTCCTTGGAAGTGTATCAAACATTCCAATGTGTCAGACAAGGACAGAAGAGACAGAGAAGTGTAAAATTTCCGACCCCGGCAACTAGGCGCATTTGGATTGTTCCAATGGCCAGTGGCGTATCGTTTTTTGGAAGGAATTTAATTAGTAAAGTAAAAGTAAAGTAATTAGTAAAATTTTTACTCCATATTAATATACTACATTAATACTTTTTCGTCAGATGAGTTTTGTTATAAGGTCTAATATAATAATATAATTAATATCCCATATATACTTATGTTGAAACGTTAGTAGGTAGTTCTCGAAAATCGCTCCAACGTCGATTTTCAATTTAAACTTTCAGTTACTTCTATATAAACTTTCAGTTACTTTTGAATATTTACGGGGGACTCAAGTTTCTGAAACAGTTCTATAATAGCTTTGTGGTTGGTGACTTTTCTTTCAATTTTTTTTCAGAATATGCAGGCAATGCTAAAGCACATTTTAGACATTTTTGTAAACATAGGTGGCCGGAACATATTTTCAAACGAAAGTTGTAGATTTGCCATTAAATTTCCATTCCAGAAATACCTAGGGTTGCCACCTGTCCTTTTTTGAAAAGGACAGTCCTTTTTTGAAATAACTTTTTTTGACTTAAAAAGTCATTTTTATTTACGTATTTTCCCTGAGAAAATTACCTACAGCAAACAGAAATATTCTTTTCGTCCAAATTTAATTAGAGATGTTATAAAAGTTATAAATAAATTTTTCTTCTTTAGAATAGGCAACATTATTTAGAACTTCCCATTTAATCTCAAATGATAGTTTAGGTTTTAGTTTTACCTTTTTTGATCTTAAAAAGAACTTTTCAAAATTAATTAGTAACGATTTAGTTAGTTCGCAATCGATAGCTTCCTGTGAAGTACTGTGTAATATTTCTTTAATCTTGTATTATTAATAACTTCCTATACCTAAAATAAATTTTTAATTCTAATGAGAAAATTGTGTTTTTTTGAAAATATAATACAAGATTTGACTTTCGGTCTTCTTCTTGTATTATGATAGCTCTGATACGAGGCAATTACCTTTTAGTTCTCAATAGAAGGCATTTATCATTAAAAGTATCAAATCTGTGTGCTACAGTATGGGATTTCTGTCGCATAATAATGAATATTACGTTTATTTACAAACCCATTACTTTTAAAAGTAGCTTCATCAGACAATCAAATTTTAGTTAAATGTCTCAATCTTCATGGACTGTATTAAGCATATGTATTGCGGTTTGAATCACCCTGTATGTTGACAAAAATATTTTGAAAATGTGCGTTACAATGGCCCCCATATTATGTAAAAAATTGAAATAAAAATCACAAACCAAAAACCTAATAGGTAAAAAGCTTTTTTGGAGGCCTGGGTCACTCTGTATATAGGTATGTATAAAACTAGTAGCCTAAAAATTATTTACAGTTCGTCCTATTCTAAAAAAAAAGGTAAACACATCGTACAAATAACTCTAGGAAGAGGTATTTGTACGGTGGTAAAAAATTGTCTAAACAAGGCCGAAGGGGCAGATATAATAAAGCAGTAAAATGTAAAAAATGTCGGGTAAACACCTTTGTTTATTTGTTGAGCAAAATTCCTTTAGAATATCGTATATAATGACCAAAATATGACGCAATTTTAAGAAAAAAATGTCAGTTTCTGGCTTATAATAAAGTTTCATATGCAACGTTTATATTCAAATTTGTTATGATCTACAACAGTTAGGTAGTAATTGAGACGAATTATAATTCAATTACCGGCTACTACGTTCTTGTTTTAATAGATCAAAATTCAACAAATATAATTAGAAATTATTTTAATTTAAGGGGCTCCCTTGTAAGACGCCTATGTACAATTACGGCGGAAATTTGTACCTACCTGTGAAAAGACAAATTCGGGTAATTTGAGCTTATTTTTCCACACACTTGACACTGTCGTACCATATTGAAAATTCGCAGATTTAAAAGTACGTTAAACAAAAACAAATACTACTGAAAAACACTGAAAAGTTCACTTCGGACTTGATTCCGACTTCAAACACACCGTAAGCTAAACGTAGTATGCTATAACGGACCATGGGCCGTCGCGAGGGGTGGTGGGACGGACGACTCATTTTCATTCTGGAAGACTAGCAGCGACGTTGCCAATAGTTCTAGACGTTTCAGCACATTAAACAGTAAACATGTCCTTTAATAGTAATGCATATATCCTCTGGTTAATAACATATTATTACACATGCTTCTTTAAAAATAAACTATTAATTTAATTAAGAAATTGAGATTTATTGATATCCGGTGCAGGTTTTAAAGTCACCTTTTCTGCAAATCAAACTAAGTAGATAGGCGCAAATTTGAGATGTGGCAATGTCGCCTTCTCTATCTCAGTTGGTTTTTAGAGTACGTAGTCAACCTCCGATTGTTTGATCGGGTTAAAATGCGCAATGTGATATCTGTTCTTCCTAAATCTATGGTTTTACACTATAAATTTTTAAGTGAAATATAATATAATTTAATATTTTTTTTAGAAATGAAGCATTTTCAAGATTATGTTGGTTAATAGCTTGCCAAGAAAATTCTAGAGAACTTCTTCCAAAGTTTAACACAATTTATGACAAAGGATTTGCTAATGTGTGCCAAATTAAGAAAATATTAGATATTAATAAAATTAGAAAGTCTGAACACTTCTATCAGGTATATTTTTCTATATTTTTGTTTTGCTTGTGTAAGTATTTTTTGCTGGTGCTACGTTATCATAATTATATTCAATTAACTTTTAGTTGCTCAATTAACTGTCTTAAGAAATGTATAATAGAGAACAAATACTACATATAAATGTTAAATCTGAAAAAAATGCTGAGTATTTCCCAGGAAACTGAAAACTGAAAAAGATTTTTTTTGTACAATACCACTGGATTAAAATCCGAAACCAGTTCTTCAGTGTGTGTTTGGTTAGATTTAACTATTTTAAATATAATTTTCTCCTATCATTTTTTTTCTGTCTTCTGAACGCTAACCGTTTTGTCACTCTTTCTTAGCTAAGCGTTCTGTGTTGGTTTAAAAATTATCTTTCTAGTAGAAAAGCACTGAGAGGCTGGTTTCTTGTTAGGTTCTAACCCAATAGCATTTTTCAAAAATTAATCTTTGTATTTTTTGTTTCAATGGCAAAAACTAATATTTTCTCTAGAAGCGCATTATTATCCTTAAAAATTCATGGAAAGAATACGTAAAGTAGATTTTTTATATTTTCACATCAATTTTGCTTTATTCAAATAAAAATATCGATTTACACCTTTATAAATGTGAGAAATTGTTAGAACTTTAAGGAGAGGTGAAACATAGCATTTCTTCTTTCAGCTTTTCAACTTCCCAATAGGGTGCAGAGATTTAAATTAACTTGTTTAATAACTTATAATAAATCGAAAAATATCTGTAGAACTTTCCTATAAAGGTATAAAAAATTATTCCTATAACAAATATACCCTACATCTCTCCATCAAATAAAATGTTACACTTGCTGTTGTAGCATTTAAATATTTTTAATAGAGCGATTTTTGAAGTGATTAGTTTGAATCCATTAGAATGGAACGAGGGTGGTTCATTAGCATATTTGGAAAAAGCATTTTTTTACGAATAATTTGATACCACGCTCTTTGTATTTCAAGTCAAATTCTCGTTATGAACCGCATGTTACAATTTCAAATAAACCATATGCGAAAATGTCAATAGTTGACATATGATATGTCATTCTATTCAGAGTGTCATTTTCTATCGAATAAAGTAAAAAAATATGGATGATGCCATTTAAAAACCAAAAGTTGTAGTCAGTTCCGGTGAAACCGAAAGTGACCGAAAACAATTATTGAATATGTCAATCAATCCTAATTTATATCATATACTAACATACTAAATCTCGTTGTTTTATCCGAAAAAATAAAAAAGTTATAGGGGTGAGCCACTTTTGAGACGCACCCGTTATTTTCATAAAACAACGCACGTCCATATATTATGATATGATTATGACCGAATACCGATGCCCCATTATTTCAAATCTGTTTGTCAAAATAATTATTATTATTTAACTCTAACACTCTTTTTTTAGCCTAGCAGTTTAAGTCAAGTGTTAGACCTCCTTAAATCTCCAAATGTAGAACCTGTTATAAGGAGATCAGCCTTAAATCAAGTTAGTGTCATGGTAGAAGATCACTTACTGCATGACATATTTCTGGAATTTAATGGAACTGATTTAATTATAGAGATAATGGAAAACTGCTTAAAGGAAAAGGATTTTAAAGACTATCCTGATTCTATTATACCTGTGATATCTATTCTTAAAAGCATTGCTTTATTTAATTCTAACGTGAGATATATTCTTAGTACCAACATAAATGTATTGTTTTATACCTTAAGAGGTAAACTGATTTGAAGATAGAATAATTTATGTCACATTTATTTTTCTTTCTTAATTTATAGGTGTCTTTTTATTTTTTACCGATGATAGAGTAAGACAGGATGCGTCAACATTGTTATTTATTTTAATTTTTAATGACTATATCATTGGGACTCCTTCAAGAGGCAATTTTTCCATACCTGTAATATTTGAAGAGAAGTTATTTGTGCCGTTTAACTGTAATGTACACATGAGAACGAGCCAAAACACTGAGGAAAGTTTGTATTGTAAGTAATTATTATTTTTATTTGATTCACTTGCCAACTGTTATTTTAGTTTTTCTTATACAGAGTGTGCCAAAAAAATTGCAACAAATGGAGCGTTGAAAAAAATCTGCATATTTTTTTGCAACAATTCGATTACAAAAGAATGCCATTCGTTTCGAACTTTTTAGAACATCCTGTAGCAATATGCTACAATAGAGAACAAAAGCACTGACTAATAATACGTAAACGTTTACATATGCATTAGGGTGTCCGTTATTTCCCAAGTTGATTTTTTTTTCGCTGCCGCCCTCTGAAGTTTTAGTTTTTGGTCTAAAATAAATTATCCAACATAAACAAGCTCTTAATTTTTAATTTAAACCATGCCGGAATCATGATACTTTTTCCAATTAAATAACATGAGATTTTCTGACCTTTTGCATTTTTTTTATCTCCAAAGCAAATGAACCTACAGCTTTGACAAACAACATATTCTAATACAAAATTTTACGCTCTACAAAAAAGGTCTCTTTAGTTTTTTCCATAAAAACATTCCTTTAAAAGTTATTCGCGGTCAAACTTATGCACATAGATTATAATCAAATTTCTGCTGTAAATTTGTAAATCATTCACTGCAAATTTTCATTGCGCCTTTTAATTTTGACTAAAAAAGGATCTAGAGCCATACTTTTTTCAATAAAGCAATATTTCTTTACTAACTTTAATATGGAAAACTAATATTGCGCCATCTATGATCAGTTGATCAAAACTATAATTTAAGGTTATTGTTTCATTGCCTTTCAGTGTTTGTAAATGTGTGTCAAGTGTCAATTCAAAAACGAATGAACAAATTTCGAGTGGTTTTTATCTTAAATATTACTTGTATCGAATTAATTAATTAAATTATTAATTAATTAAATTAAATTAGTAATTAATGAAATTAATTTAATTAATTCGTTACAAGTAATATTTAAGATAAAAACGACTCGAAATTTATTCATTCTTTTTTGAATTGACACTTGACACACATTTACGAACACTGAAAGGCAATGAAACAATAACGTTAAATTATAGTTTTGATCGATTGATCATAGATGGCACAATATTAGTTTTCCATATTAATTTTGGTCTTTGAATAAGAAGACTAAGGAAGGAGCATAATGCTATCCATGTATTCATGCATGGTGGGCGGAAAAGCCACCATAAAAGCTCTCTAGGGTGGGGATCCTTGACAGTTCTGTTTGACGATTCATTTGACATATTTGAAATTTTGTGGATTTGTCAGTCTTTACGGAGCTTATTTTATGTTATTTATTATTTATTCTACTACTGATAGTTGTATAAAGGTAGTAAATCTAGATGGAAATTGTGGCAGAACTTAAATTAACAGTGACACTATCGCGATTTATCGAAAAAGACTCTAAAATAGTTGGTTGTGTAGCGTGCGGTAGATCTCGGCAAAAATTGAGTGAAATAATGGAATAACTTTTCGCTAGTAAGTGACTATATAATATACATACGTGTAGTAAACCGATCATTTATGAAATTCACTTAAATTAACTAAATTATATATTTTTCTTGCATTTTTAGCTTTTATTTATTACTTGTCAAAGATTAGATGTCAAAGAATTTAGATACGTTAATTTGACTTACCTGCTTCAGTAGCGTATCGGATGTTTGTGTTAATAAATACTTATTATAACTTATCTATTTTTATTAGAATTATATATTTTATAACAATTTTAATAACTACCAACATTTATTCACAACGTAAAATAAAACAACAAATTATTAAGTCTACCCCACGTCTACCCTACATCATAGTTTTACATTTTTTAAATAAAATTAGAACGACACTGATAAACCGGAATTTAAGTCGGCCATATTTGAGGCCCATCGCGGTGTACCTAAGATTTTTGATATGCTCCTTCCTTAGTCTTCTTATTCAAAGATTTTGGTAAAGAAATATTGTTTTATTGAAAAAAGTATGGCTCTAGATCCTTTTTTAGTCAAAATCAAAAAGCGCAATTAAAATTGGCAGTGAATGATAGAAAAATTTGATTATAAACTATGTGCATAACTTTAACCGCGAATAACATTTCAAGGAATATTTTTATGGAAAAACCCAAAGAGACCTTTTTTGTAGAGCGTAAAATAATTAGAATATGTCTTTGTCGAAGCTGTAGGTTCATTTGCTTTGGAGATAAAAAAATAAATGCAAAAGGTCAGAAAATCCCATGTTATTTAAATGGGATAAGTATAATAATTCCGGCACGGTTTAAATTGAAAATTAAGACTCTAAACGTTCTCTAACCCAGTGTGAGTACATATTATCAAAGCAAAACCTTTGAAGGCGGGTAAAAAAACAATAACTCACAATCTTTAAGTTGTTTAATTTAAATTTTAATGCTTAACAAAAGCAAGGAGGGCGACATGTTTCGGGAATTTAAACTATTCCCATCATCAGGCCCAAAGCTAAAACAATTACTGAGGCCAAATTTATAAAATACAATCACAACAAGTTAAAAAGTCAAAAAATTATATCTATCACAAAAATTGTTCAATCACAGATAACAATATGGTATGCTAAATTTGAAAAATTAAAAACAACTAGACCAAAATCATAAGGTGAGGGTAGCCGTATAATCAACTATAATTAGATAAATTGAAAGAAAAAACAAGGCAATAATCAAATCATACCTCAATGCACAATTTTAAGAAATTTACTTAAGCATTAGTTAAATTTATTTTGAGAGATATATTTTTTATATATTTTTTTTGTATTAGTAATGTAAGTTGAGAATTAATTATTTCAATATGTATATGCTGATATTCAATTTTGTAGGATAAATTTTTTAGTTATGTTAGTTAAGAACAAGTTAAGAATTATGTTTATTTTTTTATTTTTTAATTAGTATATGTTGAATGTTAATTTATATTTCAAATTTATATATTGTAGAAAATTAATATTTACTTTAGTTTAATTTTTAGGAATTTAATATTTATTTTAATTTATATATGTAGAAGAATTATTTTTTATTTTAATTTAATTAAACTTGTGTTCTTTAAAATAAAAGCATACTCACACAAGTCACCTAGGAAGTACAACCACTCGGAAGAAATAAAATTAGTTAGAGCTGTTAACATTTACACAACTCATTCATTGTAATTATAAATTGTATAACTCTTCAAGTAGGAAGCCTTTCGTTGTAATACCAAATAAATGTCTATATCATAATCTCCATACCATCTTATTTCGATTTTATATTTTTAATTTTTGACGAGAATGGATGTTCGTCTTAAAAGAATGTTTCTGTGATAATGTAAAATTAAAATTAAAAAAGGGAGTACTCTGCATCCATCTCTGCATCCATATCTAAGGTGGGTCAATACTTCGAGTATTAGCCCTAACCTTACCCTTAACATTAACCCTAAGAAATTAACCTTGAGAACTTAAGGAAAGGCCGTTCATACTTCTCCTACTTGTCTCAAGAAAATCAATATTCTCGTAAGCGCTTGCGCTCATATAAAACATATGTTTTGAACTAACCTAAATTCACAATTATTTTTAAAATCTCTAATACTAGAGAAACTAATTTTTACATTAATAATTTCTAGACCAAAAAATATATAATTTATTAACATTTATAGACCGTCAAATTCAACAAGTCAGATATTATTTCGAGAATTCTTAAAAGCCAAGCTTTGAGCATGCGCGATTAAGTTTTGAATTAGCATTAGCCCTAAGAATATAAAATATCCCAACCTGTTAGGACTATGGCTAATGTTAGGACCGATACAACGAGAGCATGAACACTAGCGTTCGTTAACGTTGATTCATATTCTTGGGGTTAGGACTAATGTTAGTGTTAGGGCTAAGATCGGAAGCATGAACCCACCATTAGTTTTTTTTTGAAAAAAGAAACGCTGATAGCCCAGATAGGGAGATTATTTTCTTAACCGAAAAAATCAATTTTTTAATATTACAATATGAACAAATTACAAAATAAAACAAAACAATAAGCGCCCTCTGTGTGTGGGAACCAAAAGGCTGCATTATTAATAAGTAAGTAACTGCCTCAAACATTATCACAGAAACATTCTTTTAACACGAACGCCCATTCTCGTCAAAAATTAAAATATAAAATCGAAATAAGATGATATGGAGATTATGATATAGACATTTATTTGGTATTACAACGAAAGGCTTCCTTCTTGAAGAGTTATACAATTTATAATTACAATGAATGAGTTGTGTAAATGTTAACAGCTTTAACTAATTTTATTTCTTCCGAGTGGTTGTACTTCCTAGGTGACTTTTGTGTGAGTATGCTTTTATTTTAAAGAACATACGTTTAATTAAATTAAAATAAAAAATAATTCTTCTACATAGTATATAAATTAAGATAAATATTAAATTCCTAAAAATTAAACTAAAGTAAATATTAATTTTCTACAATATATAAATTTGAAATATAAATTAAAATTCAACATATACTAATTAAAAAATAAACATAATTCTTAACTTGTTCTTAACTAACATAACTAAAAAATTTATCCTACAAAATTGAATATCAGCATATACAGATTAAAATAATTAATTCTCAACTTACATTACTAATACAAAAAAATATATCTCTCAAAATAAATTTAACTAATGCTTAAGTAAATTTCTTTGAATTGTGCATTGAGGTATGATTTGATTGCCTTGTTTTTTCTTTCAATTTATCTAATTATAGTTGATTATACGGCTCCCCTCACCTTATGATTTTGGTCTAGTTCTTTTTAATTTTTCAAATTTAGCATACCATATTGTTATCCGTGATTGAACAATTTTTGTGAAAGATATAATTTTTTGACTTTGTAAAAAATTGTTGACTTTTTAACTTGTTGTGATTGTATTTTATAAATTTGACCTCTGTAATTGTTTTAGCTTTGGGCCTGATGATGGGAATAGTTTAAATTCCCGAAACATGTCGCCCCCCTTGCTTTTTTAAGCATTAAAATTTAAATTAAACAATTTAAACATTGTGAGTTATGGTCCTTTTACCCGCCTTCAAAGGTTTTGCTTTAAAAATTAAGAGCTTGTTTACGTTGGATATTTTTTTTAGGCCAAAAACTAAAACTTCAGAGGGCGGCAGCAAAAAAAAATCAACTTGGGAAATAACGGACACCCTAATATGCATGCGCATTTCTTATATTTTTATAACATATTTTCAAAATTTCCTTGGCTCCTCTATTTTCTGCACATATTTTATTAACCTAAGTACTGCAATTCATCCTCCATTGTAATTCAGTTTAGAAGCACGAAATTTAGAAATAAAGCAATATTAATTTGTAACCAGTAGAAGAGAACATAAATAATACTAATAATTCATAATTATTTTCGTAACAAGTTACTATTTTACAGTTTTTTTTTTCACAAAATAGGCATAGTGATTCGACGAAATTGAGTAATATGAAAATTATTTGAAATCAATGATCTAGGAGATCACAACGATCATCTTTTCAAGAAAGGCCATGGGTATTTCGCCACTTGTACTACAAGAAAATCTACAACATAAAATAGTTATTTTTTGTAATCGCTGCTGCGTTAATCCAACAGCGACCAACTTGTCAGCTGTGATTTACAAATAAACAAATTTGCCTAGCGGACGAAAAATGCTTAACGTTTCGGGAGGTATATCTCTTCTCGTCGTCGGAAGCAAAAAAACAGTTTAGTTACTACCTGATAACAATTACTTAATGAGATAAAACCAAAAAATAAAAAAAATAATAAAAAATATAAAATCTTCTATATATATATATATATATATATATATATATATATATATATATATATATATATATATATATATATATATATATATATATATATATATATATATATATATATATATATATATATATATATATATATATATATATATATATATATATATATATATATATATATATATATATATATATATATATATATATATATATATATATATATATATATATATATATATATATATATATATATATATATATATATATATATAACTTTCTGTATGATTTGGTTTGGTAGTTACTACCAAAGCTTGCTACAACCAAACCAAGTTAAACTTCAAAATTAGTAATTACTACCTTGTAACAATTACTTAATAAGGTAAAACCATAAAGCTTCAAACTTTCTGTATGATTATTTTTTAATTTGTTTTTAATTTTATTTATGTTTATAAAAATCAAAGAAGCCATAACCATACATTACTAACCTCTACAGATGACGGAGCCATACATTTATTTTTATTAGACTGTATTAAAAAGAACCTTTTTTATTTTTTGTTTAGAAGCTATCGCTTCTTTCATAATAATGTTTGCGTTGTTAAGCTGATAAATCTTAGATTTGTGAAAATCGCCCTTTCTTAAATTCTCTTTATGGTCTTTAATTCGAACCTTTAGATGTGAATGTTTCACCAATATAAAATTTATCACATTCACATGGTATTTTGTATATTACATTTCTTGTTTGTTGTCCAGTGTTCATTGGTTTAGTTGGTTAAAATGGATCTAAGTGTATTGTGTATATATATATATATATATATATATATATATATATATATATATTGTGTATGGTTATCACTGTGTGTATTCTGTGTATGATTTGAGGTCTGAATTTCGTTTAATGTTTTGTCATTAAAAGATAGTGGATAGTCGTTTTTTATTAATATATTTTTGATGTGGTTTCTCTCTTTGTTTAGCGAATTAAAAAAGTTAATCGATATTGACGAGTATACAGGGTGTCCCAAAAATAAGTGCAAGTATTTTAACTGGTAGTATAGTTCAACCCAGAGACACGCCTATGAGGATTTTCAAAAAAAATTTGAAAATTCGAAATTTTTGAAAAAAAATTTTCGGAAATTTTTTTAGTTTTTAATTAAAAAATGCTTTTTACTTATATGATATTTTCACTCTTAACAGAGTTTTTAATTTTATTTCAGCTGTTATAACTGATGACAAATGGAGCTTTACTACGATTCAGGTTCAGTGGAACGCTGAAATCAACGGAGGTTTTAAAAATTTAATTGAATTAAGTGAAAGCGATTTGTTGAATCAATTAAGTGTCACTGAAGATATTTTAAAATTAAATATTTCCGATTTGGTACAAATAAAATCATCCTTGATACAGCCATGCATTAAAAAGTATCTTGATTCCATCCAGAGTGCCACATCACACAATGATATAATAGATAGTATATCTTCCGTAATATTGTACGTAATATAAAACAAAAAAATTCATGTTGTTAATTTTAATTTACTTTTAGGTACATTAATTTTTATAATAACGTAAGCAAATTCAATAACAACAGTAATCATGATCAGATTCTTTCTCACCCATGGGAAAAGACTTTCATTAGATTTTTAGAAGTACTTCCTTCAAGCGATGAAGATATAGAACTGTTAAAAAGTGTCATTAAATTTTTGGCGCTTCTTTTACCTTTCTACAAGGATCAAAGTAACTCATGTAAACTACAATAAGAGTTTGTTCTAATTCCTTTTTTTAGGTTCATGTTGGATATCTGATATTGTTAAAAATCCTAATAATTGCTTGCTGAATTTGATAACTTATGAAAATGTGACAAACGAAGAAATTAAAATTCTCAGCCAAGATCTCCTGCATCTTATCACGTTATGTGTAGTTAGGGAACAGCACTATTTAGATCACTATAACTCAAGCAGTTGTAAGACACGAAAAAATTGCAGTAACTGGAATGGTTTGATAAAAATCATCAGCGAGAACTTACTACTCAATAATGCACAACACTTTTATAATTTAGGTATTTTACTAATTATTTTTGGCTAATTATATTGTTACTTATTTCCTTACCGTGATGTAGACAGCTTTAATGAAAAATCAAATGTATTAAAAAGAGATAAAAAATGTTACCTTGATACATTTCTTGTATGCGGTGTTGCCGGATTTTGCACCAAAATTTCAAACAGTACAAGTAGGTGTCTACGAAAAATGTTGCATCCTTCAAGCGGTGAAGATATAGAACTTTTAAAAAGTGTCATTTAGTTTTTGGCGCTTCTTTTACCTTTCTACAAGGATCAAAGTAACGGTTGGAATTTAATTTTTCACAATTACTTAGTTACTCATTTTACTACAGCTATAATAGATTCTTAAACAACTGCCTATATAACAGAAATGTGCATTATTGTATAGCTTAGATATTATATTATCTTCTTTATTATTTTATTTCTCGTACCAACCGGCAACAGTCGGCAACACTGTATACCGCTTTAAGTTTAGTATGTATATGTTACGGTTATGGAGTGTAGAGGTAAGGAGATAAATGGAGATAAAAGAAAAGTTTTTAGAACAGGAAATGATTCAAAGGACAAATATTTGACGTGAAGGCGCGGGTTTCAAAAAAATACAAATTTTATTTTCATGTTACATGAAATAATCAACTTCGCATCACACACACTTTAACCATTGCTAAATAATAAATAAAGCACAAAAAATGGATAAAAAATAATTATTTTACATTATAAAAAATAAAAACAAAGCTTTTTTTTGGGTAATGTTTGGTTGTTATTTTTATTCTCTTATCTATGGCTATGGTTACTTTTCATTTTTTATAAATATGCGTTATTAGCGCCACTGTGGTTATTTGGTGAACCCTTATCCTTCCCATTTTGTGACTAGTTTTTCAATAAAAGTCCCATAAGAGATATTTCTCCTCATCTCTACACTCCATAGTTACGGTTAAGGTTCGATATCCAGTTAATGTTGATATATATTAACAAGTTAATGTTTGGGTTTGGTTTTATTTTTGGTTGTTTTATTTTGTGGTTATTCTCGAGAGATTTATTTTATTTCGGACCTTGTACTAGAAATTTTGTATATATATACAAAAAAAAAAAGAATTTGGTTATGTTTTCTGTAAAAATTCTGTAAAAAACATCTTTTATTTTGAGAAAATTATATTAATGGATAAAATTTATTTCAGCATATTTGAATGCCCTCCTATCTTGTTTAGTACATTTAACAGCATCTTTGGGTTGGACTAGCAGCACGCCAGGTTCGACGATTAAACCACCTTTACCTCAAATGATTTCAAGCCTCTGTGAACTATTAACAGCATTTCATTGTGGCAAGGGTCCAACTGCAACAATATCAGTCATGGGCCTCAGTATATCCCGAAACGTATTACTGATACTAAATCACATTTTGTCTGAAATTCACAGTTCTAAAATCAAGGTATCAGTTAAAAATATTTTTTTTAACTTTTTTAAGTTTTTTTAACTTTAAATATTAATGCAACACTTATCATTACAGAGATGGGAAAAATGTTTTTTTGGCGATATTGTTGATATTAATTTTATCCGAAGTATTTTAGCACTGTGGAGTAGTAGAGATGTAGTCTTGAGGGCTGCAGCTGTACAGTTGTTTAGTAATTTATCAGCATCTCCTAAAGCCGCAGAGGATATATTAAATGGTGAGTTATCAACGTAATAGTCAAAATCGTCTATACTTCTGTGCTGGATTGATTTTCTTTCCTTACAGGCTGTATATAAAAACCCGTCGCGAGTGCATAACAAAATTAATTAAGAAAAACTATTTAAAATGGCTAAATGTGCTCTTCTAAAATCACTTTAGTTATTGCGCACAGACACCTCTATTAACTGTGACAATTACGACATACGGTTCACATCAAATAAACTTGTAGTTACGTCATCAATGGTGCGATGTAATGATAGTTTCCAAATAAAGTAATAAATTAGAACGCCACTGTAAAAACAGAAATTACATTAGCCTTTGCGATCTCGTTAATTTTGTTGATATATTCTTTTTATTCAGTAGATTTTATAGATGGATCTGTACTAAATAAGTAATGTTTTCTCTGTAGATTTTTTTTGTTTCTTGCTTTTGACGACGCGACGGAGAGGGACATATCTCCAAAAGCAGTAAATATTTTTTTGTTGATTTCTGTATCAGTGGCGAAATACTGACCTTGTTTTCCAGTTCAGAAATTACAATGAAAATTTGATGACTGATAATGTCCTATTTCTTGTATTGTTAATTAAAATGCCTAACTATTCTATGTAGCAAACTAAAACACTATTTCACCACGATACACCAAAACGCTTTGTTTAAACACTGGAGGCGCGTTTCGCTAATTATGTTAGTATCATCAGCAGATGATTAATACTGAGTTTTTTGAGTTCAGTGTGTTCTATTGTGTGTCCTTTCTTCAATTATAACGAGTGATAACTTATCATACAGTCTCACACAGTACGGCTTCACAGAGGCTAGTTTTTTATCTCCGATATTAGTACCAAAGTTTATGGCAGAAAAGGTTGTCGTATCTTGAGAGAGAGACAATGAGGAGGTGTTCTGGTGTTTCCCCATTTTCCCCACAGAATGTGCATTGGCAGTTGTTTCTTACCTTTAATCTACTGAGGTGTTCGTTGAGGAGACAGTGTCCTGTTAAAAACCCTGTGACAAGCCGAAGATTTTTGTTACTTAAATCAAGGAAAATCTCGGTCGTAAGTTCTGTGAAATTTCTTCGAGTGTCTTAAACCGTTGGAGGATTTCCATTCCAAGTTCTTGAGTTGCGCTTCAAGTTGGTTTCCACTAGGGAAGCATAACGGTTCTGGTCCAGTTAGTAGAGTGTTCGCTCTTTTTCTAGCTAGATCCTTTGTGAGCTGGCACCTAGAGTAGGAGGACTTCATAGTTCAGTGTTTACTGGACGCGCGACCAGTGGTTAAAAAAGTGTTTTGGTGTGTTGTGGTGAATTAGTTTTTATTTTACTTTTGTAACACCAAAGGTTCCAATCCCCAACTGTAATATTCTATGTAGTTAAATTTAAAAAACACAAAATAATTGCTTTTCCAGATTTGAAGTATGACAACGCTTACATTTGGACTTTGGCTTTTACTGTACTAATTGATCACACAGAAGCACCTGTTGTTAGAGAAAACGCTGCATTTTTGCTTACTAATTTGACAAAAAATATCTTTGAAATTTCGGATAGTAAAGCTCCTGTCCTACTAATAGTTTCTTCCAGTAATTTACAAAGGGAGGTAATAATATACATGCTCCAATATATATATATATATATATATATATATATATATATATATATATATATATATATATATAAGCGTGATTTATTTATAAACAAATTTCTTTTTTATTTTACAGAGTTCCGGTGAAGAAATATTATCATTATTTGACGAAAATGATTTTTATAGTCATCTTGAAATAATTTTGACATCTTTATTTACTTTAAATTATGATTGCGAAAAGTATCCTCAACAAATAAAGTCTTCTAGTTCTGAAAAATCAAGTTCAAGTAGTAACACAGCAGATTGTCAAATAAACATAACTACGCCAGGCTTCGTTAACGCAGTGTATATATTTCTGTACAACGCAGTAGAATTAGCACCCAAAGAGATATCGTCCAGCTTGCATGAAAAAGGATTAATCAAATTGATTTTTCGGTAACAACAAATCTCTTGGTAATATCGTCGATTGAAAGAATTGGGAAGTTACGCATTCTAATGGGCGAATTCGTGACAAAGCTGATTTGATTTCCCCGTACGTCTCAAGCGCTGTACGCTGGAGCCGCCACTCATTCTGCGGCCAACGCATAAAACACGTTTTTTCTCTAATTTGGCCAGCAAATGCATACCGAAGACGGAATGACATAAATAATAACTGAAAGCGACAGTGTTGTCATATTAAAATGTGTAATATCTGTAATACATTTGACGGAAATATCTTTGGATGAAAAATCCGCGTTTATGTATTGAAAATTTGTTCGTGTTAAACATAGAATAAACAACAAAAATCAATATTCTTTTATAGGTACTGAATATTTGGCATGATCGAAAAAAGTCGTTTAGTTAGCTTTTAAATGACAATAATTGACATTTACCATAATTTTTTACATATGAAATAACAGCGATCTTCATTTCCAAGACAACTCTGACGCCGTTCTTTGTTTAATCATATAATATTATATTAAATTGTTTAATGATAGAAAATCCGTATTATTAACGTACTCTTTGAATAAGAAGACTAAGAAAGGAGCATAATGCTATCCATGTATTCATGCATGGTGGGCGGAAAAAGCACCATAAAAGCACTCTTGGGTGGGGATCCTTGACAGTTCTGTTTGACGATTCATTTGACACATTTGAATTTGATTTGAAATTTTGTGGATTTGTCAGTCTTTACGGAGCTTATTTTATGTTATTTATTATTTATTCTACTACTGACAGTTGTATAAAGGTAGTAAATCTAGATGGAAATTGTGGCAGAACTTAAATTAACAGTGACACTATCGCGATTTATCGAAAAAGATTCTAAAATAGTTGGTTGTGTAGCGTGCGGTAGATCTCGTCAAAAATTGAGTGAAATAATGGAACAACTTTTTGCTAGTAAGTGACTATATATTATACATACGTGTAGTAAACCGATCATTTATGAAATTCACTTAAATTAACTAAATTAAATATTTTTCTTGCATTTTAGCTTTTATTTATTACATAGATGTCAAAGAATTTAGATACGTTAATTTGACTTACCTGCTTCAGTAGCATATCGGATGTTTGTGTTAATAAATACTTATTATAACTTATCTATTTTTATTAGAATTATATATTTTTATAACAATTTTAATAACTACCAACATTTATTCACAACTTAAAATAAAACAACAAATTATTGAGTCTACCCCACGTCTACCCTACATCATAGTTTTACATTTTTTAAATAAAATTAGAACGACACTGATAAACCGGAATTTAAGTCGGCCATATTTGAGGCCCATCGCGGTGTAACTAAGATTTTTGATATGCTCCTTCCTTAGTCTTTTTATTCAAAGAACGTACTGTACCCAAAATCCGTAAATCTACGGATTAATCCGCAGTTCTGGCAACACTGTCTCTACACTACAGTATTTATCCGCTGCGCTGTAAACGGCTCTCACCGCACAGCGGCGCAGAGCTAAACTAAATCTCGAACATCCTGACGTTAACGCCAGTTACATCTCGGACATCTTTTGTTCCACGAAATAGTCCGTAAGGTTGCCTATCTTCTTATTTTTTCAATCAACGGTAATATTCCTTTAAACATATTTTGGCTTTTAGCACGATATGTAATCCACTAATGACTGTCGAAACCACTAGAAAACTAGCGTTGTATTGTAATATTTTGGAAATGAACCAAAGTGTGTGTAGTCTATTACGAAAAATTTGCAGTTTAAATCCCTCGTGTATTGGGACAATTCTTTATACGAGAGATTGTCTTTTTGTAATGTTTGGCCTTTTAAATACTAACATATATCGTAAGTCCTTTAACATTCTAATGTAAAAAATGTGTATTAAAATTATGTAATTTGCAGAAACTAATCTACCAGAATTACTTTACTTAAGGAACAAACTATGGAGTGAAATTTTTAATTTATGTGTTGAACTCTTGGAGACACTTAATGAGGAAAATACTCATATTAGCTCTAAAAGTATAGAAGGATTAAATCTGATACTGGAAACTCTATCTTCTGTTGGCATTGAACAGTTCTTAGATAGCTTATGTGAATCACTAAGTTCGTTAGGATCAATTGGTAAGTTAACCGTTTTGAGTGTATATTATTATACACTTATACAAATTACATAATTTTTGTCGATCAGACGATTTTCGTCTGCAGGGTGATCCGTTCGTGTACCGGATGAATGTTAAAATACTTAGCAAAATATAGGCACCTCAAATCTCATTCTAATCGGAATCACGGTTCTTAGAATATCTTAAAAAATCTGTTATTTTTAACAATAATTTATATCTGCTGTTATTTTTTTAAATTCAATACCCTCTAACGGACAAACGAAGCACTTTTGTATATAGGTAAATTTTATCCAATGTACTTATATTGATTCCAAAAATATGTAGTAGTTTTCTGTTCACAGACTATTGGGACGCCCTGTATATGGCTGACTTAACTTTCTGTTTATCAGTGACGATCGAATGTATCGAAGGGTAAATGCGAGTATTTTTACGGGTTAGAATTTAATGATATTATGTATTTTTTTATTTTTTCAGATAAAAAAAGAGATTTGATATGTTAGCACAATATCATCGAAAAAAAAACGGCGTCAGCGACGGCTATGAAATGAAGATCGCTGTCATTTTATAACTTTAAGCATATAACTTTACAGCGAATGTTTTACAGGGGATGTCGATCGTCATTTCCACGCCGTTTTTTTTTAATTATGTTTGATTTTGATTTGGTATGTTAGTATATGACATAAACTAGGATTGATTGACGTATTCAATTGTTTTCGTTTACTTCCTGTTTCACCTCAATTGACTACCGCTTTTGATTTTTAGCCGACCATACCAATAGGTATGGCAGAAAAAAGTTTGTTTAATTTTACTTAAAATGAGTTATTTGGGTCATAAATGACCTAAATACAAAATATTTTCATGGTGTCTGTCTGTAACACGATAACTCAAAAACCGCTAAACCGATTTTAACCAAATTTGGCACAAAAATACTGTGGCACCCGAGAATCTGGCCGTTAGTTTTTGGTGGTGGTGGTGGGGGGTTGGTAAGGGGGTATGGGAGAGGGTTCAAAATTTAAAAAATTTCCAAAATTACCGTAGCTAGCGAAACGCGGTTTTCAATTTAAGGTAAAACAAAAGTTTTAAGTAGTTTGTAATAACATCAAAATCGGCCAAAGTCGCAGTTTTTGAGATAAAAAGAAAATTGAAAAAATTCCTTTACTTTGAAACTAAAAGAACTGCCTACCAACTTTTTATTAGCGCATTTTAGGTATGAGCGGCTATACGTGCCTCCCGACGCCAATTTATTTACTTCATTTGATAGAAAATGGCATTCTGAATATAATGACATTATAGGTCTATTCGTTTTCCTGTTATTATCGATTCTGAATCGTCCTAGAACTCTCCAGCGCATGCGCAAATGAAATAATGTCTTCATATTTCCTTCTGCGCATACGCATCACAATTCTAGGACGGTTCAGAATCGGTAATAACAGGAAAACGAAAAAAGCTATTATATGCATGTTTTGATATTTTCAATTAAAAAAAAAGCATTTTAAATTTTAATTTTACTCACATTTCACTCAGTTTCTCTCTCATCTAATGAGCCACCCTCGCTCTATTTTAAAAAAAACTGAGTTATGATTAAAAATACGATTTGGGCATTTTTTAACCGACCAGGACAAGACATGAAAAACACTGACGATCAAATATATTTTTCCAAGATCAATCTTGATTAAAATTAAAAAAAATAGTGTTTTTTAACACAGCCATGGCACTCTAAATTGAAATTTAAATACGACTTTTTTAAGCGAGAATGTCAAATGTGGATATATGGAATGTTACTTTAAAAAAAACCTAGAGTGCCGTTTAAAAATCAAAAGTTGTAGTCATTTCGGGTGAAACCTTTGAATAAGAAGACTAAGGAAGGAGCATATCAAAAATCTTAGGGCTCAAACACACTGACGACCAGGTCGCACCGGCCAGGCCGCACCTACCTCTAAAATCATTAAATCAAATGATATAGCGCACACTAACGTCTTGGCCGTCCGTTGGTCGTTGCGACCAGAAGACTGCACGGAAATATTATTATTTTCTGCCGCTTGTTGCCGGTTTTCTTCCAAATTAATAATTTTTCAGATGAAATCCCTCAAATTCAAGGCACAATATTTTATTTTCTATAAGATATAGTGTTTTAGTGTAGTTTTTGCACACGTGCAGAAAATCCAAAGAAATAGTATACAGACTGGATCAAAGGTAAACTTAAATCTAATCTCTTTGTTTTATCAAGGGTCGATTCTAGTAAAAACTCAAAACATTTTTATGACATACCTACTCTATTTTTGGTTGGTATGATACCTGTTATTATACCTTTGAGTATTGATGTATAAAAAATAAAAAAAATAATATTTAAAGTTTTTCTACAACCACTTGTTTTTTTTTATTAAATTAGTTTTTTTAGTTGTATTGTAGTCATGTACAAGCAGGACAACTGTATTTTAAATATTATATTTAATTTAACGTTTTTCAAACAGAGTTCATTATACTATATTTCGACTAGGTACACTATTTTGAAAAAAAAATTAAGAAAGTAACTTAAACATTCATAAAAATAGAAGTAATTACTGTTGTAGATTCTTCGTTATATTGTAAACATTGAAATAACTGGAAGCTAAACTTTCTACGAAGCTAAACTAATAACTGGAAGCTAAACTACCTTCTTATATTTAGAGCCAGTGTCTGACGATCTTTTTTTACGATGGCACTAATATGTTTACTACTAAAGTCGATAAGGACGCCATATCAGTAGAAAAAAGAAACAGAATGTCTCCCTTTTTGTCGGTCGCGCGTACACAATGCTTTTTGTTTGTTGTGAATAGCAACTTCGCTTTTTAGTTAACTCGGATATTTTAACATTTCTGAAACAATATTTTCTAATTGGTAAAACGTAAAAAATCGTTAGATCTGACAACTCTGTTGACACTGGTCGTTCATCTGGCCGCAGCTAAAAACGCAATGCATCCGGCCAGACGACGGCCTGGTCGTCAGTGAGTTTGAGCCCTTAGGTACACCGCGATGGGCCTCAAATATGGCCGACTTAAATTCCGGTTTATCAGTGTCGTTCTAATTTTATTTAAAAAATGTAAAACTATGACGTGGGGTAGACTCAATAATTTGTTGTTTTATTTTACGTTGCGAATAAATGTTGGTAGTTATTAAAATTGTTATAAAAATATATAATTCTAATAAAAATAGATAAGTTATAATAAGTATTTATTAACACAAACATCCGATACGCTACTGAAGCAGGTAAGTCAAATTAACGTATCTAAATTCTTTGACATCTAATCTTTGACAAGTAATAAATAAAAGCTAAAATGCAAGAAAAATATATAATTTAGTTAATTTAAGTGAATTTCATAAATGATCGGTTTACTACACGTATGTATATTATAGTACGTCTGTCCGTTCTGCGGCTACGGGGTATCCGTGAGAGGGGAAACGATATTCTCTCGATGTTTTTCGTAAAAAAATAGACGACGCGTCCCATCAATAAAAATTCGACAAATTTGCAAGTAGCCAATAAAATGAGTGGGCAGAGCGATTTGCGGTGACGTAGTCGTCAAGTCGACGTATAAAATATATTGCTGTTTATTTAAATATTTTTTGTCCGCATTCCTTTCACAGACACAGATCCAGCAGACGCACTTTATATAGTCACTTACTAGCGAAAAGTTGTTCCATTATTTCACTCAATTTTTGCCGAGATCTACCGCACGCTACACAACCAACTATTTTAGAGTCTTTTTCGATAAATCGTGATAGTTTCACTGTTAATTTAAGTTCTGCCACAATTTCCATCTAGATTTACTACCTTTATACAACTATCAGTAGTAGAATAAATAATAAATAACATAAAATAGACTGACAAATCCACAAAATTTCAAATCAAATTCAAATGTGTCAAATGCATCGTCAAAGAGAACTGTCAAGGATCCCCACCCTAGAGTGCTTTTTCCGCCTACCATGCATGGATAGCATTATGCTCCTTCCTATAGTATCCTTGCCTTCCTGTCTTCTTATTCAAAGGGTGAAACAGGAAGTGACCAAAAACAATTAAATACGTCAATCAATCCTGATTTATGTCATATACTAACGTACCAAATCTCGTTGATTTATCTGGAAAAATAAAAATGTTATAGGAGTGAGCCACTTTTCAGAAACAGCCGATATATCAATATTTTAATTAAAGTAAGTATTTTAATTTCAGAATTACAACATTCCGCCTTGAAGTGTCTCGCTTCTATGTTACGACTAGAAAGTTACAACTCGCATGGAAATCTCCATAAAATCACGAGGGACTATTCTTTAGAAGTGCTATTAGATACTGTAAATACCCCTAGAAGTGTTTACATGTCCTCCATTAGAGAAAACTTAGAAAATTTGGAACCTAAAGAAAAACCTGCAAGTTTAACAAAAACTGGATTGAAAAATGTCATCAAATATAAGAATAACTTATTGGAGGAGGCATATTTTGAGAAAATAATTCAAAACACAAATACAAATGTAGAAGATGTGGAAGTAAGCTTTGTAGATAATACAAGTAATACAAGCATAGCTGGATCTGAACTTTGTAAAATACTATTATACTTATATGATATAGCCAGTGTAAAAGTGGAAAGAGGTCAGCACACTATGGCCAAAAAGTCTATAATAATATCTGCTTTAACAAGCTTACTATATATTTCGAATGAAGCAAAAGCATTTGCTTTAAAAAAAGGACTAATGGAAGTTGCAGTAAAAGAATTAAGAGACCATCACATAAAACTTAGTTTAGAATCAGTAGAAAGTCTCAGAAAAATTCAGGATAAGAAAAGAATATGCCCAATACTTGATAATGTGCATGATTGGTTTGGTTTATTGACAAATTTTATGTTGAATGACCAGAAGGTCAAATTAACAGCAGTAGACTGCAATTTGGCTGACATTATTCATAAACTGTGGATATGGTTTATGATACAAAACACTTATATTGTTGATGCTCTACAATTAATTTTTGTGTACACATCTGATTGCATGGAGGGTAAGATAAAATTTAATTTTAATACTAGTTATAAATTATTAATAAAATTAAGAGAAATAACATATTTATTATTTAAGAAAAATCTAGATGTTGACAATATAGTGCAGTACGTCGATCCGTTCTGTAGCTACGGGGTATCCATAAGGGCCAAGGGGGGAAACAATATTATCCATTTCCGAGCAATTCATGGACGTGCTATAAATATTTTAACTAACCTTACTTTTTTTCAAAAACATTAAATCTAATTTATTATTTTTCAACGTAGATGAGACATAATCTTTATAAAAATTAAAAATTAAGAAGAAAAACAATAATAAAATCAGGCAACTATTTTACCGATCACTTGTTTTCGACTGTCCTCCGACCGAGTTACCCATGACTAACGTGGACTCTGCCGCGTGTATATAGGCAGCGGTCTATAAAATACACACTAACATAACACTAACACTAACTTAATATAACACTTTAAATTTGACTAAAAATTTCTCCGTTGCGTTTTTTTTGCATCTGAGTGTATATTGCTGTTTATTTAAATGTGTTCTATAGTAAATTGATCATACTCCAATATTTTGTATTCATTCTTGAAATTCCTTTCATAGACACAGATCCAGTAAACGTACCTATTATACATATACAACATATTATTATTTTATTTGTCCTGGTAATATGAATAAAAATTTTATTTTGTAGCGTGTCACTCTCTTCCACTGACTAGTGCTGTAGCTGGGTCAGGTCCAAGAAAAACTCCTAGCAATGTTTCATTGCTGCATGCTGTTATAGCAGTAGTAGTTAAAGAAATGGGACAAATTAGCAGAAGTCACAATTTGTGTTCATTGGAATTAGCTTTTGAAATTCTACAAAACTGTAGTGACTTACTTGAATGCAGAGTTCTAATTGCGAAGGTAGAATATTATATTTATATTCATAGTAAAATTCGAGAAGTTGATTCAAACAAAAATAAAAATCAACTGAAATGCACCAAGCCTATACCATGATTGAATTACACACCTATGTAAATTTTGCTATTAATATTTGCTGTTCCCAAGCCAAAGAGTTGTTTTTATTTAATTTATTTATTGTTGATCAGTTCCTAAATTAAAAAGAAAATATTTTTCTATAATATGATTATTATTCTAGAGTAATATATTTCAAGCTGCTATAAAATTACATCCATCAGTGACTAGAAGACAATATCCATGGGATAGTGTGGAGCAGTTCTGGTTAAATTTTCTTCATATTTACACGAAATATCCTGAAGGTCAAGCTGCAGTTGCGAAGGCTAATGATGTTTTAGAATTGATTATCTCTCTGACATCTGGTACTAAAATTGCCAACAGAGAAACCGCGCTGCTTGTACTTAGAAATTTAGCTTTTTATCAACCCAACAGACCTAGGTTATTATCATCAGGTACATTCACTTATTTTGCCTTTATTCTTTTTTTAAACAATATCTTTAAATTCCTTATATTTTAGGAGACTTCATAAATGTTTTACAGGTTAAGCTAACTCATGGTACTGTTGAGGAAAAGAAAACAGTAATATTAATAATGTGGTCTATGGCTGCTAACAATCAAAAAGCTAAATTAATATTTAATGCTTCAAAATTAGATGTTAAACTAGAAAATATACTAAAACATATGGAATTGTTAGAAGACTCTGATAGTTCATTGGAAGTTGAAAGCTTAAGTATGATACATACTGTCCTAGGCATTATAAGGGGTAGCGATAAGAATAGATAACAATTAATGGAGGTATTGGACTAGCTTGTAAGATCTTAAGTACAATTATATTTTAATTATTTATTTTTATACCATTTTTTAATAAACAGTTAAAAAAAGTTTTTAAAGTTTCTCTGAAATTATTGCAGTTCAATAAAAAGCTTTAGTAATTTTAAAGTGTTATATTATTTGATATTATAATGTTACTGGTTTATAAAAAGTAACGCAACATAATTATTGTATTAAAAACTACCCCCCCCCCCTTATTCGTTTTCTCAAAACAAAAACACCTACACACATTCTTATTTTCATTACAAAGCTAAAAAAGAGTTATGCATCATGTCTAGCATATACATATAATATTAAAAACCATATTGTTGACGCAATTCTAAAAAAGATATGCCTCTTTAGTCTATTCTGTTTAATAAATGTAACACTTAAAAATTACCTCTCCAGTTTTCAGGTCGACCATTGTATCCCATATCTTGCCAAAAAGCGTCATTGTTAGGATTATGTATATTACTATTATATCTATGTTCTTCGTAGTCTGAATCTTCTTCGTACTCGGAATCTTCATAATCTTCTTCGTACTCATACTCTTCTTCATTCTCATACTCTTCTTCGTACTCATACTCTTCTTCGTACTCATACTCTTCTTCGTACTCATACTCTTCTTCATACTCATACTCTTCTTCGTACTCATACCCTTCTTCGTACTCTGAAGCTTCTTCATACTCTAAACCTGTTTCATCTTCGATAAAATCATCTTATTATGATTTTATTTATATTTGATAAAATTATTTAACGCCCATATCTTAGATGAATTCAAATGTTTTTCTGTTATAAGTATGGCCACAATTGCATTAAAAGGACTTTACGGTTGGCCAAATTGTTTCGAGATTATCATAGATAAATGAAAAATTTCCTCTATCTATGAACATATCTTTAGTCTCTCTAAGGGAGAACTTCTCCCTTAGAGAGACTTATATGAACTTAGATAGACTTAGAGAAGGTATGAGGGTGATAGTTGTCTATCGACTTTATGTTTAATAATTGCAGCCCTTGACAAGATAACGACAGCTGTTGGATTTTTGGAATATTTCTCAAACAATAAAACTTAATATGGGCTCTTAAAAATCTAATGTAATGAGAATTACTTTTTTGACGTTGTTAAAACCTATGTCCCGAGTTGGTTCAGATTATAGTCTGTCCAACGACAGGATCCATATGACTGACAGCTTTGTCTGTCATTTTAATTCGCAGGCTAATTATATTTTCTGTCATTTTTTGGCTGTCGTGTGTCGAAATCTTGCCTGATTCGTCGGATAGACTATAGTAGAACTTCTTCAAAAAGACGTCGATTCCAATGTAATTTATACAATTTTAAATACGCTATTATTTTTAACATTACTAAGAAATCAGATGACTGGAAACATTTTGCTGAAAATAATTGAAAAAGCTGGAAATATCACAATTTTTATAAAAAGTTGTATACTCCTATTGATGAATAGTCTAAAAAAACTGTTTAAAAAAAATTACATGAGAAAACTCATATGCCTAAACAGTCGAGGGGTCACAATAACCACTCCTTTCTACATACCGGATGTTTCAAAAAATATGTGCCATCTCTCGTGGGGAGATTCATCACGTAAAAATAAGATTTATTTTTCATATCAACATAGGTCCGATTCTGCTTTGTTTCCCAGCTACAGGGTGTTAAAAAAAATTAAGTTGAACTCTTAATTTTTTTTTTCGATTCATTATAATTTTCTTCCAAGTACTTTTAGCGTTTCGAATGAAATTTTCAGGATAAAAGTTATTATTAATGCGACATATTTTAAGGCCAAAAAAGTGACGCCATATTCACCAGGGACGTGCATATGGAATATTTTTCTAAAAAACATGTACGCCACTGACTTTTTTCTCTTGTTAGCGAAATAGTGTAAGCACATGCCGATTAAAAGTTACCTCTTGATATTTTGTCGATTTCGGCCTCCTTGAAAAGATAAAGGCTATTTCATTAATTTGCCTTGATCCAAGTCCATAGACTTAAAATAAAATATAGACTACACTATTTACATCTCAACGCGGACAAACAACCTTTTTTGTACACATGTTTACTTCTGGGTACAGTCGACCGAGCCTTCCTCATCCAGCCTATGTTGTCACGTCTTTAATATTATCAATATTTTTTTTCTTGTTATACACATATATTGAGATATTAATACTACAGTTAATAAAGTAGGTTTTAATATTCCAGAGATGTATTAAATAGTCCTTATACTACTAAATTATAAGTCGGATACTGTTTAAAAAGGATAAGTTCTTTACAATATGACAACACCGATTAGAGGCGAGGGAGCCTATTCATTCATTTATTACCTTGTAGTACGTGTCGCACGTGTGCGGTAAAGCTTTGTTGCCGCTATCTCCCCGGCTGTATTAACGCATTTTCTTAGCTTGTAGTGCTTAAGTGTTTATTTTATTGACTTTTTCTGTTCAAGAACTATAAAATATGGTTCGCCAGTGCCAAATTTGCAAGAAATTTGACTTAAATAATCCATTTAAGTCTTGAAACGACTTTTGACCGGTAGGCAACTCTCAATTTACCCATTGGGAGTCAGTGGCGTTGTTGTAGAAAGGCGCTTATTTAGATAATATTTTAGTAAAATGTAAAATCTGAATTTTTTCTCTTACATTACATTATTTACTTACTTACATTGTAACAAAATCATAATTATAACCCTGTTAATAATTAATAATGTTTTTATTAAAAATATATTCCGGTTTATTCTAAAATTATCTTCAGAATCTAAAATAACATACAAGAATTTTAAAATGATATTACATTATGAAACAATATTTTTTAATATACCGGGTCGTCTCAAAAGTGGCTCACCCTATAACTTTTTTATTTTTCAGATAAAAACAGATTTGTATGTTAGTAGGTATATGACATAAATTAGGATTTATTGACGTATTCAATTGTTTTTGTCTCTTCCTGTTTCACCGAAATGATTACATCTTTTGATTTTTAAAGGCACCCCTCGGTATATTGCTACTTTATTCGATAAAAAATGACACTCTGAATAGAATGACATATCATATGTCAACTTTTGACATTGTCGCTTAAAACATATCCTATTTTAAATTTCAATCCAGTTTTTTTCAATCCACTAAGTTTTAATCAAGGAGCCTTGGAAAAATAGTTTTGATCGTCTAATAGGTTTCGTGTCTTGTCTAGGCCGGTTAAAAGATGTACAAATCGTATTTTTAATCATACATATGTCAATTTTTTCAAATGGAACAAGGGTGACTCATTAGCATATTTGGAAAAAAACATTTTTTTTATGAATATATTGATACCACACACTTGGTATTTCGAGTCAAATTGTCGTTATGAACCGCGTGTTACAATTATAATTAAACCATATGCGAAAATGTCAAAAGTTGACATATGGTATGTCATTCTATTCAGAGTGTCATTTTCTATCGAATAAAGTAGAAATATACCGAGGGTGCCGTTTAAAAATTAAAAGTTATAGTCATTTCCGGTGAAACAGGAAGTGACCAAAAACAATTGAATGCGTCAATCAATCCTAATTTATTTCATATACTAACATACTAAATCTTGTTTTTTATTTGAAAATATAAAAAAATTATGGGGATGAGCCACTTTTGAGACGCACCCGGTATAATAAAGACAGTACCGAGTTAAATAAATGTAGTTTTTATTTTATCCACTTCCTATCACCTTCCTTGCTTTAATGGAACAGATATTATGTTTTCTCTAATTTACATAATAAGACATCACTTGGCCAGAAAAAAAATTACAACAATCATATTTTTTTTTCTCTCCCTGTCGCCGATTCTATTATATCTGTGGAATAGATCCTGTTTTGATTAATATTAGGGGTTGTAAATGTTTGACTAAAATTAATAATTTATTATTAATTTCAAAAATTACCTAATTTCGATTATAAAATTTCTTCTATAACGTGTATTTTATTATTTTTATCCTTTTGGACTCTAAATTGTTTTTTCTAAACTTTTATTTAAAAACCTGTCCTAAATCTTAATAAAATATAAAAAGTTTAAATAAGATATATTTTTAATTTAATTATAGCTTCATTAAAATAAAAAAATTACCCGGCTATGATACGGAGAGTTCAGGTGTACTTGAGAAACGAAAGACAGTGTTGTGTTTCTCGGCAGAGTCGTCAGGGAACGACCGTTACGACAGAGACAACCTATCTATCGCTCGTGTCGCACTCGTTATAACCTAAAACAATAACACAACAATAACAAGACAGTGTCTGACCGCATGTTCCAGCTATTTATGAATGAGATGCTCAGTCTATATTTTATTTTAAGTCTATGTCCAAGTCTAATAGCAACCTTTAAAAAAAATATTAACTTGCGAAAGTTTTAAATAAGTACTCGTTGATTCCTCATAAAAAATATGAAAAAAAAAATCCTATAAACATGGGTATGGAAATGCATAGTTTTAGAGTTACAGTATGTTAAAACTTTTTAAATTTAGGTTTTTTGTAATTATCTTAAATACCATTATTTTTTTAGTTGAAATTGCTGTATGTTGGACTAATAGTAATAATATTTAATAATAAATTAGGTAAAATATATAATTTATTAATTCTATTTTTATTTTAATTGAATTAACTGTGATTAATAAAATTGCGTTTATCTCATCCAGAAAGCCGATTTCGACAAAATATCAAGAGATAACTTTTAATTGGCATTAAACGTCCTACGCAATTTTGGTATCAAAAGAGAACAAGTCAGTGGCGCACTTATTTTTTTTGAAAAATATTCCGGTGATAACCAGATGCACGTCTCTGATGAATTTATCGACACTATTTTAGAACTTTTACCCTAAAAATTTCATTTGAATTACCAAAAGCAATTGGAAAAGAATTATAATAAATCGGAAAATTATTAAGACTTAACACCCTGTAATTACGAAACAAAGCAGAATCGGACCTATGTTGATATGAAAAATAAATCTCATTTTTACGTGAGGGATCTCCCCTCAAGAGACGGCACATGTTTTTTGAAACACCCTGTATACCTAGCATAATAGAATTTTCCGAAGTTTGGTTAAGAGCTCTCATCCCTCCTAAAACGCCGACAATCTTAATTATTGTAATTCAGGGTATAGAGCTTGATTTTCATGCATCCGTTATCCGAAGATACGATGATACGATATTAATTTTATTGGTTGAATTTAAAGACTTCGATTGGTTAGAAACCAATTCCTTCGCATTGCAGCCATTCGTAATTCGCAACATATACATAAAAGCTACCCATTCGCACCGGGTGGTATGACAGATTTGAACGAATCTTTTTCTTTCGATTTCCATCGTTCGCATTCTTTCCATTTTATGCATTTATACCGATCTGTTCACACTGCAACGTTTTCAATAATTCGCGGCTCGTATTTTTCTTTCATTTATTCACTTTTACCGCCAGAAAATGGAAAGCGTTTTTTCGCGCTGACACCATTCGTCGTACATTCGCAGCGAATGCACGTTCACACCTGAGAAACATATTCTCGTGAACGCGAACGAATGAACGTTCGTCAAGTCTGTCCTCGGCTTAAAAGGGTTAATCCCATTTATACTTTTTCAAATTTTCATACCGTTTTAGAGAAAATAAAAAAAAACATGAAAATGTTGTATAATTTAAGTCGTAAAAATTAAAACGACCGACCAGATTTAGATTGGTAATAAACTATTCAGAAATAGGAGACACATTATTTTATGAAAAAGCACATTATTTCGCATTTTTTCTAATAATTACCTAATTGTTTAAGCAGTTATAGCTATTTCCAGCTTTTAAAGTATTAACTAGGACTTGATGGATTCTATTTCTTACCATTGCTATAATATCCAATTCTAAATAGTTCTAAAAATTAATCGCTATTATTATAATGTTATAAGGTAAGTAGGTATACTTAAAAAATAACCTTTCCAGTCAATTGGTCTATCTGGATAGCCTCTACTTTTCCAAAATAGCACATCACACGGATTTAACTGTCTACTCCTTATCAACTTTGCTGTAGGGCCTATAATTAATTTAAAGAATGAAAATATCTAAATTAGTGTTTGGAAGAACAAGTTGTATTTAAGTTTTTTATCATATTTATGGCACATACCTATTAACTATTGAGCATCAACATAATTTGTTTAAGTTAGTGTGTAGTTATGTCATTATTATTAAATTTATGGTAGGGGAGAGTGGTATATACAGGGACGTTTTTTTACTTTCTTTATTTAAAAAAACATTTTTCCCACTTCATGGCCAACAGTATTTTTTTCAGTTTAGAATTACATTTTCCTATCAATTTTCCCACCAATTAAGAATAGCTGTTGTATGTAACTCACAGAAAAAAATATGTCCCTGGATATACCATGTGTCCCTATATGTACCACCCTATGGTCCACAATGGGACAATTCAAAAGTTACAGAGAAACGGCATAGTTATTTGTTTTAAAATCCTAGAACGGAAAAATAAAGAGTTAAATATTTACTAAGAAACTTTATTTGAATCATTAAACTGAAAACACATCTGATCCGTTATAAATACTAAACAAAAATGATAACTAATTGAAAAAAATCGTAACACATTACTGGATATTAAATTCCGAAAAGTCAAAATTAAATTTAAGTTGTTTTGCAGCTCTTTCAGTGCCACCGACCGCAACTGGCTGGGGTAGCTTGCATACATCCATTTTATTGACAATATCTTCATTTTTTTTCAGGAAAAAGAAACGTGAGCTCTGAAGATTTTCTGAGAAAATTCACAAAGTATTCTTCAGAGTCCACTACATCTACCTGATGCTTAATACTTTTCTTTAAAGGATATTGAACCAAAACAAAATTGGAGATTTCTATTTTCGGAATTTGAATATCTTGCATGTCACTATCAATGTCATCACATGAATCATCGTCCACAATTTCATCTTCCACGTCGCTTTCACTGGATGATGACTCCACGAAAACGTTTTTCTTTATATTACGGGCTTCCAGTACATTGAAATCCTTTTATTATGTTTGATGGTGTTAAGGCTTGAGGAAAAGCCTGTATGGTATATACAGGGACAACCTTTCAGTGGTATATAGTGGGACTGTCCCTATATATACCATGTTTACTACAACAAAAATTTGAATAATAAAAATAAATAAATAATAACAAACTGATCTAACTTATATAAACTTACCTTTAGTAACGATATCACTACAGCCTGTATCAATTTTAGAATGTTTTGCAAACTAGGACCGAAATTACACAGGATTTTACCTGAATAAATAAATAACATGCAACACACCAACAAGTTTGTTTTTTGTTCCTGGAACATTCCTGGAATTTTCGTGCCTGTCTAGCGAACTAAACTTTATTATCGACAAAGAAACCTTTATTTTTGTTTGTTATACCCCGAAATATTTCTGCAATTATTTAAAAGATGGCGACTAGCGCTTCTGTCCCAGTATACACCACGTCCCACTATGTACCACTCTCCCCTACCTATGCAACTGGTAACTATTAGAATAAAACATGTTTTTAAATTAATCTTTATTAAAAAAAGTGTTTATATTAACTGAGTATATAAAATTTATAGTCATTGCATTGTTTAATAACATTTTACTTACTTAAATATTGCTGCATTGTTGTAGTAATAATTTGGTAATTATTATGGATCAATATAATAACAACCAAATACCTCTGTGTGGCGTAAAATGATCTTAGAAATTACTGATAGGTACTTAAATATAATTAGATAATGAAACTTTATATTTACTAGTTTAAAAGTCTTCTGTAGTTCGTATAATCTGTGTCTCAAACAAGAATATAATGTGCCTACTCCAGAAAATAGGTACAAATCATGATACAAAGAATACAAGGTATGATATTGCGCAGGTTGGTCATTACGTCACAGGTGATAAACGGCACCATTGGTCGGCAAGCTCCGCGCGCCAATTTCAAATTGTCAAACAGATGACACAAAAAATGTGAAAATAATTTTTCAAATGTCAAGCTCAATGATTTGACATAACTTTTGGGGTTATGTCCTAAAGCCCCGTTCTCAGAACTGCGTCGTGTCGACAGCGACACTGATTGACACTTCAAACGACCAATGGGAGCTGTACTAAATTTAAAATTGACAGCTGTTTGAATTTTGTACAAATCTGATTGGTTCTTTTGTCGTGTCGCCCGCGACACGACGTTGTTCTGAGAACGGGGCTTAATTCTTCCCTATTTTAGGTCTTTTTTTATTAGTGGCAATTGAACAATATGGATATTTTTTTGTATGGCGTATGACGTCACAGGTGGTATGCGCAAACTTAACGAAATTGGAACCGCTATCGATCATACCTTGTTTTCTTTGTACCATGGGTACAAATAACCCAGAGAAATAGCCTACTCCAAAATAAACTGTAGATTTTCAAACATACGAGTACAAGGTGCAAGGTCATAAAATTATGACTTATTCGCATTCGTTGAATAAACAAATATAGATTTCGCATTCACAAAGTGTACTTGTTTTGATACAAAATTTTGTACAACGTACAAATTTAATATCATAGATTCTTACAGAACAGCTATGGGATTCTGTAAGCAGGACGTTAAACATTATTGAATAGATTATCTATGTGAATATTTAACTAATATAATCTTTCTCACTTTCTACACTTAAATATTATGAAAAGTGCCATCTCTGGTGCCGTAATATTTTATATTCTTAAGTTCTTGAAAATTGAAATTATGTTCTCAAAATGTACTACTTTTTGTACATAATTTAAAGAGACATGATTTGAAATATTGTTTTTATTGATTGTAGTAATGAGCGCGAGTATCGGTATATTTTCAGATATCGATGTAATTCCAACAGAACTTCTTGTTTAATGTTATAGTATAGTATTTCCGAAGTCAATTGGAAGAGTTCCTTAATATTATTATGACCGACCTATTTATGAAAATTATTATATATTCCCAATCTATTCCAACTGAGTTCAAAAAAATTAAACAGGATCCTGATCGCTGCCGGATTATCATATGTCAAAAACCTAATTTTTACTTATACTTATGAATAGGGGAATACAAAATCCGTTGCGGCATATAACTTATCGGTAGCGTACTTAAAGATTGCCTAAAAATCATGGAGGATTTATATTATATTAATATACACTGGAACACTTTTAATTAGGAAATATATAGAATACTATTTTGATTAAATAACACTTGATTTCTGCAAACTGAAATTATACACAGTATGTTCCTGGATCGTCTTTACAAAAGGAAACGTTTTTTTTATTAACATTTTTAGAGAAATACATTCTTTATTAAAAAAATTCTTTAAAATGATATGGAGATTTGGAGAGGTATAAACGTCGTGATTAACCATTTTAGAGCAAGAAAAATGTTATAAAGATGACATTTTCTTGCTCACGGGGGACATACTGTATATGACTGAAATTTTTGCGTTGCAAGTTGCAACTTTTCTGCCTCATGATTTGTTTTAAATTGATATAGACTTGCCAAGAATTATACTTTTATAAATGTACAGTATGTTCCCGGATTGTCTTTACAAGAGGAAAAAAAACTTATTTTTATTCATATTTTGAGAAAAATGCATACTTCATAAAAATTTTTGCTTGTTCTAAAATAGTTAATATCCCTTTTATACTTTTCCAAATTTCCATACCGTTTTATAGAAATAAAAAAACATGAAAATAGTTTTATATTAATTTTTTCCTAGAAATCCTAAAAATAAAAATGCGTCTCTATGGAAATATAATTTCGTTTCCGTTCTTTGACAGATCTTCGACAGATTGTTATTAATAAAATTTTAATTATAGTAGTAGTAGTAGTATATTAGTTTAATGGCCACAGCTGCCAGGGCTATCCGGCCGGATGGTAGAATTAACTACCTACGGTTGAGCGTTTATATAGATGATGACACACAGACGAGGATCGCTATAAAGCGAGCCTGGGAAATCCCATACCCCGACTGTTGAGTTGAAGAAAATGTTGGCGACCTTTTCCAATTGGGTTGTTTTGTTGCGCTTTTTTGCTAGTCTGTTGTCGTCCATTCTTCTTACGTGTTTGTTCCAGTGCCTTCTCCTTTGTCTAACCCATCTTCCTATATCCTGGATTTTGCTCCACTCTCTAATATCTTCGTTTCTCGCTCTATCATGTAGTGTTTTTCCGTGTATGCTTCTCAGCACCTTCATTTCTGTTGTTCTCATCATTTGCATTGTTTTGGCCGTGTCTGGTCTTGTTTCGGCTGCGTACGTGATGACTGGTCTTATCGCGGCTTTATATATTCTAATCTTGCTCTCTGTGTTGAGATACTTGTTCCTCCAGACGATGTCATTTAAACAGCCCGAAATGCGAGACGCCTTCATAGTGTGTTCTCTAACTTCTTTCTGCAGGTTGCCATAACTTGATATTCCAACCCCTAGATACTGAAAGTGATTCACTTGTTCGATCAGTTTTGAGTCCACTTCCAGTTTGCACCTTACCGCCTCCTTGGATGTTACCAGGCATTTTGTTTTTTCGGTGTTGATTATCATGTTTAATTGTTTGGCCTTTAGATTAAACGCATGTAGTAGTCTCTGAAGATTGTCCTCTGTATCTGCAATGAGTACTGCATCATCAGCGTAGCATACAACGTGGAAGAAGGTGTTTCCCATTTTGTAACCTGCCGTTTTTGGTAGATTTTCTATTATTTGATCCATGATTAAGTTAAATATAAATGGGCTGAGGGAGTCACCTTGTCTTATTCCTGTTTGGATGAGTATCTCGTTAGTAAACAGATGTTGAACTTTTATTGCTGTTTTGCAGTTGGTGTTGATGTCATATATTAAGTTGATTAGTCTCGGGTTTAGTCCTTTTGTTTCTAGAATCTGCAATATATCTGTCAGGCGTACTCTATCGAAAGCTTTTGTCATATCTACAAAACACATATACGCTGGCTTATTAAGTTCCAGGGACTTTTCAACGATTTGTCTAACAATGAATATTGCGTCAATAGTCGAGCGGTTTTTGCGGAATCCTTGTTGTTCGTCTCTAATTTGTATAGTTTTACTGATTTCCTGTAGTATTGTCTTAGTGAATGCTTTTAAGGTGCTGTCTAATAATGTTATTCCGCGATAGTTTTCTGGGACTGTTTTTTGACCTTTTTAAATATGGGTATCGTTGTGCTGTTCTTCCATTCGGCGGGTATTTTCTGTTTACTAATTATGTTCTGAAAAATGCTAATATTTCTTTCTGCAGGTTGGGTCCGCCGTATTTGAGCATTTCGTTCGTGATTTCATTAGGACCTGGGCTCTTTCGATTTTTGAGGGATTTAAAATTATCTTCTCTCATCTCAATCGTTAGTTCTATATTGTTGTCGTCTTCCGTGTCTATTATAGGCTGCTCGATTTGTTCTGTTTCCCTATAGATTTTTAAAGTACGTTTCCCACTGATCTATAGTAATTTTGTTTGTTTGTACTGTATCTTTTATTTCTTGTTTGTTTCTCCTTAACATTCCCCAAATTCTTCTCTGGCTTCCATACATGTCCCTTTCCATTCCTTTCGTGAATCTTTCCCAATAGTCTTCTTTAATCGCTCTTATCGTCGCGTTTACTCTGTTTCGTTCATTTTTGTAGCTGTTCCAATTCTCTGGAGTTTTGTTTCGTAGATACCGTATATAAAATTCTTTCTTTTGGCTGGACAATTCCTTTATTTCTGGCGTGAACCATGGCGTGTTGTTAACCTTGTTGATGTTAATTTCTCTTTTTCCTATGGCTTCTTCGGCGGCACCAAGTATATTGTCTTTTATTGTCTTCCATTGTTCATCTATGTCATGTTCTCTGTTTGTTGGGTTTTCGTTTATTTTGTTTGTTAATCTATTTTCAAAGAGTAGTTTTGTGTTGTTGTCTTCCAGAGATTCAATGTTGAATTTATTCATTCGATGTGGTTTTGGTTTTGTGGATGCAGGTATACTCAATCTTAGCTTACATAGTAGTAATTTATGGTCGCTGCCTATGTTAGCCGCATTCAGTGTTCTTACGTCTAATATTGTCTGTGGTGTTATTGATCTATTAGTGATAATATAGTCAATCACTGATTGCTGGCCCCTTGTGTTCTGCCATGTGTACTTGTACTTCATGTCGTGTTCAAAAAAGTGTTGTTAATTCTCAGCGCGTTAACTGCACAGAATGCTTTAAGTAAGTCACCGTTATCGTTCATCACCTCTTCATTAAATCTCTGAGTAACCCCACCTAGTGGCTCATTTCCCACTCTCGCATTCAGGTCTCCCATGATCACTATTTTATCTTTGGCCTGTATTCTGTCAACAGCTTCATACTTCTTACAGCGTCATATTTCTTGCTGTTTCAAAATTTATCATTTTAGCACAAAATTTATTTAGCTCAATCCTACGGAAATAGTGATAATAATGGTTATAGGAATATCCATAGAAAGACCTAGTACTCTGTAATAATGTAATCTGTAAGTAGCAGGCTCTGTAATAATATATACCGTATTTTTCAAAAAAACGGCGTCTAGTTGGCTTCGAAATGATAATCGATGACATTTCTCATACAATTTTACATATAAAAGACAAGAGACCGCGATCTTAATTAAAAGCGATCTGTGACGCCGATTTTTTGATCATATTTCATTTAATTCTTATTAAATCATACATCACTTCTTGACAAAATGGTGAAGGAAGATTTTAAAATTCTTTTTTCATAAAGTACCGGCAAAGATACCGGTTGTCTAGAAAAACTATGAAAGATCGCTAAAATATCTTGGATCACGTCACGGATTTGTATAACGGATCCAAAAACAAACAAAAAATAACCTTAACAAATTACAATAATAGTAATTATACATGATTTTTTAATATCAAATAATAATTAATTGGATGTTTTTATATAAATATTTTAAAAATGAAAATATTAGTATTAGGGGTATTAAGATATTCTTTGGTATTAGCGTTGTATTAGCCTTTATAAAGAATGGTATTAGGTTTTACTGATACATATTTTTTGATAAATAGGTATATATAAATATAAAAAAATGTTTGAAAAGTTTTCTTATAAACAAATAAATTATGTATAAATATTTAATTGCCTTGTCTACTCTGAGATTGAAGATTGCCCCTTATTAAATGTCTAGTACATTTTTAAATATTTCGTACAATTTTTCTGCCCTCAGTACGTAGGGAAATCCAGCACCATCAATAGTTTGACATTTAATTTGACACTGACAGAATATAAACACACTAGATTTGGTTCACAGATTTGGTTGTTTGTCGTTTGTGTTTATACTTACGGTTTATGTTTAAATTTTCCTTTAATTGTTGAAAATTTATTGTGACAATCTGTGTTTTGTGTACTAGTGAAGTAACATAATGTCGGACACTGGAACTCATTTTCCTCCGCAAACTTATTCATCGATATTCAACTTGAATGCGTTGGCTGAGGTAACTGGTGCTTATTGCAGGTTATATAGCAGATTCTCATATAAATAAACAATAAAAGCTTATAAAGCACTACAGACGTCAATCAAAATTAAAAAGGGTTAATAGTTCATGAATTTATTAATATTTATTTCTTTAATTGAACTGGTTGTTGAGATGCTTCACATAGAACAGTCAATCATATAGCAAGTTTAATGTCAACTAACATTTTAGTTGCCGTTTTCTCGATTCGAATGTAATATTTATAGATAGCTTTGTCAGAGAGCCAGTTCCCTTAATTATAAGTAATTCCATTCCTATAATTAAATCTAATTGTTTAAATATTATAGGAAGAAAGCAGTGCAAGTTCTAAAGAAAATGGAGTAAAAGAAGAGGGTTCTCAAATACTTGATTGCTTTATTACTTCGGTAAGTAAGTAGATTTTATTTAGAACTGAATAGGGTTAATGAAATTTGTTTATATGTTAGAATGTACAAGTAACTTCTACTTGCTGTTGCAATTAAAGCTAACTGAAATTTAAGTTACTTAGAACTACTAACTGTAATTGGTACCTACATAATACATTGCAAAATGATGAGCCTCTAAATAGATATATTCGTTTTTCATACAATATAATTCTGTACCAAAAATAGCTTTACTTATTGTGATAAAGTAGTAAGTTATTTAGAGATGATTATATTTACCCAGTCATCTAATTTTCTGTCATATGTATCAAGATCAAGCCAGGCCTCAGTGCCAAGTTCTGATTTATGATAGGTAAGCTTTTTAATAATTTGTTGTTGGTGTAGTGTTAAATAAAAATGTAAAATATGTCACTACTGCAACTGGGCATACCAGTCTTAAACTGCAACTTTTATTATATTTACACGTATCTCATATTTTATTACCTTAAATATCACCAGTATAGTCAATATTAAATTCAGTTCATTTTAAAAATGGGATATGTTGTTCTACACATTTTAAGTTGGTCAAAATATATCCATACAATAAAATAACCTTAAACTTATCACTTCTATTAGGTCCTAGTTAATCAGTTAATATGTTAGCTTAACTATATTACAATTTTTATTTGTCATCTTAGAATTTCTTGTATTGAAAACTATTCTTAAAAAAAATCATACATTGGCGCAGAGGTCATAGTGTTATTTACAATAATGTTCTTAAGTCGTCATCATCATCATTTTCAGCTTATTCAACCATTTCCAATTGAAGAGGTAGCTGCAATAACCAGGCAGCTCAACTTTTTTTACGAAAATGAGATATTTACTGAATTGCCCTTTAAAAAATAGTCCTATCGTTCTTTGCAACAATCAGGTATCTTCATTCAACAATACATAAATGGCAACATTATTTGGAGCTGCCTTGCTTTCGGTTGTAGCAAGAACAGAGCAGCTCTTCGAACTCCCTACTTTGGCTAGTAAAATTTGTTAAAATGAAGCTGCTTGGTTATTGCAGCCACCCCTTGAATTATGGTGTAGCCTTCCTCACATATTTAGATACTCTCTTTGTAGTTGGGCCCATTGTTGTCTATTGCTGGCTATGCGAGCCCAAGTTATCCTTGCTAATTTCGAAATATCATGGTCCCACCTCACGTTCGATCTTCTTCTAGATTTCTTAATTCCTCGTGAGTACCATGTTGGAATTTTTGTGGTCCATCTGTTTTTGACGTCCTTCTTGCTAGGTGTCCCGCCCATTGCCACTTGAGGGATTTGACTCTGTGGATGACATCTATTACCTGGGTCTTTTGTCGTATCCACTCTATTCTTTTACGGTCTCTCTTGGTTATTTCCAGCATATTTCGTTTCATTGAGCGTTGTGCGACCTGCAGTTAACAATTTGAGATACTTATTCTCAATCTATTTTTAATCCTTTGTTGGCCCAGTCCAGTTGACGAAAGATTTCTTCTAGTGTTGCTGTAAACAGCTTTGGAGATATCGCGTCTCCCTGTGTCGTACTCCTTTGCCAGTTGTTAAGTATGACATTAATTTATTTTCAAATAAATAAGCTCTACTACCTACTACACTCAGAAATAATTGAAGGTATACCTACAAATTCTGTAATTCACTAGAACAGATATCTACAAGAATTATAAAACCTCGGTAAACAAAGGCATTAATAAAAATTAGCCAACTTTATGAAAAATCGAGGATAAAAGTGAGAAGATTTTGTATACACTCATGATTTTCATTTTTCCTTCGATTTTAAATTTATATACTTTTTATATAAAACATTATTTAAATAAATAATAATTTTAATAATTTTTTATATAAACACAATTACAGCAATAGGCACATATTTTTTATATAGAAGAATAAACTGGCCACACTCACCTCTTGTTATATTAAAACGGTGCGAATAAGAGAGAATACATGAGAGCGGCAGTTATTGTCTGTATTGTATTTTCTGTTATTTGTTCGATGTCGTCTGTCAAAATCTTTCTTGACTCGTCCGATTTTGGACTATAAGTGTATCTTCAATTCAAGATAATTAGGTATTGCAATAGAACGAAAATATACGAAATTCTTCAATCTGAATCAAACGATTTACGAATCGTTCTTGGTAGTGTTTATTATTCCAAAAAATGCATCGTTTGTTTTTCGTATTGTTATGTGTTCAACGTATTTAAATCAGACGATGTTTGAATGTCAATAGCAAAGAGTAACCGAGTGAATGACGCAAATGTAGTATCCTTATTCAAAATTAATTAGCATTCTGCGGACAGTTGCAAATCGAAGACCGTATTGGGTCGCCTTGTCTTCATTACAGAGAGGCCCCGATCCGAATTCGATGGCTTACGTCACTCCATAAAAAACAAACAAACATAATTCGTAATTAAATCACAGTACCCTACCAAATATAACTGAAAAAGTAATTCAGTTGGCGCGCCTCCAGCCGTTATACAATGGCCGTCAAAAAGTTTAAAACAAAATTATAGTACATTTGGGAAAAATGGAGTGGAAATTGAACTTATTGCAATTTTTGTCTCTTAATGATATAATACTTTATAAAATATCTACATTATGCGGGCACCCCATTAGCCAACACGTCACGCCACCCCACGCCATCCCACGCTATCACATGTGTGATGGGCGATTCGTCTGCCCCAGATCTCATGTGTACACTCTTTCCGTCATGTGTACACTCTTGCCGTCGCAACACGTGAGCTCACGTCTCATGTGGGATAGCGTGGCGTGTGGCCTAATGGCGTCCCGGCTTTAGTATTACATCAAAAATTAACTCTACCAATTCTGCCAATCAATAATTATTATATGTATCTACTATAAATTCAAAAATAAGATAACTGTCCTTAAAATATCAGTTTTATTAGAAAAGTCATTATTTTTTTAAATTCCATGATCAATTTTCAATTAAAATTTGCCATAAAGAATTCTTTCGAGTTGCTAGATAATTTGAAAAATATTGATGTTCCACATAATGCAACACTCGTTTCTTTCGATGTCAAAAGCCTTCTATCCCAACCCATGAATTGTCCTCTATTATTTATGAACTAATTAATAAATCTAATCTTAATTGAGTCCAGTCAAATTAGACAAATTGGTGGAAAAAAATCCCACAGTTTTGAAAATGGTTTTAATTGATTCTTCTAGACTTGGGCTGATGATATGTGTCAAAAGTCCCCGAAGATAGGCAACGAACTAGAGGAACCTCCCCCTTCCTCTTCCGTTAAATGTCACTTTTATGACTTTTTAGCTTATATCTCGGAAAATATGACACCTACAAAAATATACCTTTTATAGAAAAAAAACTCAGAAAATTGTATATATAAATCTCTACGAAATTGGTTGAATGCATTTTTTTCATAGGTCTAATCCTTTAAGAGTTACAGGGTTAACAAAATTAACACTGTTTCTCATATTGTATTTTCGGATTTAAAATAGAATTAGTCTAAATTTAACCTTTCATATTAATAATGGTAATATTAAGGGATCCTTATGTTATCTTTCAAGTCTTCATTGCATCCTGACTTTTTGTCCTCCATTTGCGAGCACTAGGGCACACACGACTTAACAATAACAGCAAGTTACGATAAAAAAAAGTACACCACCGCATTTAGCGCAGCTGGAAATATTGCAGAAAGTATAACCAAGAATCATGGTTTATGGTCCATTATTGCTCAGAGTTGAAGATTTCTATCCCCGCCTGCAGTAGATTTTTCTAATGTTCAAAAGCACGCAGCATTGAGGTCTGGTTCCCTGAGGTTGTATATTATGATTATTGATATTCTACATTGCACGATTCCCTCGTGTAGGTACAGTTGACATAAGTGTTAATATTTACGTATCTGCACTACCAATCCATTTCACCAATATAGTATCAGTCTTCCTTCGCAGAATTTGAAAAATGATGCTCGTATGAAAGTGCGATCTTTGAAACTTCTCTACCTATAACCTATCCATGTACTATTCAATTTGCAAAGTTTGAAACTTTCGTCATCATTTTCGGCGCCATATTGGTTCTCACGTATTTCTTGACTTGGTCCATGAGTTGTTTATATCTCTGGTTGTAAACTAACAATAACAAATTTAATAACAAAATATTAAACAATGACAAACTTATTGTAGCCTACCCGCAGTGTATACAATGAATAAATACGTCCTCTATTAATCATGGATCTTATAAGCAGGAATTCCAGGGGACAAACGAATATTGTGACTTGTTTTGCTGCTTTTTGTTCTTTATCTTTCACGATTCCTCTGGAACTTAATCTTTGCACAGTCGAGCATGAAGTTTCTAAAGCCTCCGATGCTCTCTATAAAACACGTGAATAGTTTCGAGTTAGTTATAAAATATTAAGTCACTCGGTAGTTATCCAATTACATCATAAACAGCCCACACAGTTAAAAGGGGGTTTTCCACCATTTTAGAGTTTCAAATACTCGATAATTTTTAATATGAGCCGTTGTTCTTTTTCACTAAAACGGGACGGCATTTTAAACACAAATTACATCACAAATAACTAAATAAACACAGAAAATCCCACAAGAATTTACGGGAAACTATCGGAGTCGTTAAAATTTAACGACAAGGTTGACAGTCGGCGATATTCTTTTGTTCGATTTTGGCGGGTAATACAATAAATATGATGTTTGCCTTTTTCTATTCATGCACATTAGACAAGGAAGTACGATTCTTTATACGTAAAGGCGCGTATTCATGTGAGCATGAACGCGAACGAGGCAAGGCGAGCATACGAATGGAGCGGCAAACTGCCTCGGTTAGATTCGAGGCTATTCGGCTGCCATCCGTAGCGAATTGGTACATCAAAGGGAACTTGAGTACCATTCGGTTCGTTGTGGACGGCGATTTTGTATTATTGCCTCGCGCTTCCGTTTAAATCTTTAATTCGTTAAATTTGTTTTGGTTCATGTGTTCTTGTCATAATAAACTCGTGCAGTATGAACTGGAGTAATGAAAAAACGTTAATTTTAATTAAATAATATTAAAAGCGACCCATTTTATGGAAAAAAGAGGATGCCTGGGGCGAAATTGCAGATGTTTTGGAAGAAAAGGTTGACATATTAAAGAAACTCTTAAATCATCACCTGCAGTGTTTCTTTATCTGCCGACAGTGCCGCACGCCGCACGGCTGTGAATCAGTGCCTCGTTCGCTATCCCGCCTGATTTCAATTTGCGGTTTTCAAAGTTCAAACGAGACATTCGTTCTGCCTCGCCTTGCCTCATTCGCGTTCGTGCTCAGATGAATACGCGCCTTAATGAAGGTGATCCGTATTTAAAACGGAAAAAATAATCGTATGATGTAAGAAATATAATGGACTTACGTTTTTGACACAAAATTTCAATTTCATGTGATAAACATGGATAAGAGAGAGAGAATGACAATATGTGACGAAAGACTCAAACTTCGCAAATTAAACAGTACATAACAATTTACTTCATCTAAGGATATGACTCTCCATACTTTAAAATTATCTATAGTATTCCATATTATCTGGATTTATGTGAACGCATCACGTCTAAAACTTATAAAATCACAGTATATACGCTATTTGAAGGAAAAACGTACAATGGAAAGAAATGTGTTTGTACGGATTTGTAATATGCCGGATTGGCATTGAAGTACCCAAATTTATGAAGGGCATAGTTCGGATTCGGAAACCATAAGTCCCGGAACAAAAATGTATAGAATCATTTTTATAGAGAATTTTGTCAGCTTTATTTTTATATATAGAGCATTTTCCCAGATATAAGCAAAAAAGACTAAAAAAACTGACATTTAACAACTCCCCACTCCTCGAGCTCATCGTCTATCTTCGGGGATATTTGACACGTATCAGCCCAAGTCTAGAGGAATCGTTTAAAACCATTTTTAAAACTGTGGGAATTTTTTCCACCGATTGGCCTTTTTTTAACTAATTTGACTGGGATAAAAATAGTAAAATCAGATTTAATAACAATAATTCAAACTTGTTTAGAACAAAATTATTTTCAGTACAACAATGAAATATTTAAACAGAAAGATGGGTTACCGATGGGTTCCCCAATTTCACCGTTATTCGTAGAAATATTTATGGCAGACTTTGAAAAGAAGCTATTTAAAAACAAGAGTAGTTTAATATCAAAAATAAATTATTGGGCAAGATATGTAGATGACATTTTCTGCATTTGGTCGGGCACCGAGAGAAATTTATACAGTTTTTTGACATTATTAAATTCAATTAACCCGAGAATTCAATTTACTATTGAAAAAAGTATTAATACCATCAATTTTCTTGACATTACAATTATAAAATAGTCATATAGATTAAAATTTGATATTTACAGAAAACCCACTACCACCAGACACTGTAATACACAGTAAATCACACCAATCCTGGCAAATTAAAATGTCACCCTTTCGTAGTTTAATTCTTAGATTAGTAATGTTTCCACTGAACCCAGAGAATTTTAAAAAACTGTTAAATATTATTAAATAAATCGCCATCAACAATGATATAAGTGTTCCCTTATTGATAATATGCTAAAGAAAAAACAAAAGAAAATATTAATGAAAAATTTTTATTCCGCTAATTCTAAAGACAATAACAATTATCGACTTTGAATCTACATTCCTAATTTAACTAACAAAATATGAAATAATCTCAATAAAATAGGATGTAAAACTATTAACGTAAGTAATAGAAATTTAGGTCAAATTGTATTAAATAATAAAGGCAAAACTAATGTCAAAAATAAGTCGGGTGTATATAGGGTGGATTGCGATGATTGTGATGCCGTGTACAGGGTGGGTCAAATTGGACGCTTTTAAAGGGAAACACCCTTTTCTATAGGAGATAGACGAAAACTAATATCGGTGGAGCTCAATTTTTATCAAAAATATGATGGTGAAAACCGCACATCGATATCTGTTACCGTTTCGGAGTTACGGGTTGTTTTTAAAAAATGTGCATTTTTAACAAATCGCTGTAACTTTTTTGCTATGGAAAATTTTGTATTTTCGGGAAAACATTTCCAAAGCACCTTTTTACGTAGAATTTAATGGTTTAAGCATAATTTTTTTTTAAATTAATAATTTAAGAGTTATCAACAGAAAAATTGATTTTTTATTTGGGATACCCTATATATTTTTAATTAAGTGAAAAGAACTTAAAATTACCTTTACAAAAATATAACACACTTGATAATTTGTTATAGTCCCCTTCGAAATACAGAATTTTTATAAGTTTTGCCACTTTTAACTAGTAGGCTTTGGACCCCTTATTGATGATCTGCCCCTAATGGAACTCAAAAACATATTTTTCCAGCAAGACGAGGCACCGCCACAGAACGCTGAAGTTATCACTAAATTTTTGCTGCCAATTTCGAGAATAATTGAATAGCTAACCAAGATTCCAGCCGTTGGCCGTCGAGGCAGCCCGACTTAGTGCCTGTTATCCTTAGTGGATTTTTATCTTTGTGAAGGAATAAAGGTTCTTATTTTTAAATTGCCCCTATAATCTAGACAAGAATTACAAGTATTTAGCCGTTATGCGAGGGTATCTTTTACCTCCACTGAGTTAATTAATTCCGCGAGAAATGTTCAAAAACGGATATGTCGAACACTTGTAGCAAAATCTCATGTCTTGGTTTGCTATTAATTTTTATTGTTATTAGATATAGTTTAGATGTGTTGATGTTGTTAAATATAGTTTAAATTGATATAAAATTCTGCATATCTCATTGCAAATATTATTTTCGTTTAATTGTTGCTCGCACAGCTACAATTTTCTGCACTACAGCCGGCGCCGTTCAAAGCCTACTTATTCAAAGTAGGCGAATTTTTAAGAACTCTATATCTCGAAGAGGAAAATATCAAGTATGCTACATTTTAGAAAAGGTAAAATTAAATTCTTTTCAATGAATTAAAAATATACCAGGTGTCCCATATAAAAAATCAAATTTTCTGTGGATAATTCTAAAATTATTAATTTTAAAAAAATACTAAAACCATGAAATTCTACATTAAAAAATGCTTTGAAAATGTTTTCACAAAAATACAAAATTTTTCATAGCAAAAAAGTTACAGCGATTTTTTAAAAATGCACATTTTTGAAAAACACCCCGTAACTCCGAAACGGTAACAGACATCGATGTACGGTTTTCACCAACATGTCTTTGATAAAAATTGAACTCCAGACACCGATATTAGTTTTCGTCTATCTCCTATAGAAAAGGATGTTTCCCTTTAAAAGCGTCTAATTTGACCCACCCTGTACATAGGCCAAACAGGAGGATTAAACAACATGTAAAGTCTATTAATAATCTCCAGCAAAGTTCTGGCCTCGCCAACTCATTGTATATTAAAGTCACAAAATTAATGAAAACTCAATTGAGTTACTACACAGAGAAACAAGACAGTCGCTTAGTTCCCTTGAACAGTTAGAATTACTAAAATCTGTTAAAAACGAAAATAATGTTAACGATCAACAACGATTTCTAAACATATTTTTTATTACCCCTATTGTAAAGTCTCTGAACCCGCCTCCATAATAAATATATAATAATAATTATTGTTACTAAATCTTATTTTACTATTATATTAAGATTAGATTTATTAATTATTAGTTCATAAATAATAGAGGACAATTCATAGGTTAGAATAGAAGTGAACAGGCTTTTGACATCGAAAGAAACGAGTGTTGCATTATGTCGAACTTAATATTTTTCAAACCAAACCCGAAAGAATTCTTTATGGCAAATTTTGATTTGTCAGTCAGTCAGTATATTGTTAACAGTGTTATGTATTGTTAAAAATCTTGTTAGTATAACTAAGTACTCCATACACACTCCATAATAAACGTTGTAATTCTTTTTTTGAAAATGGAGTATTAATAAAATTTTGAGATGATCAGTTCAGGATCAAATTCCTATTCAAATATCCCTCGTAAATTATCATTCGTATCGTGCCATTTTAACCTCTGCATTGGAATTCTTACAAAAAAATCAAATGTACAAAGAAACAAATTGTGTTAAAATGAAAACAAGCAAAAACATGGTATTTGTTTGATCTCCATGCCTGTACCTCCAAAGGCATTATAAAATTTTCTCAGATATTTGTATTTGTTTGTCTATTTATGTACAAATTGTCTGCATTATTATAACAGTGGTTTTTCAACCAATGTTAGGTAAGTATGATATTTTTAATAAGTGTACCTATATTCTATATTATGTAATATAATTACTGTTTTTTAGTTATACGGATAGAAGATACACATCCTGTGATTTTCATGGAATTATAATTTAAGAATTTTTGGAATAAGAAAAATTCATTAAATTACTAAAGGTAAGTTATTAGTTTATACAGTATGTCCCCTGATTGCCTTTTCAAGAGGAAAAACTTTTTTGTTATTAACATTTTGGTATACATGCATTTTCATAAAAGTTTTTGCTTGTTCTAAAATGGTTAATCCCGTTTATACTTTTCCAAATTTCTATACCGAATAAACTTAGTTCCTAATTGATATTTGAATACGTACATAATTATTTTTTGTTAAGTACCTAATTAACGGTTACTGATAATTTGTTCCAGTGTTGTGAGCGACCAAATACAATAATCAAAAACGAAATCGTTTAAATTTGTTGATGAAAAATCAAATTAGAGGAGGAGGGGAAGGAAAACAACAAAGGTGAGTTATTTTCTTAAAATTTTTAAGTAATGTACGCAATACATTTTATAAATACGATTTATTGAAGTCATTTTTAAGCTATCTATATTTAAAGTAATCCGTGACCAATTCATATTTAAGTTAAACATCCATTAAATTATGAATATTTCACGTATTTCCCAATATTTTCCAACAATTTTCTCATACCGATTTGATCAATAGCAAAAATAAATTCAAGATTCAAGCAGTTCGACGACAAGGGAGTAAACACTTGTGTCTAGCCCCATCAAGGCAACTATTAAGCTTGACCAATCATGTTAGAGTTTTTGACAAAAGCGGATGCAGAACAGCTGTGGCGTACTATATACATTTATTACAAACAAATAAAGAAATCAATGAATATCTAAAAAACAAATATAAATTAGTAAAAACCAACCGAACCCACCAAATAACCAACTAACCAATGAATTAACACCCTCCACATAACCACGCTAACCAAAGCTTAATAGTTGCCTTGCTGGGGCTAGACACAATTAACAAAGTGGTCGTTGCATAATTAAAAAATTAAATAGACTATACTATGAGAGGATAAAATATAATTTGCAATATTAATGGGATACTTTTTTTTAATAACCTAGATTAAATGTTTTATGAACATCTTCTGAAATTATAATTATGTACCATTAAAAAAATCGTTATAGTCAAAATAGCCCCAATTATGCCCCACTAGCAAAACCGGTAATTAAAACTATGCTCGCTACTGTAGTTGAACTAATCTAAAAAGTGTTTCAACTGAAATAATAAATTATAATACAAGTTAGACCTTCTGAAGATATCAAAATATTTACTTTTTTATTTTTATTTTTAGAATTTTTACAAATTATTTTACTTCCTAACACTTTTAGAATAATAATTAAATAATAAATTTTTCGTATACATACTCGCTTTTTAAACCTGTGTATTTGTATACAGGGTGGTCCGAATTGTATTCCAGAAACTTCGGCAGCATATTCTGCAGATAAAAATAAGTAAAAAAGTTCGTATAAATGTATGTCCTCAAATGCCTAGTTTCGGCTTTGGTTTCGGAGATACAGGGTGTAGAAGTTTCATTTTTATTTTGATTTTTTCCAAATAATTCGTGAAGTAACGTCAATATTTGGATAAAAATTGGTGTCTGGAAGTTTTTTGACATGAGAAATTCGATTTTGATATCAATATGACTCCTACTTGTAGAGGGCGCTATAGGAAATGGCTACAACTTTTGATTTTTAAATGGCATCCTCGGTATTTTTTTACTTTATTCGATAGAAAATGACACTCTGAATCGAATGACATATAATATGTCAACTTTTGATATAGTCACTCAAAAACAAATTGTATTTTAAATTTCAATCTAGAGTGCCATGACTGTGTTAAAAACACTAATTTTTAATCAAGGAGCCTTGGAAAAATAGATTTGATCGTCTAATGTTTTTAGTGTCTTGTCCAGGGCGGTTAATAGATGCCCAAATCGTATTTTTAATCATATCCAAATTTTTTCAAATGGAAGGAGGGTGGCTCATTAGCATATTTGGAAAAAGCATTTTTTTACGAATAATTTGATACCGCACACTGGGTATTTCGAGTCAAATTGTCGTTAAGAACCGCATGTTACAATTTTAAATAAACCATATGCCAAAATGTCAAAAGTTGACATATGATATGCCATTCGATTCAGAGTGTCATTTTCTATCGGATAAAGTAAAAAAATACCGAGGGTGCCATTTAAAAATCAAAAGTTGTAGCGATTTTCGGTGAAGCCGGAAGTAACCGGAAGCAAATGAATACGTCAATCAATCCCAATTTATGTCATATACTAACATACTCAATCTCGTTTTTTTATCTGAAAAAGTAAAAAAGTTATAGGGGTGAGCCGACTTTCGAAACGCACCCGGTATTGATATACAGGGTGGTCCGAACTGTATTCCGGAAACTTCGGCAGCGTATTCTGCAGATAAAAATAAGTAAAAAAGTTCGTATAAATGTATGTCCTAAAATGCTTAGTTTTGGGGATACAGGGTGCAGAAGTTTCATTTTTATTTCGATTTTTTCCAAATAATTTCTGAACAATCATGACAACAAAATCAAATTTCTAACGTCAATATTTGGATGAAAATTGGTATCTGGGAGTTTTTTGACATGAGAAATTTGATTTGGATGTCAATATGACTCCTACTTGTAGAGGGCGCCCCCTACATGGGTTTTAACTGTGTTGAAGTGTAATAACTTTTCGTCCGTACCTGTATAAAACTATGGAGTGAAAAAATATACATTTCTATGACTTTTTTCGTAAAAAATGTCTCTTGGTAAAAATCGCTACGAGCAACCGTTCTCAAGATATTTAGAATGAAAATAGTCAATACATGTCATTATTGACAAAAAAATAACGTTGAGTAGATAGTTACTTGACTGAAATAATAAATTTGGGAAATTTTTATGTGTTTAAATTAATCATAAACTTTTTGCGAAAAAATGATGATAAAACAGTTTCTGTTGAACTTTTGGCACAAAAACATTTCAAATGTATGATTTTAGTCTAATAACTATTTAGTCAATATGTTTAATTTATGTCAATGATGATAGGTATTGATAAGTTCGATTCCAAATATCTCAAGAACCATTACTCGTAGCGATTCTTACCAGGAGACATTTTTTACGTAAAAAACTTCGTAAATGTATATTTTTTTACTCAGTAGTTTTAAACAGGTACGGAAGAAAAGTTATTACTCTTCAAACCAGTTAAAACATATGTAGGTGGCGCCCTCTACAAGTAGGAGTCATATTGACATCGAAATAAAATTTCTCATATCAAAAAACTCCCAGGCACCAATTTTCATCTAAATATTGACGTTACTTCATAAATTAATTGGAAAAAGTCGAAATAAAAATGAAACTTCTACACCCTGTATTTCCGAAAGTAAGCATTTTAGGACATACATACACAGCAAAATAAAAACACTAAATCACCACAATACACCAAAACACTTTTACTTTTACACTGGACGCGCAGGAACTGTAAAGACAGTTTATAATCATCTGCTGATGATGCTAACATGGTTAGCGAAACGCGCGTCCAGTGTAAAAGTAAAAGGGTTTTGGTGTATTGTGGTGATTTAGTGTTTTTATTTTGCGATATACAGGGTGTTCTTTAAAGGTGGCCAACCCAACCCTTCCTGTTTCGCCGGAAATGACGACAACTTTTGATTTTTAAATGGCACCCTCGGTATTTTTTATTTATTTGATAGAAAATAACATTGTGATAATAGAATGGTTTATTATGTCAACTGTTGACATTTTCAATAAAAAAATAGCATAAATTTCAATCTAGAGTGTCCATGGCTATGTTAAGACTAGGGTTGCCAACCGTTCTCCTATCAGAGGACAGTCCTTTTTGATCTTGATATTGTTTTCTTTTCTCTGACTTATTGAAAAAGTCCTCTTTTTTACACACTAAATCCAAAATCTAAAAAATTACTGTTATATCTATCGCCACAATGCTTAATAAAATTTTTAATCTGTCCACAATGTGTCAATATTTTTGAGAAAATAAGAAATACATCATCTGCATAACGTTTACATAACTTTTCGGTAAATTCTTGACAACATTTGGGCGAGGTTTTAAAAAATGTTTCGCCTATGGAGTTTTTATACCTTGGTTAACACTATGAACAACTGACTTGTATGGAGAATTAATTATTTTTGCTGTACTGAAAAATGGTATAAAATGAAATACACTTATAAGTTATTTTTATGCTAAATTTAATATTGCATCACTGCAGTAGAGTACACAGTATATGCAAGATTCAGAAGCCAACCAATGCAAGTTAAATCAACAATCAATAAATAACATTTTTATTTATTGATAGAAAAGTAAAACTGAAAACAACATACGTAATATTAAAAAACAAATTTGTATCACTTTTGGGTAGTTTTTAAACCTCATTTTCTGAATGCAATTGTTGATTGACTGATTGGTTTTGAACCTTCCATTATATTTGTAATACAGTACTTTTTTTCTAAAAATATAGATAAAAATGACATCTTTATTTAAAACATCTGCACATTTTGTGAGACACCAAGTCTAATAATTAATACAGATACCTATTCTATTAGCCCAGTCAAATTAGACAAATCGGTGGAAAAAAATCCCACAGTTTTGAAAATGGTTTTAAATGATTTCTCTAGACTTGGGCTGATATGTGTCAAAAGTCCCCGAAGATAGGCTATGAGCTCGAGCAGAAGGGAGGGCTTAAACGTCACTTTTATGATTTTTTAGCTTATATCTCGGAAAATATGACACCTACGAAAAAATCTCTATACCGTGGTGCGTCTCAAAAGTGGCTCACCCCCTATAACTTTTTTATTTTTTTGAGATAAAAAAACTAGAATTGGTATATTAGTATACCTATAACATAAATTAGTATTGATTGACGTATTCAATTGTTTTTGGTTCACTTTCTGTTTCACCGGATTTGATTTTTAAATTGCACCCTCGATATTTTTTTACTTTATTCGATAGAAAATGACATTCTGAATAGAATGGCATATCATATGTCAACTTTTGACATTCTCGCTTAATAAAAAATCGTATTTTAAAATTCAATCTAGAGTGCCATGGCTATGTTAAAAACACTAATTCTTAATCAAGGAACTTTGGAAAAATAAATATGATCGTCTAATGTTTTTTCGTGTCTAATCCTGGCCGGTTAAAAGATGCTCAAATCGTATTTTTAATCATATCTCATTTTTTTTCAAATGGAACAAGGGTGGCTCAGTAGCATATTTGGAAAAAGCATTTTTTTTACGAATTATTTGATACCGCACACTTGGTATTTTAAGTCAAATTTTCGTTACCAACCGCAAGTTATAATTTCAAATAAACCACATACTAAAATGTCAAAAGTTGACATATTATGATATATTATTCTATTCAGAGTGTTATTTTCAATCGAATAAATTAAAAAAATACCGAGCGTGCCATTTAAAAATCAAAAGTTGAAGTCATTTCAGGTGAAACAGGAAGTGACTGAAAACAATTGAATACGTCAATCAATCCTAATTTATGTCATCTACTAATATGCCAAATCTCGTTTTTTTTAACTGAAAAAATAAAAACGTTATAGGGGTGAGCTACTTTTAAGACGCACCCGGTATAGAGAATTGAAGCCCAGAAAATTCTCTACGAAATTGGTTTGGTTATTAGTCTAGGGGAATCGTTTACAACCATTTTCAAAACTGTGGGAATTTTTTCCATCGATGTGCCTTTTTCTAACTAATTTGACTGGGGTATACAGGGTGTTACAAATTGGTATCTCGGTAACCGTAATAGATACGAAGATGGTTAAATTGGGGCAAAGTTGCGCCTTGGGATGTTCACCAAAATTCCATCAAAAAAAGTTTTAAAAATTTCAAGGATTACTGATTTTTTTGGAAAAAACGGTTAAGTTAGGTTAGGAAAAATCGGATTTTTTTGAAAATCAATTTTATTTTTTCCTGTCGTTAGTTTTTAGAAAATCAAAAAACTAATTGCACTTACTCATAGCCACTTTATTAGGGCTATCTGATAGTATTTTTAGATTTTCAAATTAGCTAATAATTTGTGAGATACAGAGGCCAACTTAATTTTTTTAAATACGGACCTGCATTTTTTATTTCAGATTTTGAAAGAACTCGGTCTCCTAAGTACAATGATATGCCACACTTTATACTTTTTTTTTGTTTTGGACATTTAAACACAAAATTTATTTAAACTAATTTCAAGTCCGGTTCTGTTTTTTAAATATTTACAACAATATTGATAAGCCTTCAAATTTAACTATGACGTGGGGTAAAACATTGAATACAAAAAATCAAATTCAATAAAAAACATAATTGCATTACTTACGTCACTTGTAAAAATGAAATCAATATTTTTCAACATTTACAATAAAGAGTACAAAATGCATTCGGAAGTATAAGAAGATATGTTGAAAAAGCTATAAATAAAATTGAAAGAATAATAAATTTGTGTAATAGGCAAGGTGGTAACCCTTTCGAACATGTAGTGCATTAGAAACAAGTTTGTAGAAGGTGATTTATTTATAATAACTACGATTAATATTATCCATATTGTTAGATCGTACACTGAGAATTTCAAATTCACAATAAAAAAAGTTAACATAATATCTTTAAATTGCTGAGCTGGATATTATTTATTCGGATCTTTCAATTGGCTCGATTTTCCTAATTCAATGTTAATTAGCGCTGATCAATATTGTTGCAATGAATATAATCAGATTAAATATTTTAAGAAACCAGGGTCGGACTTGAAAATATTTAAAAAAATCATTATAAATAGTTTTGTTGTTGTTAAGGTACTCAAAACAAAAAAAAGTATAAAGTGTGGCATATAGTTGTACTCAGGAGACCGAGTTCTTTCAAAAACTGAAATAAAAAATGCAGGTCCGTATTTAAAAAAATGAAGTCGGCCTCTGTATCTCACAAATTATCAGCTAATTTGAAAATCTAAAAATACTGTCAGATAGCCCCAATAAAGTGGCTATGAGAATATGCAATTAGTTTTTTGATTTTTTAAAAAGTAACGACAGGAAAAAATAAAATTGATTTTCAAAAAAATTCATTTCTTCCAAAAAACTTAGCAATCCTGGAAATTTTAAAAACTTTTTTGATAGCATCTTGGTGAACATTCCAAGATGCAACTTTGCCCCAATTTAACCATCTTCGTATCTCTTACGGTTTCCGAGATACCAATGCTCGTAGCTCGAATTTGTAGCACCCTGTATATATATTGTTCTATTTTGTTTCAGATGGATTTACTTCTACTCCTGTTATCTTTAATTTTAATCTGTGTAAATGCACTTAAAATGTCCAGTGAAAAAAAAGAGTGTCCTGTAGCTGATTGCAAACAAGCATGGAGAAACTTTCGAACAGATATTGAATATAAAGAAAATACCCATAGTTTTAATCCAAGTAACGCTACCTATCTAGGAAATCGCGTAAACATGAGTGGTGCTAATCTAAGTAATTTTATGTACCTTGGTCCTAGCAATCTATCCCATAAGCTCTCGTGGCTAACTGAAGACCTCCTTAAAAATGATGAAGCGGAATATATTACCGCATTAGATCTGAGCTATACGTATATCAGTACTATATATAATGATGTTTTTGCCCAATTCCCTTGTTTGACTGATTTATATTTGTACGGAAATAACCTTACTAAACTCCATGAAAAATTGTTTACCGGCTTGGACAATCTCAAAGTTTTGAATTTAAGTAGTAATAGAATTGCGTCTATCAACAATTCAGAGACATTTAGGCCTTTAAATAAATTAGAAATTTTAGATTTGTCTAAAAATAATTTGATAAAATTGAGACTTGAGATGCTCCTTTATTTAGGAAATCTAAGACAGATATTTTTAAAGAGCAACAAAATTAATGAAATAGTCCCATTCAATCCGATCCCAGATGATTCTGAGAAGTCTAGGGTCTATCATATTACTTATCAATTGAGAGATCTTAATTTAGAGTACAACCGCCTGGAAAGAATCGACATGGCAACATTTTTCAGATTTCACTTGTTAAAGCGGATTAGTTTGATTCGAAACAATATCTGTGACTTAATTTTTTACGATGGCATTACCTTTCCCCATGTAATCTATCTGAATATAACTCACAATAGTTTACCTGGTTTTGATGCAGAAGGCTTTAGAAAGACGTTTGAAAATAAAGATGTATTGGTGGATTTTAACGACAATCCGATTCTTTGTGCCTCTAGACAAATCTTGTTACCGGCTCTGAAGAGGTTAGATGTACGTATACGAGAATTTGAGGTAACTTCACGCCCGTATATGTTATGTAAAATTACATATGGGGAAAATAATACTCTTCAGTATTTGATGAATGGAACCTACCATATTCCGCGTTCGGCGCAACTTCAGTTGTTTTCTACTGATATTACTAGGAGACTAAACAGACCGTATATCTCTGTAGAAAATGGTATTTTTTTGACAGCAGTTATTTTTATTATCTTTGGTATAACATTTACATTTTATATTTTAAGTGGCCATAACATTCCAAAGTGGTGCAAGCCCAAACCTGTCGTGAAAATCCGAGGAGATTTGTTATTAGACTTATGTCCCGAAGTTTTGCGGCCTCGTAGATTAAATGACCGGTCACGTAGATTAAATGACCGATTAGGTCACGATGACGTGCCAATATAAAAAATTATATCATTACTTTTTAACTTATTACTAATCCAATTAATTAAAATAATTTTCGATTACTGATGCGTTTTCGCGCAATTCCTATGTACAGTAAGTCTCCGAATTGTCTTTATAAGAAGAAAAACTTTTTTATTATTGACAATTTCAGAAAAATACTAATTAAGGAAAACATGAAAATATTGCTGAATTTTTTCAAGTCCTAAAAGTCAAAACGCGTTTCTGTGGTAATATTTCTCCCAATTTTTATAAAAAATAATTATCTTGATTAATTAATTACTTATGCTATTCTTATTTTATTAATTTGTCAAATTTTGCCTACCCTGGCTTGATTTGCACTGCATGCCAATGCCACATTAACTGTCGTAAGACAAGTGCGTTGTTTTTCTTCTACTCAAATTTTTAATAAATTTTATAATCATATAGATAATTAATCCAAGTGTTTTAAACTCATTATTACAAATAACCTGAAGTAGCAACACGCTTAAATCCATATATTTAACATTATTTATGCTTTAAAAAGTATTTTGATTCTATTTTGGTATTGGTACAAGAAAATAATGAGCTATTATTATAGAGATTTCTTTCAATTGGGTTTTTTGTTGACGTGTTAGTGATTGTTTTTTACTTTATTTAGGGTCATAATAAAACCCTTCAGAGTTTAGATATATCCGTGAATATTGTGTACATCGATGATGTTTCCTTTAATTACCTGGTTAGTTTAAAGAGACTAGTTAGGTTATAACTATCTAACGTATATTTACCGAAACTATATTTTTCTTCATTTGTCAAAAGTTTAAATTTTTCAAGCAACTATGTATATGGTTGCATTTTGATTTGAGGTAGGCATATTCGAGTTCGCTTTTTTGGGACTACTCCTTTGAATTTTACAGGTTATGAGGATTTGATTGATTTTTTATTTACCGAAACTATATTTTTCTTTATTTGTCAAAAGTTTAAATTTTTCAAGCAACTATGTATATGGTTGCATTTTGATTTGAGGTAGGCATATTCGAGTTCGCTTTTTTGGGACTACTCCTTTGAATTTTACAGGTTATGAGGATTTGGCAGAGAGGTTTAGGGATATTAGGTGCAGGTATATGGATATGACTTGGATATGACTGAGGAGGAAGTTAGACCTCTTAATCCAACTTCACTAGAAGGTATATTATAATCGTATTACCATTATTATGACTCTATTTATTGTTGCGACTGTAATATTCACTTATATTCTAATATATTGTGATCATCTCTTCCTCATTTGAGAACCAGCACTGTCACGAGAGAATAATTAGGTTTATTATTTTCGTTGCATACAAAAAATATTCGTGAATATTTTTAGTAGTGAGAAAATCTTAAATGATATATTAGCTTTGTTCGGGTTCTTGTTATTACCGATTCTGAACCGTCCTAGAACTCTACAGCGCATGTGTAAATGAAATAATATCTTCATATTTGCTTCTGCGCATGCGTATCACAGTTCTAGGGCGGTTCAGAATCGGTGAAAAGAAAAACCCGAAGTAAGCTATTTATTTTGAAAGAATATCAGTTGACAAAATATGCACATTACGCCGAGGATTTGACAAAATATACCTTTGATTGCACCCTTAGCTTTGTTTTATTTTTTATTCAATAGATACGGAATAAACTAAATTAACGATTATAATTAATGTTAATAAATAATATTAATATAATAAACGTTCTTATTTACTAATATATTATTATGACTGTTAGCTAGAAATATATCTACAAATTAAAATAGTAAATTTGTAGACATACTGTAGCATAATTAAAATATTATATTTTATAGACTAATACGTTTTTTTGTAAATGTATTTTATTTTTATACAAATTCTTTGTCAGTTTTAATTATATGTATTTTTGCTAACTTTCAGTGTTTTATTTCTATTTTATTACTTTTTATGGTAATTGTAAGTTCGGCACAATGTAAAAGTAAAATAAAACACAAATTCACCACAATACACCAAAACGCTTTACTTTTAAACACAAGCATAGACAAATGACATAAGTTTAGGTTGGAAAGTGCCCATATAGCCCAGTCAAATTAGAAAAATCGATGGAAAAAAATCCCACAGTTTTGAAAATGGTTTTAAATGATTTCTCTAGACTTGGGCTGATATGTGTCAAAAGTCCCCGAAGATAGACGATGAGCTCGAGAAGAAGGGAGGGTTTAAATGTCACTTTTATGACTTTTTAGCTTATATCTTGAAAAATATGACACCTACGAAAAAATACTCTATATAGAAAAATGGCTCTTTATTCAAAATCTGAGCTAGATAGGTATAGGAAACCCTAAAATAGTTTGAAAGAGCATTTGAATCTGCTTCGATTTATTTAAAAAAATACAGGGTGTTTTTTTTGTAATAACGAAGTTTTTGTCTAAAACATATATTTAAAATAGACCAGCAATTTTTGAAACCGCTGTATACATTAAACAAAGCAATCAAATTTTTCACTAAATTTTATTTCTCTAGCTCAAATGGCAGCACAAGAATTCATTCTGAAAAGCAATGTACAGGGTGTTAATAATCTATTCTATTATAGCATGCATTTTTAAATATCTTTAAATATCTCAAATAATATATCGACATATGTATAGAGTGTCCCACTAAGAATAGCTCTCGGCTGTATCTCGGAAAGTATTAGCCTTAGGGCTTACGGAAAAAAATATTTATAACTAAAGGGACTATGAGAAATTGCTGGAAACTATTTTCAAGTTTGTAAAACAGCCGCTAGGGGGCGCAACTGCTATGGAAAATAAGAAAATAGAATTTTTACAGAATTTTGCCTAGATAATGGGTACTATAAATAATAGCTTCATAATCTTCATTAAATTTTGGATTTTTTTTTGTTAGAACCATTTTCCCCTATCTGCTAAAATAAAGTGGTGGGGGAAGGTTAGATCTATCTTTATTTAAATGTTAATAACTCCGGACTGCATGAATAGAATTCAACAAACGGGGCTCGTTAAAAGAGCGTTTCTTACTCTATATTATACCATAAAAATAATTCAATTCAATTCAATTCAAAATGTCTTTATTAGGTATATAAACAATAATTGTATACAAATTAAAATAATAACGATGGCGACGTTCACATTTGTGCTCTTCCATAATAATAATAAAGTTTTGAACTCTATATAGAACATAACATAGCGCGATTTTTCAAAAAAGTTAAATACGATAGTATATGTAATTTTAGCTGATAGTAAAGAGTAGTAAAAGCTTAAAAAGTCAGCGAAAACCACATCTTGATATCTTCTTTCAAACCGAAGATATTACAAAATTATAATAAATACCAAAAAATAAGCCCTCTTGATTATGTCAATTCAAACAAAAATATAAAAGAGGTTGTATATTGCGATTATATTCTACATGATTTCTTCCTGTATATACCCAGTTAACTAAGTGTAATATTTTCGTATCTGCACTACCTAACCCATTTCGCTAATATAGTATCAGTCTTCCCTCGCAGATTTTCAAAGAGTCTTAAAAGCCCATATGAAAGTGTGATTTCTGAATCTTCTCAATCTACAATAATTGAATACAATAATCATATCCACATACATAACATGAGTCCCCATACTTTAAAATTATCTATATTATATATAATAAAAAAAGTGATTTTAATTTATTATTTATAATAATGCATGTATCGCTTACTTTTTTAGTTTAGCAGTTCTTTCGAATTCTTTTTTAATTTTATACAATATCGTTTAGGTTATCAACAACTTCAAGTACTTCAAATAATAAAGGCATTTTGAAAAAGCAATTAAAAGATAAAAAAACGCTGCTAAGACTATCAAAATATTGATCTAATAACAATTTGACGTTTATACTATTACGTCAAAAACAACTTTTTTCCAAAGCCTACCATGACTTCACTGAATCATCGTTTCTTGTTCACTGTTATTAATATCTTAATTATTAGATATTAATACATCTGGTATTATGATATTCTGGTATTTCGTCGATTTTTTTTGTTTGAATGGGCATAATCAAGAGGGCTACTAATACCGTATTGTAATGATAACGTAATTAAGGCTTATTTTTTAGTATTTATTATAATTTTGCTAATATCTTCAGTTTGAAAGAAGATATCAAGATGCGGTTTTCGCTGACTTTTTAAGCTTTTACTACTCTTTACTATCAGCAAAAATTACATATACTATCATCTTTAACTTTTTTGAAAAAACGCGCTATGTTATGTTACGTTCAAAACTTTATTATTATTATGGAAGAGCACAAATGTGAACGTCGCCATCGTTATTATTTTAATTTGTATACAATTATTGTTTATATACCTAATAAGGACATTTTGAATTGAAATGAATTGAATTGAATTATTTTTATGCTATAATATAGAGTAAGAAACGCTCTTTTAAACGAGCCTCGTTTGTTAAATTCTATTCATCCAGAGAGTCCGGAGTTATTAACATTTAAATAAAGATAGATCTAACCTTCCCCCACCACTTTATTTTAGCAGATAGGGGATGGTTCTAACAAAAAAAAGCCAAAATTTACTGAAGATTATGAAGCTATTATTTATAGTACCCATTATCTAGGCAAAATTCTGTAAAAATTCTATTTTTTTATTTTCCATAGCAGTTGCGCCCCTAGCGGCCGTTTTACAAACTTGAAAATAGTTTCCAGCAATTTCGCATAGTCCCTTTAGTTATAAATATTTTTTTCCGTAAGCCCTACGGCTAATACTTTCCAAGCTACAGCCGAGAGCTATTCTTAGTGGGACACCCTATACATATGTCGATATATTATTTGAGATATTTAAAGATATTTAAAAATGCATGCTATAATAGAATAGATTATTAACACCCTGTACATTGCTTTTCAGAATTCATTCTTGTGCTTACATTTAAGCTAGAGAAATAAAATTTACTGAAAAATTTGATTGCTTTGTTTAATGTATACAGGGGTTTCAAAAATTGCTGGTCTATTTTAAATATATATTTTAGATAAAAACTTCGTTATTTCTGGTTATTTCAATCACAACACCCTGTATTTTTTTAAATAAATCGAAGCAGATTCAAATGCTCTTTCAAATTATTTTAGGGTTTCCTATACCTATCTAGCTCAGATTTTGAATAAAGGGCCATTTTTCAATAAAATGGCAACCAAGTTGGCTGGTGTCGCCATGGCAATTTTCTAGTGACAGTTTGCAAATCAAAGCAAATTCATAAACATACAGGGTGTTTATGAATTTTACTTAATTCATAAACCATGCCTTACACCCTGTAAAACTGTTTTTCACATCTTTGACAATGACGACGATATTGGACTTCCTCGCACTAATGGGCTACTCTGTATGATATGTATATTTTATTTATTAAAAAAAAATCTCATAAAAAGCAAATTCTGTTAAATCCAAAACAAGCAAAAACTATATATGTGGCTAGAAACCTTTCCCATTTACTTTATAAAGTGTATTCAATTTCTGTTGTATTATATGGTTTATCCATGTTGTAAGCACGTTTAATATTTTTCTAAATGGTATTTTAATACGCCTTACGTACGTTTTTGATGTAAGTTATATATAATAATTAAAAAGAAAATGTGTACAGGTTGTGATATTTTTTTATATTTTAGAATTATACATTGCAAATAAATACATAGGAATATTCATTATATCAAATATATAACTGTCACACTTTATTAAAAGTTAATATTTGGTAGTACTATTTTTATATCAGTTTTGAAAAGGATTCAGTTTTAAAAGGTAAGCAAAGCAATACATTTTTTGATATAATTATTAATAATTAAGCTTCGTTCAGAACCTCGCGATTACTGGAATAAATTAGTGGATTCAATAATTAGCGTAGAAGTTTGTTCCTCTAATTTAAATGTAAGCATACAGAACGTCAAAATTAGCGGTAGTAATTTGATTGATTGGTTGATTATCATCCACATACCGCAAGTTGTTGCTAGGATATTCTATTAATTTTATTTGTGTTTTTAGACAATGTAAATGATCGTAAACTAAAAAGTGTAAAGTGTAATTGAAACCACTAATTGCGACGTTCTGAGTGAAGCTTTAAAAAATATTTTTCTTTTGTCAATCTGTTGTTTTTATACGTATATACAGGGTGTCCCTGAAATAAGTGCAAGTATTTTAAGGGGTGGTAGATCTCGATAAAAGAAATATACATATTTTCTCTTTATCGTTTTTCAAATAAGTCCAAAATAATGGAGTTATTTTACTTTGAAAATGTCCAAAACAATGATTTTTTGCTCGAATTTTGAGAACTACTGGATCTTTTCTGAAATTTCTTTCTTGTAAATTTAATCTACTAAGCTCCTATGTTCCCATATTATCAAGAAATTATGTTTTTTAACTAAAAACTAAAAAAAATCCAAAAAATTTTTCAAAAAACTCCGAATTTTCAAAAAAAAAAATTCGCGAAAAAAACCGCTTTGGCGTGTTTCTGGGGTTGAACTATACCACTAGTTAAAATACTTGCACTTATTTCTGGGACACCTTGTATACAGGGTGCTACAAATTCGAGGTACGAGCCTTGGAATCTTGGAAACCGTAATAGATACGAAGATGGTTAAATTGGGGCAAAGTTGCGCCTTGGGATGTTTGCCAACATGCTATCAAAAAAGTTTATAAAATTTCAAAGATTGCCGAGTTTTTTGAGAAAAACGGATTTTTTTGAAAATCAATTTTATTTTTTCCTGGCGTTATTTTTTAGAAAATTAAAAAAGTAATGGCACATTTTCATAGTCACTTTATCAGGGCTATCTGATAGTATTTTTAGATTTTCAAATTAGCTGATAATTCGTGAGATACAGAGGCCAAGTTAATTTTTGTAAATACGGACCTCCATTTTTTTATTTCAGGCTTTGAAAGAACTCGGTCTCCTAAGTACAATGATATACCACACTTAATGTTTTTTTGTGTTTTGGACATTTAATCAAAATTTATTTAAACTAATTTCAAGTCCGGCTCTGTTTTTTTAATATTTAATCTATTCATCATTACAATATTGATAAGCTTTCCAACTTAACAATGACGTGAGGTAAAATATTGAATAAGAGAAATCAAACGCAACAAAATAATAAAAAATAAAAAATATAAATATGATATAATATAAACAATCAAGTTACTTCTCCGGAAGATGGATTTGAAATGGTAGAGCACACAGTCTAATGGCGAGGTTCCTGGATCTGTCGCCAAAGAGCAAGGAGGGGGGAATTTCTTGACTTCATTTGTAAAAGTGAAATCAATACATTTCAACATTTAAAGAGTACAAATGCATTAGGAAGTATAGAAGAAAATATGTTCAAAGAGCTATAAATAAGATTGAACAAAAAATAAATTAAGGCTTCCCTTCCCTAGACAAACTATAACACCTGCGGGGAATCCGAAGAGACGAGGTAGCTTTTAAACTAACAGAAGGCGGTGCATCGACTACTTGCACTTGCGAATCTCTCGATAAATCCAGGGTCAACGGCGCCGGCGCCCCAAATCTTGGTGGACCATATTTTATAGAAAAATTCTTTTGCTCGTAGATATTATTCAATATGTGTTAAAATTACAAATTCAATACAAAATATGAAAAAAATAACAATTATTAGTCCATAGGAAATGGTTTATACAGGGTGTTACAATATTAACCCACATAAAAAATCATATTTTCGCACATTCTTGCAAAAAAGAAAAAGTCACACCTTAACTAGTTTCCAAAAAATGTATGAGCCTAGAAGCATCATAATATGTAAAAAAAATTGTTATACAGAGTGTCTCAAAAGTCAAAAGTAATGAACTTTTTATAAAACTAGTTTTTTCTTAAAAATCGATTTTTAAGATTTTTGAGGCATATACCTATACCTGCATTTTGTTTGTAATTATTTTGAAAATGCAATATATATTTTATCAACTTACTTTGTAACTTATTGAAAAATATAAATATATTATTTATTTATTTATTAATATCTCTGAAACTATCCAAATATATTTACATCTTATCTTAGGATTATGTAAAGTGATCAGAAAGGAAGCCAAAAATGCAATAATATACAGAGTGTTCCATTTAAAAAAATCATCCCGGTCCACTCACACTTTTTTGAGCCACCCTATAGAAGTTAAAATAATATTTTCCTGAAGTACATCCTCGTACATACTTTAGATTTGTACTTAAACAAAATTTCCAAGTTTTTTATTCTAGGAGCTACAGATGCCTGACGCACTATTGCCGGACTATGTGCATCCAACAAAACAATATGCTCTACCACACAGGGTGGCAGTTTGGGGCAGATTTATTTTGCTCGACATAAAAGAATAAGGACTACCTAAGCGAATGACATGTATAAAAAATACGCTATTTCTACATTTTTTTTAAATCGTTCATAAATTTTAAAGTTTTTTTTTTGAAAAATATATTTTAACAAAAATGGCCCTAATACAAATATGGCAAAATATTATTAAAATGTTAAAGAGCAGAAAAACAGTAAAAACTTACCCCTATCATCTACATTCATCATAAAAAAAATATTTGTAAAATATACGTTTTAAAAAAATTACAAAGTTGAGACTCTTCTGCTGCGATATAATAGCATTGGTTACGACAATTCCATTATTCATTTGCTTTTGTTTTGTGATGCTCCAAAGCCTACTTGTTGAAATTATTTTCAAAGATGAAGTTTTTTTGGGAAAAAAACTAAAAAATAGCTTACGGAATTCTACATGAAATGTCTTTTGACTGAATTGGTGTATCCTAGAAAATCTAGAAATATGCCTATTAGAAATATCTCTGTTAAAAGTTAAGTAGTCTATCGTAATCGTCCATTTTTTAAAGAATATGATTATCTAATATAGTAAATGTTTATATATGCATTATTATTGCCTATATGTATCTCCATTGACTTCGTATATGTAGAACATACTTTTTAAGTAAAGATATCATCTTAGTACATCTCAGTGTTTTTTATTCTATTTTGGTGTGTTTTTTTTCAACGAATTATTTTTTGTTTGTAGAGTACTCTATGGCACTAGAGTACTATTATGGCACTTTAACTATCACCAGTATAATACATAGTAGTATAATTTTTATCACTTTTAACAATATTAATTTTTTAAACAATTTAAAAATAATAGATCAAAGTAAGAATAGGTAGTAACAATTATTATATTATCACGTAATCTCTGTATCATGTATCATGTACTATCTCTTTATTTAATGCGATATAACGATTTTATACTCTAATTTTTGCTTATTTGAAGTCGCGCCGGTCCAAGTTACTGTGGGCTTCCATTACCATGACAACTGAAGCATAGTGAAAATAATTTAATAGCATAAAATATTAATTCACAGTGGTCAAACCATCTTATTAATTATTTATTGTTTTATGTTTTGTTACATTGCATCATGATCAATACACACACAATAGATGCAACGAAAATTTTGTTTGCCGTGTGATTTGATTACAAAATAAAAATTTCAAATTATTGTGTAAGAGCCTTGTATATGAATTTTTAGTAAGAGACAAGCGTTATAAAATAATTTATCCAAATAATTCGAATACGTACCTGGTTTCCTTTGCCCGCCTTCAAAAGCGTTAGCAAAATTCACGTGGAGGCGCCACATTACGGGCAACAAAAATGATCAAAGTTGTGTTTGCAGAGGGTCGGCCGTCACAAAATTGCGACCATGTTTTTTAATATTTTGAAATAATTTTTGTTTCACTTTATTAAGGAAGGTTCCGGACATGCTCGTAATTAGTTTTAAAATCGATTTGAATACATTTAATGCTAAAAAAATTACTTATAAAATCATTTTTTTTTAGGGTGTTTTAGGGGTAAATTTGAAACAGTTTGAGTTAAGTTTGGTTAAGGAAATATAATTATAAGCACGTCTTAAGATGTATATAAACAAATAAAAAAAGATTCGTGAAGAAAGGTCATATGGTTTTTGCAGCATTTAGTGACAGCCAAACCCTTACAAATGCTAGGCTAGCGCCAGTGGGAAGGAGAGCCTTAATTTGTGCATTAGGGAGGATGGTAACCCTTGCGAACATGTAGAGCATTAGGAACTACATAGTTTGTAAAAGTTTTTTTATAATTACTACGATTAATATTATGCATATTATTAGATTAGATTATAGACATTGAGATATCAAATTCACAATAAAAATAGTTAATAAGAATATCTTTAAATTGCTAACCTAGACATTATTTATTTAAATCTTTCAAATGGATCGATTTTTCTTATTCAATGTTAATTAGCGCTGATCAATATTGTTGCGATGAATATAGTCAGATTAAATAATTTAAAAAACCAGAGTCGGACTTAAAATTATTTTAAATAATAATAAATGGTTATGAGAATGTGCAATTAGTTTTTTTGTGATTTTCTAAAAAGTAACGACAGGAAAAAATGAAATTGATTTTCAAAAAAATCAGTTTTTTCCAAAAAACTCAGCAATCCTTGAAATTTTTAAAACTTTTTTAATGACATCTTGGTGAACATCCCAAGGAGCACCTTTGCCCCAATTTAACCATCTTCGTATCTATTACGGTTTCCGAGATACCAATGCTCGTACCTCGAATTTGTAGCACCCTGTATATTACTCATAAAATTTTACAAACAATTCGCATATTATGCCTTTTATGAATGACACTGCTTGGTTGTAGAAAAATGTATCCGATTAGGGATTCATCAAGTTAAGTAACTTGATGTTTTTAGAAACTACTCAAGTAGACTACTAGATTTCAAGTCAAGTAGTGAAACCCTATATCCGATATACAGGGTCCGGCAATAGTGCGTCGGGCATCTGTAGCTCCTAGAATAAAAAACTTGAGAATTTTGTTTAAGTGCGAACCTAATGTATGTGCCAGGATGTATTTCAAGAAAATATTTTAACTTCTATAGGTTGGCTCAAAAAAGTGTGAGTGGACCTTGATGATTTTTTTTAAATGGAATACCCTGTATATTATTGCATTTTTGGCTTCCTTTCAGATCACTTTACATAACCCTAAGATATGAATAAATATATTTTGATAGTTTCAGAGATATTAAAAAATAAATAAAAAATATGTATTTTTCAGCCCTTCTTAAAAATTATTAAAATACAAAACTGTCCTGAAATCAAAACTACATTAGGTATTTACTTTAGATGGTCTGTATTTACTTTGCTATAAATATGAAAATCGTAAATTATACAGAATGTTCAAAATTCTGCGCCAAACTTTCTAAAATATAAAATAATTTTTTCTCGTTTTTTTAAAGGGAACACCCTGTATATTATTTTTTCAATAGACGGAGACTTAGAAAATGAACATTTTTTGTATTTAAAGTATTTCAAAATTTTTAACGGTTTCGTAGATATTTGCGGTTTTATATTTCATATGGCATTTTCCACAGTAAATTTTTATCAAAGCCACCCATTGATTTTTCTCTCGTATTTTACCATTGAAAGCGCCATATGAAATAATACTGCGCGTATCTGCGAAACCGTTCAAAATTTTGAAATACTCTAAATACAAAAAATGTTCATTTTTTAACTCTCCATCTAATAAAAAAATAATATACAGGGTGTTGCATTTAAAATAACAAAGAAAAACTATTTTATATTTTAGAAAGTTTGGCGTAGAATATTGAAGATCCTGTATGATATACGATTACTATATTTATAACAATGTAAGAACAGACTATCTAAAGTAAATACCTAATATAGTTTTGATTTCAGAACAGTTCTTGTATTTTTAATATTTTTTTTAAGAAGGGCTGAAAAATACATATTTTTTATTTATTTTTTAATATCTCTGAAACTATCGAAATATATTTATTCACATCTTAGGGTTATGTAAAGTGATCTGAAAGAAAGCCAAAAATGCAATTATATACAGGGTGTTCCATTTAAAAAAAATCATCCAGGTCCACTCACACTTTTTTGAGCCATCCTATAAAAGTTAAAATATTTTCCTGAAATACATCCTGGTACATACTTTAGGTTTGCACTTAAACAAAATTCTCAAGTTTTTTATTCTAGTAGCTACAGATGCCTGACGCACTATTGCCGGACCCTGTAGAATTTGCTCTTTTATTGCGAATAAATTTTGAGAAGCCTTTTGACATTATAACAAATATTATTTTCAACAAATTCAGTATAAGAATAGAAATTGTTTTGCATCATTAGATTACAAGTTTTTATTTCGTATCTCATATGGATTTTTATTGGATAACTGCAATTTGAATCACCCAGTATTTTTCTAAGGAACAGGTATCTTCTACACGGATGCAATGCCTGAATAGTACTTAAAAAACAGTTTGTCTTAAATTATTATTTATTTATTATAATATATTTATCGTGAAACAAGTCCTTAATTTGTTTTTTTTTATTTCAGATGATTTGGAGATATTTTTGTTTTCACTTATTGATATATTACCATCCTATAGGCGAAATCAAAGCTGATAAATCGCAACCAATATGTTATGAAGCAAATAAGGATATCAATCTTCCTAAATCAAATAACCGATACTTTAAAAATCTAGAAGAATATAAAGCCAATACATTCAGTTTCTCTTACGAACGTTACTGTTCCCCTTCGCAAGGTTGCAATCCGATGAACCTTTTCCCAGGAAATTTTGTAACTATCCTGAATCTAACCTCCGATGTATTAGAAACAGGAGCATTCGAAGTTAACTCATCTGATTCCATTATCAGTTTAAATCTTAGCAGTCTATTTATTAACGAAATTCACAGCCGAGCTTTCGCATCCTTAACTTGCTTGCATTACCTCAATTTAAGCGACAATAAAATTGTTGAGTTGCAGCCGGAACAGTGGTTCGGTCTAGATAATTTAAAAACGTTAGAACTCCGAAAGAACAATATTATTCATTTAAAACCTTTCACGTTTAGATATTTAAAAAAACTTCAAAGTTTAGATTTATCGCTCAATGATATTGTCTACATCGATGATTTTTCCTTTAATTACCTGATTAGTTTAAAGAGTCTCTCGCTAGCCTATAACTATCTAACGTCTATTTATCAAAACTATATTTTTGTTCATTTGACTAATTTAGAACATCTCGATTTATCTCATAACAGTCTTAGTGCGGTGTCTATGGCTAAATTTCGACCACTGGAAGCCCTCCAAAGTTTAAATTTTTCAAACAACAATATGGCAGTATTTGATTTGAGGGAGACGTTTTCGTTCTTTGAGTTTCCTTTTTTAAAACTACTCAATTTAACGGGTAACTATTTAGATTTTGAAAATTATGAGAATTTGCCTGAGCGTTTTACGTTCGATAACCTAACCATTGACATAAACGAAAACCCGGTGCATTGCTATTACATTGAAAAGATGTTAAATTTATTCCAAGATAAAGTTCGTTTAGCACCAGGTCGCTATTTCGGAGATGAAACCCGCGTTAATCGCATTAGGTGCGAGAATATGGGCATGACTGAGGAGGACGTTAATTATCTCAACAAATTTTACGATAAATTACGTATACAGCATTATGAAGTGCTAGTGGTATATACCATTCTTATAGTGTTCGCGATTGCTTATATCCTTTTTGTATATTATGATCACCTTCAGGATCATCCGTGTTTTCGAAAACTTTATGGATATTCGACCCCATTCCCTGAATAAGTCGATTTATTATTTTTCATTCATAACATAAACAAATATCCGTTAACCATTACTACTATTTTTAGCAGTAAAAAATGTTAAATGGCATTTATTTTCTGACCAGATATAACTAGAGTTTACAGAATAAAAAATATTTATGTTTTTAATTCTGTAAATTGTGTTGTAGTTATAAGGGCGATAACAAATTTTTTGCATACACAAAATTTGATACGTACACGCCGAGGATTTGACCAAGTATACTTTTACCTGTACCGTTAGCTTGTTGTTTTTAAACAATGGATATGAAATATGTATGTAAATAAACGATTATTATTACCAAAAATATTAATATAATTTGTGGGCTTTAAATATATCTACAATTTATAATAATACAATTTGTAGCATTATTAAAAATAACATATTTTATAGATAATATATTTTATAACTTTATTGGCAAATACCTATATTTTATGATTAACTTTAGAAAATGTATTTTATGATTAATTTTATAAATAATCTTTAAATCGAATTCATTGTATTATTTTAATTATATGTATGTATTTTTTGCTAACATCCGGCAATTTATTTGCCTTTTATTAGATTTTATGTAATTATTGTAAGACAACAATAAAATTTATGTGAAAGATTTTCAGAGTTTTTTTAAAAAATTTTCTTTTTAAATAACTTTCCTTTTAAATAACTTTCCTTCATCTCTCGAAAAAATCCTATCAGTATTTCGCTACTGCAAGAAAATCTACAAAATAAAATAGTAATTTTTTGTAAACACCGCTGGGCGTTATCCAATGGAGACTAATAATTGTCAGCAGTGGTTTACTAATAAACAAATTTGCCTAACTGATAAAAAAATGTTTAATGTTTCTGGAAGTATGTCTTTTCCCGTCATCGGAAGCAAAATCATACAAAGAACAAAGAAAAAAAATATTTAAAATATCTAAATGGAACTATTCGAGAACACTTTAGTTTTTTTTTAAACAGATACGTCTATAAAAACCATTGACGTTCTGTTAAAATGACATTATATTAAGTTAAACTTCAAAATTAACATTACTACCTGATAACAATTACTTAATAAGGTAAAGTTTGTGGCAAAACCAGAAAGTTTCGAACTTTCTGTGATTATTTTTTTGTTTTTGTATGATTATTATGTTTTATTTTTAAGGCTTTTCGGGTCAAATTTACGTTTATTTTTTTGTGAATGCTATTTAAATATGTCTATAATTTTGAATTCTTTAATGATTAACTCTTATTTATATTAAGCCTAGTGTTCATGCATTCTAATTTCGGACGTTTTCTATGAAAAAAGTACATAATTTTCAAGAGGCTCAAATTTAACGTTTTCATGCATCAAAATGTTATCCCATAGATAAAAGACTTATAATATAAAATAGATAGACAACTTATAATACATTGCAATTTGGTCTGTCATCACATTATGGAGTGTAGAGATGAGGAGCAATATCTCTTATGGAACTTTATTTGAAAAAATGGGAAGAATAAGACTTCACCAAATAACCACAGTGCAGTGGCGCTAAGGAGGCATAAATCTAAAAAATAAAAAGTAACCATAGATAAGAGAATAAACGTAACATAACCAAACATTACCCAAAAACGTTTTTTTTATTTTTTAGAATATAAAACAATTATTTTTATATATTAGAGGCCGAGTCTATTGCTGCAGAATAAAAATCGATAATTTATTCCAGTATGTGACATGAAAATAAAATTTGTATTTTTTGAAACCCGCGCAAATATTTATCTCTTTTGGATCATTTCCTGTTCTAAAGATTTTGGGCGCATATTTCAAATTTTAGGTTTTTGCAACAGCAGCGCCATCTTAAGTCTTCCCTTTTTTATGACCATTTTTTAATGCACGAAGATGTTTTTTCTCTTTACCTCTACACTCCATGCATCACATGGTAATATTACCTAAACAAAATATAACTAATTATAAATTATTTTTTTCTACTATCTACTACTACTACTACTACTACTGCAATTATTCGCTAACGAGTATCCGACACGCATCAGAAGATGGTTACGCAAGGCGTTTTCTTTCATGAGCTTTTCTGTGACTGAAAAGCTCGATGCGTGATGTTATATCTCTTCCGCACTCCGGACATTCAAAAATCTCACTGCTTTGTTGCCTCTTTGCTTTTTGGTTATCGCTGTTAACTGAATTTACAATTCTTCTCCATTGCGTTCTATTGTGCGCTGCTTCTTTCCACTGATTCTGCATGCTTATCCCCTTCAATTTTTCGTGGAAAATATCCTTGTACCTTTTTGTGTTGTCCCCCGGGTTCTTCTTACCATCTACAAGCTCACCGTAATGAAGGGATTGTGGTAGGCGATTTTCTTGCATCCTGCATACGTGACCAGCCAATACACGCGGCAATATACAGGTTGTTAATTTGTTTATTACTTGCGACAAGAGCTTTATGGTTTAACTATGGCAACCTCGGCCCGCTCGTCGATAGACGACGCGACGGGACGAGTCGGCAGAAAACCCTATAAGTGCATGGCGTTCTCAATAGGCAGTGTTGCCATTCTGTTCCCCTATAAGTAACTCTCCAGTTAACAACCTGTATAAGAACTATGTATGGTCGCGACAACATAGTTCACAAGGACAAGAATTTATTTCACAATCAGCGAGGCATTTACATAGCTTTATATAACTTTTTAACATTTATATAAAAATATTAAAAATGGAAGTTTTCATTTAAAATAGTCGATTTTACAGTTTTTGAGTGTAATTTTTATCATATTTAGTTAGTAGTATATACAGGGTGGCCAATTAGGGCGGGGAAGTTCAATATCGTCGTTGTTGACAAACATATGAAAAAAAGTTTTATACAGCAGTGTTGCATGCTTTATAATGCTAGACCAAATATGCCAAAAAAGTTACGATAAAGTTTTAATTTTTTTAAAAATGCACAACCTATTTTTCCGGACATAATTGGATTCAGCATAAAATTCTATATATAGCACACTATTTTTATTTGAGGAACTCTGCATGCAGTATTGCCATTATATTTCTTATTTTCTAAAATTTTGGTTAAAAACCAAAAACCTATATCCAAAAAGTGGTCAAAAAACTGGAGCAAATATTACTAATAATAATTACTTAACTAATTATTACTTTTAATTAATTTTTTTAAACACCAAAAATAAAAGAAATGATAATCCTCGATGAAAAAACTGGATATTTTTTTTGGCGTAGCCAACATTGCAATATATAAAATTATATACAGGGTGGTCCGAACTGTATTCCGGAAACTTCGGAAGCATATTCTGGAGATAAAAATAAGTAAAAAAGTTCATATAAATATATGTCCTGAAATGCTTAGTTTCGGAGATACAGGGTGTAGAAGTTTCATTTTCATTTCGATTTTTTCCAAATAATTTCTGAAGTAACGACAATATTTAAATGAAAATTGCTGTCTGGGATTTTTTTGTCATGAGAAATTTGATTTTAACGTCACTATGACTCCTACTTGTAGGTGACGCCACCTATGTATGTTTTAACTGTTTTGAAGAGTAATAACTTTTCGTCAGTACCTGTATAAAATTAACGAGTAAAAAAATATACATTTACGACGATTTTTACGTAAAAAAAGTTTCTTGGTTAAAATCGCTGCGAGTAATGGTTCACAAGATATTTAGAATCGAAATTATCAACCTGTCATCGTGGACATAAATTAAATATGTTAACTAAATAGTTAGTAGACTGAAATCATAAATTTGAAATGTTTTTGTGCTAAAAGTTCAACAGAAACTGTTTTATCATCATTTTTCCGCAGAAAAATTTATGTTTAATTTAAAAAAATAAAAATTTTCCAAATTCAATATTTTGGTCCAATAACTATCTACTCAACGAGTTTATTTTTTTGTCAATAATGACATCTATTGACTATTTCCATTCGAAATATCTAGAGAATTATTGCTCGTAGCGATTTTTACCAGGAGACATTTTTTACGTAAAAAGTCACGAAAATGTATATCTTTGGACTCCGGACGAAAAGTTATTACTCTTCAAGACAGTTAAAACACATGGCGGCGCCACCTATAAATAGGAGTCATATTGACATCAAAATCAAATTTGTCATGTCAAAAAACTCCCAGACACCAATTTTCATCCAAATATTGACGTTACTTCAGAAATTATTTGGAAAAAATCGAAATAAAAATGAAACATCTACACCCTGTATCTCCAAAAGTAAGCATTTTAAGACATACGTTTATACGAACTTTTTTACTTATTTTTATCTACAGAATATGTTGGCGAAGTTTCCGGAATACAGTTCGGACCACCCTGTATGGCTTATTTTTTTTTAAATATTGTACATATATTTTTTAGTAATATTCCACCCTTTATATTATTTTTTTTTTACACAAAACTTTTTTTTGGACATCCTTTAGGTATATAGTCTGTCCAACGACCAGATCCTTGACAGTGATAGATGTGTCTGTCATTTTAATTTCAAAGTAGTTTATTTTATTTTACAAAGAAATAAGTTGGTAGAACTGAAACGCATAGCAGCAAATAAATATATTTAAAAGTTGACTGACAAGTGATTACTTCAAAATATTGTGAAAAAACTGTATAAAACTGAAAAAATCGAGTTATTTTATTTAAGAAAAAACGGTATGTGATAATACAAAACAAACAAGAACAAGACACCACATACCAAAAAAATATAAAAAGAACTATTTCTTACTTTCAAGCTTCATGAAACTTCCCGCATTTATGATTATATTTATCAATATAACTTATGTACTTATACAAATTTGTAATATTCGACAGGAATAAATAAAACAACATAAATAAAACAAACTATTTTATTAATAATAACACTTACCAAATTTTATACCTTAAAGGTTGATTAATTAACTTTAATCTTAATTTTTAAACCAGTACCTTTTGACATTATTTTTCTGCAGTACTAAAATCCATTACTTACCTATCGTGTGATGTGGATATTTTACAGCTACTACAATTTTTAGTATGATCCTTCTACCATATACGAGATGCACTTATCTACGACGAGATGGTATACAAACTTTATCGATGGTAACTTCATTGGTGTATAAGACTTTCTGTCTGGGCAGCGAGTATTAACCATAAACTGTGCTCTGGGTCTACAGTTAATTTTCACTCGATTTTTCCTCCACTTGACTTCAAAAGACATAATACACACGTAATAATACGAATCAAAATGCATCATCTTCCAAAACGCAGGGCATTTGACAAAAGTTGACACAAAATTATAACCTATAATTTGGCAAGACTTTGACAAGCGTCAAAAATGACAAAAATCTAAAGGAGAGTTCATACGCATCGGCGTCCGTTTGTCGCTCATCGTTCCGTGAAATCAATAAAATTGAAATACGATCTGTCATTTTTTAAATAAACCAATAAAACTGGTTAAAAACAACAAGACAGGACGCATGACGGATTAAAATTTAAACCCATCCATAGTTAACTTAAAAATTATTAGAAACTTTTTTTAGTAAAATAAATAGATTGGTATGGGACGTCATCTGCTTTTTTTCTGTCATCGTCTGTCGAAATTTTACCTGAGAAAAAAAACAGAGTATACTACACTAAGGTGCCAAAAAAATGCAACGGAGAAATTTTTGGGCAAATTTAAAGTGATTTTTGTTATTTTTAGCCCTATTTTCATGATTTGTTTAGCAAACTATAAAATTATATTAACTTTAATTCTTAAACAAAAATTTTTATAAACTTTAATATTTGGCATATTATACAGGGTTAATCGAGGGGTTGTTTTTTGCCCTAACTTTAAAACACCCTGTGCAATAATTTCGTGTGTAAATCTTCCTAAAATATAATTTTACAGTCAGAACCGTGCCTACTGAGCATTTTGTTTTTTGATTCATGCCAATACATGGTTTGGTTAATTTTTAAGAGCGAAATGAACTGATCACGATCAATTTGCAATTTTTTCAATTATCATTACTTTTTGTGTATGTAATTTTTTAATATGACGAGATGGTTTTGGTGACTATTGTCGTAAATTAAAAAAAAACGTTAAGAGGCGAAGTTTATTTAATGAAGCTGGTACTACTTCGCGACGTTCAAACCTCCTGTCAAGCATTTCCCAAACATCGAAGATGATGGGAAATGCCGTTTTCAGAAAATTTCTAAGCCTTCGAGATTTCGCACAGTCAAGTTTTGAATGCATGAACAGTCAAGTTTTTGTTTTCTTATGGCCGCCATTTTGAATTTTTATTCTATTAGATAGAGCAAAAAACAATCTATACGATGGTATCTAATTTTTATTCATTATATGTAAATTCACTGAAAAAAATAGATTTTTTAAAAATTTGCTCAAAAGATCAAGTCTGCCTTGGAAATCCAATTGACACTTTATATGACAGCAAGTTATTTTTTGTTTACTCTATTAAATGTCAAATCTGGGCACAAAAATTTATAGTAGATAGTGTAGTGTATTAACAATCAACAATACGTTTACAAGTGAGGAAACACGAGATATGTATGATGTTTACTTAAAAAATAATAGAAATTCCCATATCCAAAAAAAATCCTTATGGGTTTTTCGCCACTGCACTGCAAGAAAAATCTACAAAATAAAATAGTTATTTTTTGTAAACACTTCTACGTTAAACCTAAACGGACGCTGCTTGTCAGAAGTTGTGTTTACAGTAATAAAAATTTGCCTAACAAAGAAAAAAATGCTTAACGTTTCGGAAAGTTTTCTCTTTCCGTCGTCAAAAGCAAAAAAATATAAAAAATCAAGAAAAAAACTATTTAAAATATTTAAATTGAACTATTCCAGAACACTTTACTTTTTAAAACAGATACGTCTACAAGAAATCGTTGACGTTCTGTTAAAATGACATTATATTAAGTTAAACTTCAAAATTAACAATTACTACCTGATAATTACTTAATATTACTTATTTTGGTTTTACCTTATTAAGTAATTATCAGGTAGTAATTGTTAATTTTGAAGTTTAACTTAATATAATGTCATTTTAACAGAACGTCAACGATTTCTTGTAGACGTATCTGTTTTAACAAGTAAAGTGTTCTCGAATAGTTCAATTTAAATATTTTAAAGAGTTTTTTTCTTGATTCTTTATATTTTTTTGCTTCCGACGACTGAAAGAGAAAACTTTCCGAAACGTTAAGCATTTTTTTCTTTGTTAGGCAAATTTTTATTACTGTAAACACAACTTCTGACAAGCAGCGTCCGTTTAGGTTTAACGCAGAATTGTTTACAAAAAATAACTATTTTATTTTGTAGATTTTTCTTGCAGTGCAGTGGCGAAAAACCCATAAGGATTTTTTTGGATAGATGAATCCGCCACATAGGTATAGACATTTTTTAGAAATTCCCATATGGCATGCACAAGTTATAGAACATTGTATCCTGAAAGGACACAGCCTCATCGTACTATTTTTGCACGGATTTAAGGCTTAATGATATTAATGTGTCAGCTCAGACTGAAATTAATCCGGAAACTTCTAGCCGTAAAATAAGTCGCGAGTGTTGTATAAGTGTATTATGTTGTATAAGTGTATTATGTAGGGAAAATGATCAAAAAACATAAATATCACAACTTTAAAGTTAAATCTGTACCACAAATTTACATTTTTTACATGCTGGTGATCACGAGAGAAGATTACAATTTTGCAGATGGTTTCGGTAAAGTGTTCAAGAGTTCAAAAATATTATGGACGGATGAATCTTTATTTACAAATTTTCTGTATTGACCTGTATTGCCTCTGATATACAACTTTTGTGCGTCCAGATTTGACATATAGAATAAACAAAAAATAACTTGCTGTCATATAAAGTGTCAATTGGATTTCCAAGACAGACTTGATTTTTTGAGCGAATTTTTAAAAAATCTAATTTTTTTAGCGAATTTACGTGATAATGAATAAAAATTAGATACCACCGTAGAGATTATTTTTTGCTCTATCTAATACGATGAAAATTCAAAATGGCGGCCATAAGAAAACAAAAACTTACTGTTGTTCTGCGAAATCTAGAAAGCTTAGAAATTTTCTGAAAACGGCATTTGATTGGCAAGAAATTCGATGTTTTAAATTAATTTTTATATTCAAAATATTTTGGATATCCCTGGTACAACACACATAGATATATTAATACACATATTTCATTTTTTTTATTTATTTAAAAAAATCTTTTAAAGAAGCAAATTCCGCTAAATCCAAAAAAATAAAAAAAAATGTGACTAGATACATTCTCTTCGATTTACTTTGTAAATTTTATTCAAATTTTGTTGTTGTGTATGGTTTATCATTGTAGTCCGTTCAATATTTTGTTAATTAGTGTTGTTTTTTACCCACCACTTAAGTAAGTAATAATATATTAAGTAGAAAGCGCACACTTTGTAACATACTTATTTATATTTTAGGAGTTATACACTGAAAATAAATTAGAAGAAATATTTGTCACCCACATTATCCTACTTTTTAAATCATTTTTGAAAAGGACTATTCAGTTTTCAAAGGTAAGCAACACGTTTTTTGATCAATTTAACTTATATTTGGCTTTAGAAAACTGTTGGCTCTTGTGCGATTTGGGTAGGTCGGATTTTTAAAATTGTCTATACAGAAATGAGAAAAGGGACACTTATACAGGGTGTTTTAAAAAACATGTGCCATCTCTCGAGGGGAGTTACCTCACGTAAAAATGAGATTTATTTTTCATATCAACATAGGTCCGATTGTGCTTTGTTTCCTAGCTACAGGGTGTTAAAGTATCAATATTTTTTTGATTTATTATAATTTTCTTCCAAATACTTTTCGTGATTTTAATGAAATTGTGAGGGTAAAAATTACTATAAGTGCTACATATTTTAATGCTAAAAAAGTGTCGATAAATTCATCAGGGACGTGCATAATTAATATACAGGGTTGTTCACCACATACGACACGGAGTATTGTGGCTAAACGATGATATTTTTACAAATTGTAAGTTTGGGGTTCGTTGAAGGATTATTAGAGCTACAATTTAAAAATATTTTTACCAGATACAGAGTATCCCAAATAAATAAAAAATATCAAAGTTGTATTTTTTTTAAATGGAACACCCTGTATATTATTACATTTTTAGTTTCTACGATTAAAATAAAGGTAAATTTGATTAAGGTTTATTATACTTAAACCTTACCGTTTTTGAAATATTTTCAATTTTGTGAAATTGCAGTAAAAATTTTAAAGCTTCATTTCTCCAAGGGTATCAATGTTTTTAATATTAAATATTTAAAGAAGTTTATTTATTGATCAGTTATTGTGTTGCAATAATAAAAATAATACTACCTTATACAGAGTGTCTAAAAATTTATTTTAAATAATTATTAGCTTCAAACGGCAATAACTTCTTTAATTTAAATGGAATGCCCTGTATATTTTAGGAGAATCAGATGCACAATTAAATTGTCTATCAAATTGTATTATACCATTTTTTACCTATCCCTTCAAGTTTTCGTATAAAATGCATTTTCTTATAATTTAGACCTCATTTATCAATATATCAATGGAATATTGACATTTTAGATTGTTTTTAAAGCAACAAATGTACAAAATGTACAGACTAGTAATATTATCGTTTTTAGCAAAACGATAATATTACTAGCCCATTTGTATGCAAAAAGAAAACTATTTAAATCTTTATAAAAGAGTATACCATTAATTAAATATAACACCATTATTTGCGCCCATATACTAATTAATTACATACTTAATTGTGTTCGTTATTAAATTATTATAAATAAATGTGGATTTGAGTCAGAAATCAATATAATAATAAGTTATCAAATTAAAGTCTCTGTAGTTATAAATAAGCATTTATTAAAAAATGAAATATCATTTTTAAGGTGTTACTTTTTATCACACTGTCTAATGCCCATACAAAATTCAGTTTTTTAGTATTTGGAGCAATTATTATTAATCAAAGCAAACAGTCAGTTAATGTTGTTTGAATACTGGAATCATATTAACTGATCCTCTTTAACAAATATTTAAACAGTTTTTTTATTTTTAATGAAATAAACGAATTATATCGACAATATTAGTATCTGTACTCTTTAAAAATTTGGTACATCTTTAAAAATAATCTAAAATGTCAATAGTCCATGGGTATATTGATAAATAAGTTCTAAATTACAAGAAAATGCATTTTCTACGGAAACTTAAAGAGATAGGTAAAAAATGGTATAATATAATTTGATAGACAATTAAATTGTGCATTTGATTCTCGTAAAATATAGAGGGTGTTCCATTTAAATTAAACAAGTTATTGCCGTTTGAAGCTAATAATTATTTAAAATAAATTTTTAGACACTCTGTATAAGGTAGTATTATTTTTATTATTGCAACACAATAACTGATCAGTAAATAAACTTCAGTAAATATTTAGTATTAAAAACTTTGATACCCTTGGAGAAATGAAGCCTTAAAATTTTTACTGCAATTTCACAAAATTGAAAATATTTCAAAAACGGTAAGGTTTAAGTATAATAAACCTTAATCAAATTTACCTTTATTTTAATCGTAGAAACTAAAAATGTAATAATATACAGGGTGTTCCATTTAAAAAAATACAATTTTGATATTTTTTACTTATTTGGGACACTCTGTATCTTGTAAAATTATTTTTAAATTGTACCTCTAATAGTCCTTCATCGAACCCAAAACTTACAATTTGTAAAAATCTCATCGTTTAGCTACAATACTCCGTGTCGTATGTGGTGAACAACCCTGTATATTATATAAGTTGAAGAAGTTCCATCGAGTCTCTCTCTCTCTCAATCCTCTCTGATTGCCAAAGTTAACAGAATAATCTGTAAACTTTGCTGATGCCTATGAGTATTCCCATAATAGGAAATATTATTACATAATGTAAATATGTAAAATCTCAGATTTTTTTGTAAAATCACATATTTATATGACTATTACATATTATTATGTAATTTTGATAAATTATTTGTAATATTTTAATTATTTTTATTTTTACAGTGTAGTATATGACGTAAATTAGTATTGACTGACGTACTCAAAATTGTTTTCGGTCACTTTCTGTTTCACCCGAAATGATTATGACTTTTGATTTTTAAATGGCACCCTCGGTATTTTGTTACTTTATTCGATAGAAAATGACACTCTGAATAGAATGACATATGTCAACTTTTGACATTTTCGAATATGGTTTATTTGAAGTTGCGATATGGCGCTTCATAACGACATTTTGACTCGAAATAAGTGTGTGTTACCAAATTATTCGTAAAAAATGTTTTTTTTTCAAATATTATGCGAATGAGCCACTCTCGTTCCATTTGAAAAAATTGGGATATGATGAAAAATACGATTTGGGCATCTTTTAACCGGCCAGGACAAGACAGTAAATTAGACGATCAAATCTATTTTTCCATGGCTCCTTAACTAAAAATTGCTGTTTTTAACACATCCATCGCACTCTAGATTGAAATTTAAAATACAATTTTGTTTTAAGCGAAAATGTCAAAAGTTGACATATGATAGTATATCATTCTATTCAGAGTATCATTTTCTATCGAATAAAGTAAAAAAATACCGAGGGTGCCATTTGAAAATCAAAAGTTGTAGTCATTTCCGGTGAAACAGGAAGTGACCGACAAGAATGGAATACGTCAATCAATCCTGATTTATGTCATATACTAACCGAATCTCGATTTTTTATCTGAAAAAATAAAAAAGTTATAGAGGTGAGTCACTTTTGAGACTCAACAATTTAAAACCAAAAAGTTATACAGGGTGAGACAAAATTAATATTAAACATTGGTCACATTTAAAAGCAAGTACACCCAGTATATTATTCCGATATTTAATGGGGAATTAATGTCTCTTCAAAATACTATTAAGGTTGCCTGCTCCTCAAACAAAGATTTTCCTAGATATTTTCATTTTTGTGATTTAGTGACAAGACATGTAACGTTAAGTTTTTTTGTACCGATTGAAACCGGTCTTTCGGGACCGATTTAAACCGGTCTTCCGGTGCCGGTACCAAAATCGGTATTCCGGCACCGGTACCGAAACCGGTATACCGGTCTTGAAAAAGACGATACCGAAACCTGAATATTTCAAAAGTACCGGTTTTGGTACCGGAAATTCGGAAGACCGAACAGGCCTAGCTGTGATACCTATGTCTGACGTTACTTCAACATAGATAACAAATTAGTTCAACTTTAACAAATAGTTATCAATTTGTGTCAGTTAAAACAAAAAGAATTCTCAGAAATTTGCCGAAAATGGAAACATCCTATATCAGAGAAAATTGATATGATTCTATTAGTTGGGGGACTGTATGCAGTATGCATTTACCATCTAATAGAATACTTAAATGCTCTTGATTTATCTAGTATGGACTTTTTTTATCGGGATATAGAGACAGTGTTTTCAAAACTCTCCCAACTATCGTTAACAACATGAAAGAAATTATTGTGGCTGTTTTTCGAAGTAGAACTTCACATATGCCTCTTAACATGAAAATATATTTCGAAAAGAGTATCATTTTATTCAGCAAAGAGGAATGGTAGAATTTTGGGCATTTGATTACATCTAGCTAATTTTTGTTACATAATTATACGTTTATATCTATTTCAATTCTGTAATAATTAAAATATACTTTAAACTTCGGCACTAAAAAAATATTTTTATTACAGTTCAATATTTTACTCTACGTACATTAATTATTGTCAAATTAACAAAAGGTATATCAATCAAGATATTAGCAAAATCATAAAAATGAAAATATCTAGTAAAATCGTTGTTTAAAGAGTATAGGCAACCTTAATAGTATTTTGAAGATATCTGAATTCTCCATGAGTATTGGGTAAATAATAAACAGGATGTTCTATTTAAAATAAAGGAATAACTTGCTTTTAAATGTGACCAGTGCTCAATATTAATTTTGTCTCACCCTGTATAACTGTTAAGGTCAAATTTTAATTTGATTTAAAGTACAATAGTTATTTTGGCTACATAATACGTTATACCGGATAAATTATAATTTAGGTAGCATTTATTGAAATTTTCAATTTATCCTTCATTTTTAGAAATTGTTAAATATGTTAAAACCTTACATTTTAGCCATATACTTCTCTAATGAAACTCACCTTTATTTTTCTCCTAGAATCCGAAAATCAATTAATATTATGTATAAGGTGTTCCATTACAAAACACACAACTTTGATGTGTAAGTTTATTTGGGGACCCTCTGTAGAATTCTCTATATTTTTAAAAAATGCTCTAAATCAACTTACATATGCTTACAAAATTTCATTTCAATACAAGCTGTAGTTCTCCTTGCAGTCTCCGCGTCATATGAGAGGCGCCACCCTATATACACAGCTATACAGGGTTCGGCAATAGTGCATCTGTAGCTCCTAGAATAAATTGAATATAAATCGAACATATCTCCATAGCGCAGTGCGTAGAGTTTCTGCCTGTCAAGCGAGGAGCCAGAGTTCGAATCCGGATCAGTGAGAAAACTTTTTAGCCGACCATACCAATAATAGGTATGGTAGGCTATTAGGACCGGCAAAAAAAGTTTTTTTAATTTCACTCAAAATGAGTTACTTGGGTCATAAATGACCTAAATACAAAATATTTTCATGGTGTGTGTCTGTCTGTCTGTCCGTCTGTCCGTCTGTAACACGATAACTCAAAAACCGCTGAACCGATTTTAACCAAATTTGGCACAAAAATACTGTTGCACCCGAGAATCTGGCCATTAGTTTTTGGTGGGGGTGGGGGTTGGTAAGGGGGTGAGGTAAGGTAAAGGTGGGAGGGGGTTAAAAATATTAAAAATTGGTAACCCCAAAATTACAGTAGCTAGCGAAACGCGGTTTTCAAATTAAAATTAGGAATAATATTTGCAACAAAATTTGTAATAACATCAAAATCAGTCAAAGTCGCAGTTTTCGAGATATTAACATATTAATGAAATATAATATAGAAAAAATATGATTAATTTAAAAAAATAAAAATTTCCCAAATTTATTATTTCAGTGAAATAACTATCCACTCAACGTCTTTATTTTTCGTGAATAATGGTATGTATTGACTATTTTCCATTCTAAATATCTTGAGAACGGTTGCTCGTAGCGATTTTTACAAAGAGATATTTTTTACGTAAAAAATCACAGAGATGTATATTTTTTCCCTCGGTAGTTTTATACAGCTACAGACAAAAAGTTATTACGCTCCAAAACAGTTAAAACACATGTAAGTGGCGCCCTCTACCAGTAGGAGTCATATTGACATCAAAATCAAATTTCTTATGTCAAAAAACTCCCAGACACCAATTTTCATCTAAATATTGACGTTACTTCAGAAATTATTTGAAAAAAATTGAAATAAAAATGAAATTTCTACACCCTGTATCTCCGAAACTAAGCATTTTAGAACATACATTTATACTAACTTTTTTACCTATTTTTATCTGCAGAATATGCTGCTGAAGTTTCCGGAATACAATTCGGACCACCCTGTATATTAGTATGGGCGGCTATACGTGCCTCCCGGCGCCAATTTTTTATTTTATTTTCGTTTATATTCTGATAGTAAAGTAATAAATAATTCTTAAATATTATTAATTATTAATATATGATACTTTACTATCAGAATATAAACGAAAATAAAATAAAAAAGTTTATGCACTGACCCAGATTCGAACTGACTCTTCGCTTGATAGGCAGAAACTCTACGCGCTGAGCAAAGGAGACTCGGTCGGTTTATATTCAATACTAGAATTTAAAGGACTAATAAAAATATAGGATCTTCTTTCAATGCGCAGTAGGGAACGCAACGTTTACCTGCAGCCAGACGGGCCGCATGCTGTTCTAGAGAGCATTGTAAAAGATATATCAAAGAGCCAGACGTCTTAAAATACTTGTTTTCCCGACGTTGCTAGCTCTCGTACTATTAGGTTTGCACTTAAATAAAATTCTTAAGTTTTTTATTCTAGGAGCTACAGATGTCCGACGCACTATTGTCGGACCCTGTATAGTTATGTGTATGCTATGATCATATTTATTTACTATTTTACGTAGTTACTACATAGCATACATATGTTATCCGTGTCTTTTTCTTAACGAGAACCCTGAAATAGAATACTCGGATATTTCTGCAGTAATTGATCACGATACATCTCTACCTTTCAAGTCACTACATTTTGTCGAAGTTAGCATGAAAGAGAGCTGATTAATATGCTGTTCGATAGATATTTTCATTGAAAAATAAATAAATGAACGTAAATTGTTTACTTTTTATCTTTACCACCGAAAATTCTATTATCCGATTTAGTTTCGGATAATCGCGAGTCTAGTGTATTTCAGTGGTTTGTACAATCTTTTGTCTTGTTTCAGATGGATTTAATGCTATTTATACTATCGCTTCTTCTAACTTATCAAATGGCGCTCTCTTGGCTAACCTCGAAAAAGTACATAACCAGAGACAAAATTAACGACTGTTTAAGTGCCAATAGAATATTTAGAGATCCAGATATCGATAGATCATTAATTAACTGTGCCATTGATGATTGCGAAGGTACAAAATATAGAACATTTAATACGAGAGACGAGTATAAGAACAGTTCTAGTTATCATCCTGACAGTATAGGTTATTCGGGAAACTACGTAAATTTTACTACTTTCGATGTCAAAACTTTAACTAAGGATACCTTGAGTTTGGGGCCTCTCAAGCCAAAAAATGTAACTAACGATACCTTGATGATTGATGAAGATGATCTTGCCTCGGAGTCCAAAATAAAAGACGTGGAACCTTTACCGATAAAAAGAGTAGAATTTTCCAAAACTGAATTGTCAGACTTGCCTCATACATTATACATTATTGGGTTAGACATAAGCGGCAAAGGCATTAGAACTATTATGCCTGAAGCTTTCGATGAAATGTACTGTTTAAATCGACTTGATTTAAGCAAAAATATGTTAAAAGAGATCCCAACATTGGCATTTCAAGGACTTACCAATCTAAAGGTTCTGAATTTAAGCCATAACAAATTACCTGAAATACACAAAGATACTTTTATGTGTGTAGTAAATTTAGAAATTTTAGATCTGGAATCAAATTTAATAACTTATTTAGAAAGCAGTACTTTTAACTATATGGAAAAAATAAGAAATGTAAATTTAAGTAAAAACAGGATAAGTAAAATCGTATATAGATTTTCGCAATCATTTTCAAATGTACTACTGAATTTCAATGTTCTTGATCTTGAAGATAACTTTCTGACATTAGTTACTCCCGGTATGTTTGCAAATTTTCGATATTTAGAAATACTTAATCTGGCTAAAAATCGGATTCTTGAGTTTAAAATTACACCTGGATTTATGTTTCGCCATCTTATTTCTATGAATTTGTCTGGAAATCGCTTAAGTGATTTCGATGCGGTAGGATTTAGAAATACTTTTGTTAATTACAATTTACGTATTGATCTGAACGATAACGACTTTCCATGTTTAACGATACACAATTTACTGCCTAGATTGGAGGGATTAAAAATATCTTTTGTGCTACAAAAGTCTTATGATTCAGGATTTCATAAATATTTATATAGATGTAAAATGGAAGATGAGCCTGTAACGAACTATACCATAGAAGAATCTAGCCTTTTGAAACAAATCGGAAAAGAAGCTGCTCCAGTTAGTGAGTCGCCGATCGATGTTCAATCATTTGTTGAAAAATTAACAAGTGAGGTATCTGAGACGTACGGCACATTGCGTCTCCTTATGGGAGCGATTTCTGCTGTATTGATAATTATGATTCCGGTGATTTTCTACATTTTTGGTGAATGCGACCTGCGAAAAGTTTGCCGACGCAAGAGGAGAAACTCACCACAGCGACGCCCGGGAATTCAATATGGACCTTGCTATCAAATATCTAAATGTAGGTATCGAATACAAACTGTTTTGAGCTTTTTGCGTTTTTTGCGTGTCAAGCGTTTTTTGCGATTTGTGTCCATTAAAAACAAGCCAAAGAAGCGGCAGGTCTGCAGTTTCTATAAACATGTCAATTAGTAACGTCGCAAGCTCGTGGATCCCCGGCCCGTTCAACAGTCAATCCTGTGAGAAAGAGATAGGCGAGATCGGCGCGGTTAGCGTTGAAGAGAGCGGGGCATTATATTCGGCGACAAACAATCTACTTCTGGTGCCAGTGGTGTGTGTAAATATAATAATTATTATTTGCCATTTATTTTACGAATTTTAGTTTATTTGTGTATAGTTTTTTTATGTTGTATATTTTATGTATGTTATTTTATGTTGTAGTTAGAAAACTTCTTTACGCGCGCTGGGAGTTAAAATTCAAGGCCGTGACATACGAGCTAGCGAGACGGCCCTGACACACGAGGTGGTTGTAACGAAACGTGTTAACGGTTTAGAAATACGCAGTGACGCGACGTGTATTTGTGAGCAGTCGACGTGTTTATGTGTGAATCAAATTATTACGTGTAAAAAACCATTTGTTACACGTAAATAACTATTTTTATTATTGTACGTGATTAAAACTGTTACACGTAAAAAACTATTTTTTACGCATATAAAACTATTTACTAGTAGAAAACTATTTTTTACGCGCATAAAACTATTTGTTACGTATAAAAATCTATTTTGTTACAAGTAAAAACTATTTTTTTACGCGTCAAAAACTTATCGTTTCTGGTAAAAATACCTTTCTTACGTAAAAAAACTATTTGATACACGTAAAAAACTAATTTCTACGCGTCAAAAACTTATTGTTTCTGGTAAAAAACTTTTTTACCAAAAAAAAATATTTTTTACATGTAAAAAACTATTTGTTACACGTAAAAAACTATTTTTTACGCGTCAAAAACTATTTGTCCCTGTTAAAAACTTTTTTTTACGCAGAAAAAAACACTTTTTTCGCTATAAAAAACTATTTTTTACGCGTAAGAAAATATTCCTTTAATTTATTACTTTTTCAACATTTCAAACTACACTTTTTCAAACATTTCCTTCAAATTTTTGAATTTAATAGAATCTTCCTAAAACAGTAGATGTTCACTATAAAAATACATACTACCTATTTAATTTATTTCTATTGTATTATTAAATATAACGTCCGCCTATGACGGGGTCTCATCTTAGAAATCGCTAAAGACGCTACAGAAAACAAACTGATTTGTTTTCATTTGCGTTTTTTGTGAGACACGCCGAACGCTACACGCTTTTGGTGGGGCCACTCTTGTTATAATCCTGTTATTTTGTTTTAGTCGCTAAAGACGCTTCACGCTAAAAACGCAAAAAACCCTTTCTGTGTGGCCGTGGGGTTATATTGTGTGGGAATGAAAACGGTGTCCCACATACAGGCTTGAACTGAATTCACATTTTTGATCAAGATTTACTATAAGCAGAATTGGACCTATGTTAATATGATAAATAAATCTTCCTTTAAGTGAGGAATCTCCCAACGGTAGATGGCAAATGTGTTTGAAGCACCCTGTATACTCAGTTCGTTTAAGTCAGTTCCGTTTAATATCAAACTTAAATTCAAAGATTGCAGTAAATATATTTATTTTTAATTTAAATGACAGACCATAACTGTCATTGTTCTCATACATTTTTTTGTGGCTGGACAGACAATATCTAATCCTCTGTGTTGATATTGTTCGAGCATAACAGTATATTGTTTTATTAGGAGTAAAAATGACAGTCTTCGTGGCGAGGCTGTATGTTTGACAGCCACGAAGTCACTTTTACTCCGAATAGAACATACTACGAGTATTTTTTTTCAAACGTCACAAATAGTTTCAAACATTCCAAATATATAATATAAAGAGATTTAAAAGTAATGCCTTGTATGTAATTATATATCGAGAAATTATGGTTACGGCTCGTTGAATTTGCCAATTTATGTTAATTTAATAATATATTATTAACTTATTATTTGTAGTTTTGTCTTAGGCGTACAAGTGCTTTATATATGCCTAGGCGTTAAAGTGACTTTTTTATATTGCCAAACACTTCGTAAAAATTAATACTTCTATGACGTTTAAAAAAAAACTTTTGATAGTCTGACGTCAACTCTACCGGGTGTTTCAAAAAACATGTGCCATCTCTCGTAGAGAGATTCTTCAGGCAAAAATAAAATTTCTTTTTATCGACATAATTCCGATTCTGCTTTGTTTCATAACCCAGTGAGCAAAATTTTGTCACATTTAGGGAACATTAGGAAACAGTTACGTATCTGCGTTTTATTGTTTTATATAAGGCACAAGAAAGGCCTGGTAATGTAACAACGACGTCACCTAGAACACATTTCCCTTAAAGGAAATAAATGCAAATGGGCAGCGAGTTAGTCACTTCATTTTTTTTCGATTTATTATAATTGTCTTCCAAGTGCTTTTAGCGATTCGAGTGAAATTTTCAGGGTAAAAGTTACTATAAGGGCCGACATATTTTAATGCTAAAAACGTGTCGACATATATTCACCAGGGGCTTGCATTTGGATTATCACTGGAATATTTTTGTAATTTTAAAAGTTTTACTCTCAGCCCAAGAATATACAGGGTGGCGCACCTCATTCGCCTCGGTTGATTATACGAAAACGGGAAGATGTAGAAACAAAATATCTTATGGGTATATGTGGGGAGTCAATGTGCACAATTTAAAATTATTTTGAAATATACAGAGTGTAGAACTAAGATCCATACCAAAGTTATATTTTTTCTTATGGAACACCCGGTATTTTATTTCATTTTTGGATTCTTGGGCCCAAAAAAAGACATTTATTATAAGGGTTAAATATGTTTAAAATCATTGGTTTTTGAGATATTTAAAGATATTTAAATATGCATGCTACAAGAGAATTGATTATCAATACCCTGTACATTACTTTACAGAATTAATTCTTGTGCTGAGTTTAAAGGCAAAGAAATAAACTTTACTAAAAAATGTTATTGCTGCCTTAAATTTATACAGGGGTACCAAAAATTAGTTATTTATTTTAAGGATTTATTTTACATAAAAACTTTGTTATTTCAAATGCAACACCCTGTATTTTTTTTAAATAAGTTGAAGCAGCTTGAAATGCTCTTTTAAACTATATTAGGGTTTCCTATACCTATCTATCTCATATTTTGAATAAAAAGCGATTTTTAAATAAAATAGCAATAAAGATGGCTGGTATCGCCATGGCAATTTTCTAGTGACAGTTAGTAACTATTTTCGAAATTGACATTAGTTTATAGACTTTATTTAGATCTATACCAGTTTACTTTTATTTAATTGATCTACAATAGTTTAATAAATAATATTTATTATTATTAATATGTATTTATTATTCTATCAAGCAAAACGAAGAAGTAGTTCTTTGTTTTATTTTACGGTAACTTGTAGATATATGAATTTTTTATAAAAGAGCCAATTACGACAAATTCAATTTCTTCACTTCCAACGACAGGTTTCTGCCTAATATGTGCTAATAGGTTTTTTATAAACTAGACTATTACGAATTCTACGAAATAGGAAGTAGGATAAGTAATTTTTCAAAGGAACGCTTGTCAGGAAGATTTCTATTTGGATATCATTGAGCATTAGTTCTTGAGACCAAGAAATAATTTTCCTCACAAAACAAAATCACTAGTAACATATCTATTCGTTCCACCAGCAGATATGGCTTTATTTTTCTTCATAAAATAAGGAATACTTACTTATTAAACTTTTGTGGGTAAATTTTAGTAAACTGTTTAAATAATAATGTACCTACACTAATGTCGATTTTGAAAATAGTTACTAACTGTCACTAGAACATTGTCATGGGGATACCAGCCATCTTGATTGCCTTTTTATTTAAAAATTGCTTTTTATTCAAAATCTGAAATAGATAGGTATAGGAAACCCTAATATAGTTTGAAAGAGCATTTTAATCTGCTTCAATTTATTTAAAAAAATACAGGGTGTTGCATTTGAAATAACAAAGTTTTTCTGTAAAATAAATCCTTAAAATAAATAACTAATTTTTGGTACCCCTGTATAAATTTAAGGCAGCAATAACATTTTTTAGTAAAGTTTATTTCTTTGCCTTTAAACTCAGCACTGTAAAGTAATGTACAGGGTATTGATAATCAATTCTCTTGTAGCATGCATATTTAAATATCTTTAAATATCTCAAAAACCAATGATTTTAAACATATTTAACCCTTATAATAAATGTCTTTTTTTTGGGGCCAAGAATCCAAAAATGAAATAAAATACCGGGTGTTCCTAAAGAAAAAATATAACTTTGGTATGGACCTTAGTTCTGAGACACCCTGTATATTTCAAAATAATTTTAAATTATGCATATTGCCTCCACACATATACCCATAAAATATTTTCATTCTACATCTTTCCGTTTTCATATAATCAACCGAGGCGAATGAGGTGCACCACCCTGTATACATATATTTTTTTCATAATTAATCACTATACAGGGTGCTACAAATTCGAGGTACGAGCATTGGTATCTCGGAAACCGTAATAGATTCAAAGATGGTTAAATTGGGCCAAAGTTGCATCTTGGGATGTTCACCAAGATGCCATAAAAAAGTTTTAAAAATGTCAAGGATTGTTGAGACTTTTGGAAAAAACGGATTTTTTGAAAATCAATTATTTTATTTTTTCCTGTCGTTACTTTTCAGAAAACCAAAAAACAAATTGCATATTCTCATAGCCACTTTATTAGGGCTATCTGATAGTATTTTTAGATTTTCAAATTAGCTGATAATGTGTGAGATACAGAGGCCAACTTAAGTTTTTTAAATACGGACCTGCATTTTTTTTTATTGGACCTGCAGTTTTTGAAAGAACTCGATATCCTGAGTACAATGATATGTCACACTTGATACTTTTTTTTGTTTTGGGTATCTTGATAACAACAAAACTATT